ATGCTGAAATACAGAAAAACTTACCCGTCAAGCCTTGGTATGAAAAATCCAAGTCCTACTTGAATAGAAAATTTATCACAGCCTTACCCCGTATGCGTCTTGGTCATTGCCTTGTACCAACTCATCTTACAAGAATCAACGTCCTAAGCAATGCCCAATGTTTCTACTGTACACAAGATAACGCAGACCTTCAGCCAGTAGCGGCGTTAGGGTAGGGCGCGGTTGGGCGACCGCCCAGGGGCGCTGGGCGAAAAGGGGCGCCGCAGGCCGCTGCGCCCCTTTTTCGTCCGGCGCTTCTTTCTGATTCTGTATAATGAGGAAGTATTTTATAAAACCGAAAGCACTACAAAAATGCCTCCACCTAGATGGCGACTCTAGCAAAAGTTGATTTTTGCAGGAAACGAATGGAACAAAGACAGTAATTTCCGTTTATTTTAAGTAACATATTAAAAAACTGAAATTTGAAAAGTTCGAAACTTAGATATCAATACAAATACGAAAAGTACAATTAGAATATGAGTTGTTAATTGAGTTTTGTAAACTAATTTACTTTTAAACATGAAAGAAAACTGGAAGGGTTGTCATGGAGAAATCAAGAACATACGTAGCGACATCTTGTTTGATTTTGGGAACTAATGTTTTTTTTCTAATACTTCCTCATTTCCCACAGACGCCCTCTTATAGTTCCCTTCCTCATTGAACAAGGCCTACTGGGTCGGCGAAAAAAGAACAAGAACCTTGAGGATTTTTTTTTTGTTTTCAAGTTGCCTCACTTTCAGCATGGATTGAAAGGAAACTTAACAAGAAAAATATTATATTATGGTAAAACAGAACAACATACCGATTACCAATACGAAGATATGTATTTTATTAGGTAATATGACGTACATGGGCGGGTATTGTCGCTCGGTCATTTAAGAAAATTTTCGTTTGAGCATGTTTAAACGTCAAGCTGAAGCTAAAATGCTGCAATACAAATGAATGCATCGGCAGTGGAACCATTGTCTGGCAAGTCAGATGGAATAGCTACTCAAGAGATTGTGGATGAAAAATTCCGAAGTAAGGGAGCAAGTTGTGCTATGATTACAGATGCTGCTCAGGATAAATCTGTTATTGATGTACAACAAATACATGTACTAGATGATGTTGATACTGTTGTCCCGAATATAGCGGATCCAGCTACTTGTCCACTTATTTGAAATAGCAAAATAATTGATTATATCATAAGTAGTGGCCCACTGCAAACTCACTCTCACAAAGTTACAACAATTACACAAAGTTATAGATAACAATTATGTGACACCCTGTTAGGGTAAAATTGAATCTGTACTTACCTAATGATGTGAATCGTCAAAAATGAATCAGCTACTTATACGCTATTTATATGTTTACTTTTTAAATAAAATTAATGTCACTATATAATTCGAAGTAGCGTTAAACGTTTGATTACTGTGTTTGTTTGTTTTAAAATAATCGAATAATTGTTTTAAGAGCGTCCACTTATGTCGAGCAAGAAGATAATTGTTGATTGTGTTCTTCTTCGTCAAAAATTAAAAGAGATAGATCTAGGGAATCCCCGATTATAGAAAAACACATTGTTTCTGTATGGTCGGAAAGTCGGGGATTCCCGAGAAATTAAACCGATTGAACACTACTTTCCATTCTAATGCTGCCAACTTAACAATCAAGCTAAATTTAAGGAAGATTACAAGTAAGTAGGCCGGGTCGGCGAAAAAAAGACAAGTCACTGATTTGTAGTATGTTGTAGTAACTGATTGTAATTGAATTGCAGTTAGAGGGCGCCGAAGAAATTTCGCCCAGGGCGCCAGTAGTGCTAAAACCGGCACTGCCTTCAGCACATCATTTTCAGTTGTCCAAATTTCAATATTCAACGGTTAACGTTGACATGTGACGTTAGTGACATCTTCTTCTTCTTCTTCTTTTATTAATGGCTTATCTGCGCATTTCGCACAATTCTGCCAATGTCAAGTAAATTAATTAATTTCTAGATGTAAAATGAAAATGAAATGAATGAAAAATAGCGATGAATCTGTAATGGTCTCCAAAACGAAATTCTAGTGACATCTGTGAACGACTAAAACTAAACAGTGTACCCCGCCGCGTTCAAGAATTATTAAGTAACCCTGAATTTTTTAAGTCGCTGTACATATTCATAGAAAATACCATTGAAAAGATTTAAAACCTTGTAAATACTATTGAAAAGATTTAAAACTTTTAATTAGATTTTAATCAGTTGTTTTTAAATGTTCTAATATCTATTTGTTATAATTTTAAAAAGAAAATAATAATAATAATAAGAATTGTCATCAGATAATGTTATTCCAAACTTTGTAAATAGCTTCTAATATGTTGGAAATTATTTTCCTTTTCATTATTTTTTGTTCTCTTATTTTGAATATGTAATAATATGTATGCAACTGATGGACTTGTATCCAGGTTAAGAAATAAATTAAAAAAAAAAAAATGTAATTCTTGGTTTTGCAACGCTGACTGTCACAGTTGGTCAGTGTCAGTCGTGTGGGTCAGTCACTTCACTGTCATAGTATTATTGTTATGTGTTGCTATAGGCATAGATAATACATAACATAATACTGGTAGGTCAGTGCCATGCAAAGTGCCGTGGCGTTGTGTTGTCGTTGATACTTTATGTAGTTTGTGATCTTCTTTATAATGAAACGAAACTAATGAATTGTGGAAGAAGTAGGAGCGTGAATTAATTTGCTAATATTACTTCTATAAAATTATAAATTACGTGCGTGTGAAATATAATCGAGATGCATGTTGAAGATTTAAGTGGTGAGTTGAGTATTATACCGTTTAATATTCTTACATTAATTAAAGGGAACCAAAACGTAACACGTATATAACAAAATCATAGCATTTTGTCTAGTAATAGCGAACTTGTTACTGCTTGTAACTGTTAATGTATTTATAATAACTAACGGTATTCTTTAACGGTAACGTACTGTATATTTTACTGAAGACCAAATCACATAATCTAAGATCATACACATACCTTTTATTGTCAGTCAGACATTATAGGTATATCTGTCTGATTTTCGCTTATAAAAGATCTCCGCTTATAAATAAATATGTTCGAATTCAAATCAATGAAAATTCGTATGGTTTAACCGTCGGGGTTTAACCACCACAATTTTATTCCCAATTTTATTAACTGACCTAAATATTATGCTGACATAGAAAACTAAAAAAATTTCAGCATAATATGTTTCCCCTATCTGTAGGGGTTGAATTTTTAAAAATCCTTTCTTAGTGCTCCCATGCATTATGAAAGAAATCTCTGTACCAAATTTTAATTTTTAGATACAGTAGATTTGGCTGACTTTTGATGATAAGTCAGTCAGGTTTGCCTTTTATAGGTAGATGTTTCTTCAGTGGCATAATAGGCCTGTGTCCTATGAGTAACAAGCAAAAATAGGTTTATGTTATATTTTCAGAAAATATGAACAATTTTAACTTAGAATCATTTAACAAAATTAATTTTATGACACTAATTTGGAAAAAAATACGCTTTGAAAACTTAAAAAAAGTAGGGGAAAATAAACTACAAAGATTTGCTAAAATACATGATATTAAATTATTTATATAAAAAGTTCCAATGTTCATTAAAACAGCTATGAACATAAACCCACAAATAACAAATATATTACTAAGAGATGCCCAGATGCCCAGATGCCCATGCCTTTTTTGCTACCAATGCACTGTGTGGGAGTCACTTAGTGCATCGAATTTGAAGGGAGCATTTTCAGACAACTAACAGCAGTTTCACAAACAGCACCGTATCTTGAAATCCATAAATTGCAGACATGCTGTTACTTCTACATTATATCTCAGATATTGATGGACTATTTATTTATAAAATATAAAAGTTGTCAGCTATGCTATTAAGGGAAGGAAGGAATAATCCAACCTGTATGTAACTATTTGAAGGGATGACACTTGGCAGTAAAGAAAAATAAAGTGCTATGGGCTTTTTAAGTGCTTAGACTATATTGACTTATAATAATAAGAACTAAAAACGGTTCATATTATAAGATTAATACAAAAAGGTCTGTATACTACTGCAATATATTAACTGCTCAAAATAGTACATTCCCTTAAAAGAGATATTTCTCAAAATATATGAAGCAGTAATCAAGATTTGTTTTTACATCCATGTGCACATTCAAACTCAGTAGACCATGAAAAAATGATGACAAAACTACATTAGGTTTGACTTTATATGGTGCACATCTTTGCTGCTTGTAATAGTAAAAAGTTATTTAAACAAATAAATTTTTATACAGATTTTTACATACAGAGTTTACAAAAAAACAAAAAAGTGTTCCTCCCTGAACCCATGTTTTATACACGCGTGTTTTAAAATGCAGTTTACATGTATCTAATTAAATTAGTAAATTTAGAATAAAAAGATGCTATTTGCTGTTTATAAGACAGTAAAATGTTAATTACATACCTAGCTGTCTTAAATTATTCAAATCATTAAATGACATTCTTATACCTTAATGTACTCAATATAGTTATTAGTTTTAATTCAAATCTTATATTAGCGTAGAAGCTTTTCTTGTTGAATGTTTTATTTATTTATTTATTTATTAGGTAACACAACAGACATTAATCAAAATATAAATGAAATAATAAGTAAAAACTGTGTAGTACTAAATTAATATCCTAAAGGTGTTTACACAATGAGATATGATAAAGAAAAAAAAACAAACTATTATTATTATTTTTACTAATATGAAAGAAAACAGAAAGAATGAGTATAAATCAAATGTTGAACCTATTTAAACAAGTAAAATATAATCGCCTTTGGTTTAAAAATAGGATAAAGTGCTATGATGTTTAACATACTCGCCAGAATAAGAAATACCATCCTCGCCGAAAGTTGCTGAATGAATATGAAAATAAATAATTTTACTTTCTGTTAAGTACAAGACAAAATGATGATACCTAACTAAATTATTTCAAATCAATAAATTTCTAAAAATTATATTTTATATAACATGTTCAATATAGCTGTCAGCTTTGATGAAAAACTTCTTAAAGCCTTGTTCGTTTTCGAGGAACTCGAAATTTTCTACCGTGGCATTGGAAACATGCCAAGCTATAACCAATTTGCAAGCGCCATCCGGCTCGTTGCAGTACTCCAAGGGAAGTGATGTGGACGCTGCATAGCCTCGTGATGGATAGTAGGTGTATTCTGTCATGACTCGAAGCCCGCACTTGGCCACATTGTCTTCTAAACTTCTTATGATACCTGTAGAAAATAGACAAAAGTCTATATAGGGAATGTTTCGAACTTTATTTTTTGACTAGCTCTTTTCCCACGACTTCGTAATTTTTCATTATTGGATAAGTATTTTAGAAGATTACCTCCAACAAACAAAATTAGATCTTTACCTAATAATATTTGTAGATCAATTAACAAATGATATTACTACTTATAAAATCTAAACTTTTATGAACTATCTAAATAATTTGCTTATTATTCTCATATAAAATAAATTCGTAGGAATGGAGACGTATTGGAAGCTTTCTGTCCTCGTCACTCCCGTGCGACGTTTACGACTTATTAGACTTTGACGTCACAGTCTCGTATATGCCTATCCGTGACTAATCGGCAGTTTAAACTAATAAATATTGAACTTTTACTGTTCTTGCAAATTTTGTTTAATTGAAATTGCCCGAATGTATTTATTGACACCATAGAAGGATCGTGAATTTCACAATCGACGAATTTTTCCAATTTACTCTTTTCCCTCTAACTGTATTTCTTATTTATTTTCTATTGAAACTCATTAGTACATTCTTATTACATAACGTTTCTTAATATTTGTTAAGTAAAAAAATTAAAAAAAAATGTTTAAGAAGTCCGTTCAAGATCATTCCTCATAGATTATTAACAGCCTATGCATTTAAACATTAACAAGTCAGATATAATGATACAGACCGTCTTGACACGTGTCATTTATGATTCGACGTGGAACGCTCATGTAGCGTTCTAATGTTGTGTTGAATGTATTCTTAAGGCAAAGGAAGTCGTCCTCCGAATACTCGAGGCGCCTGATAGTCGGTACTGTTTCGTATTTAATCAACGAGTTGAATGTGCATTGATCTTGTTGAGTTGACATCTGTAAAATAAAACCACTTGAGCAATACTTGACACCTATCATGGCCGCATCTAGCGGGGCAGAATCATCCTAATATACTTTTAGAAAAAGAACGATCTTCTCAAAGATGTCTATTACAATTCATACACGTTATGCATAGACATAAAACAAAAAATATCATTTACTACAAAAATATGCGACCTCAGGGAGCGGTGGGAAGGACGTATATCAAGTTTCTGCCCCGGTAATAAAAGGCGTAGATCCAGTTGACTAATTGTCTAATTATAAGTCTAAAGCAATCCATTTCAAAAATATAGTGGTTTACGAAAAGAAGGCCGTTAAATTCTGACCTGTCAACATCTATATGCAATCATCGTGTATACTTATGTTATTCATAATTAACTATCTTTTACAAAAAATATTAGTGAGGAACTAAATAAAAATATTAAAAATAAAAAATGGCTACAAATTTTTATACCAGAACGCTACCATTAGTAACGAACCTTTAAAAATCGATCCGATTCATGGCCAATGAGCAATGTAAGCATCGTCATTTCCCATTTTAAGAAAAATCTATTGTTTTCGTTATTTCCAAATAATCTTACAACTTTCATAGTTGTATTATTTTATTTGAAGTTTAGTTAATTATAAAAGAGTAGTTGAAGAATAAAGACGTTTAAAAAATGGCAATCAAAACGGAACTCTTTGATTAAGAACGTTTGCCTAACAGCGGTCTGTGCTAACAGTTGTCAAACTATTGAACTCAAAGAGAATTTAAACACAACATTTTAAGAGACGGGATTCCCATAGAACGATTCTAACATGCAACGCCAGAATTTATCGCCAGGGCATCCTTTTTTGTTAGTATGACGCTAATGCGGACATGATTTTCCCCATCTGGAATATAGCGAACTTATATTATTTGCCTTGGGAAGATACCCTAGGTCCTATGTGGGTCCTATTATGGTGAGCATGTTCGTTCCCACTGTGAACACATAATCGAAGTTAGTAGAGAAACCATTAATGCCACAAAATCTTAAGGGAAGCGGTTAAAATACCATAATGAGACCAAGAATCACGTCGCGGCATCTTGGCCGACGGCAATATTATGTTTATATTGTAATTGAAATTATGGGATGTAGCTGTTGTGCCTATTTATGTCCATAGTTTGGTATTTACGATAGGCACGCACGACACCAAAACAACATCGTTCCACAAGAGCATTTTTTTTATTGTTAGGGGTTATGTACAATAAAAATAAACAAACTTGGTCTCTCTCAGTGTAATAAACAAGGTTTAGCGTTAGAGTAATTCCCCTTAAAATTGCAATTTTAGTATCAGTCCAAATTCATATCACACTGAGAATAAGCAAACCCACTACCTTCTAGGAGTAAATATTACTCCTGTAGAACCTCGTACTAGGTTAACCTTTTTAACAAATTCTCTGTATAATAATATGAGTTTTGACTTATAATACTAAGTGCAATCTCCGCGTAAATTTACTCCAACTCTAAACCTTGTTTATTAATAACACTGTCTGTGTTTTGTTTATATTCTTTTCTACACAGTCACAGTAGGCTTAGCACTAAATAATCTATATAATGTGAAAGTGTAATTAGTAAGAAAGAGTTTTTTTTAATATTACTAAACTTATTGGGTATTGAGTAGTGGTGTTAGCTATCATTTGCTAAAAAAAAATACCATTTACTCAGTTTCCTGATCGCATCGCAAAAGTAATTTATATTAAAAACAATGTATTACAGACATATTTGAAACATAAATAAAACAGTAACATCATTATACATCAACGTTTAAAAATGCATTTGACAGGTCAACGCTTATATGGAGAGTGAACATTCTTCTTTGTAACTTTTAAAGGCGCAATTGCTATTATACATAGCTATTTAAATAAATGTAACGTAAAGTTCGTGTCTTTCAAATTTTAAATTTCAATTCATATAAAGGGATTGCGATAGATATTAAATTAAAATTAATTAGTCCCCGGGGCTGCCAATGCCAATGGATGCGTGGCCCAATAACCGACTTGATGGGTTACCTATCTCATCTTTTAGCGAGTCTTCTTTTTCAAATGAGATATACTAGACATGTGATTAGAATCGAATGTTTTTCGAATAGAAACATTTTCGTAAATATAGTTTTTTTTAAATCGTAATTCTTAAGTCAAACGAAAATAAATAACGAGTTTCTTATCATCATTATGATGAATATGGTGATGATGACTATCGAACATTATGTTAATTATCTCGAATAACAAATTCGCTATCATAATTCCACGGTCATCAATATCAATCATTAAAGTATATCAATACATTAAAGTAAACATAGGAATCTATTCATATCTTTAGTCAATTATTTTTTCTGTTTTTAAATATTGTCTAACAACCTTACAAACAGAAGTAAAATAATACGCTAGGTCATACGTGACTATTACCTCGTGTCCAATGCAGCGTGGCATGGAGAAGAGCTCGCTAAACAGGTTGGCGGTTTGCGTCTGCGAGGGTAACTGGAGCAACCCGTTGCATAGACTCCAGAAACCATCTCGGACCATGTAGAATCGAGGTGGGCGACCCATAGAAGTCACAGTTACAGCTGATACGCCAGACCTGCAAGTCGTGCCACTCTGTTTCATACGTCTATCATTACTATACTTTGGTGATTCCATATACTTACATTTAAGGCAAGTAAGTGTATTACCGGTATCGTTATATTCCCATTGTCGATGGTTTCGATACGTACTTATGATTGTCATAAAAAAAAAGTCATAAACATATCGTATCCAAGTACAAAATTCAAGAAGTAGCAATTTTTTTATATTTTTTAGAGTAAACATACTTACACAACTAAAATATACGATTAAAATTACGATGTAGGTAGAGTTTCTCTTCTTCTAAACATGTAAGAGACATTATATTTTAGTAAAATAATTAATCTGTGAGTTAAAAAAAGTTCCTTTTAGTAGGTACGAAATTTATATTAGAGATCAGCAGGAACATGAATGATGAGTACTTCATACTTATAGGTATTATAGTGTAAGCAACTTTTTCTTGATGCAAAATATGAAAACTTCCTAATATCTGATAAATAATGATCTTCGTTTGAAGTTATACCATGTGATTATCTTATGAGAGATCTAATGTTTACCAAATAAAGAAATAATATATTTTTAAATTACGAAATTACCTGCCATTTGCAATGGAATCTTTTAATAGTGATTCTCGTGTCGATATTTCATTAATTTGCAATTTAATTGACTCTGAGAGTATCCTGGCATTCTGCAACGTATTCTCCAGTTGCTGCTTCAGGTCGACTGTGGGGACATCGTTTTTTGAATAGGACTTTCCTATTTTGCTAGGTGTGCCTTCACCGGAATCTTGGTTTTGTACAAATTTAAACGTTTCATCGTCGAACGCGATGTCGTCTATGTTGTCTTGGTTTCTCCGATTCGTTTTCACTTTTCTGCAATAATCACATATATTATATTTAAACTTACACTAAACAAGATAAACGACAACAATTGGAAACATACTTACATTTGATCTTGTACAGGTGACATCCATTCTGAAATCTTAATAAAACATACAAATAAGTAAGTAGGTAGTTAAATTGTATGTAGTTACAAATCTTATATACCTTACACTTGCACTTACTTACACTTAATAAAAATTATATAACATACTAGGAAATGTTTAGTGGGATAAAAAGTATCCTATTATCTAAGTCAGCTAATACCCTATCTGTATACCAAATTTCATCAAAATCCGTTCAGTAGTTTCGGCGTCATTGACGGACAAACATCTAAACATCCAAATAAAGAAACTTTCACATTTATAATATTAATAGGATTTACCCAATCGCACGAGGAAAGGTGCAAAATGTAAAGAAGGGTTATTATTTTCGCGTAAAACATGTTGAACGTATCTTGCTGTATATGCTTTTGGCAATATTCTGAAAGTAACGATTTGTTTTTAAAAAATGTTTACCTTTCAATGATAAGGCCACACCAATTACAATTGTTCCATTGTTATGAACCTAGGTGACTTGCTATATCTACAGATGTTGCGTCGTAAAAAAATCGTAATAACTCATTTGTGTAAAAAAATGTTTGTGATACATGATATTAGATGGATATTTTATTAAATGTATGATCATAGTTGAATATACGATATGGAATTTGAACTCTATAAGGTTTTTAGAATGATCGAGGTCGTAGCAGCTACTAACCTTGCTCAGCTAGTACATTCTTGACAGAATATAATTACACATACGCTCGAACCGGTCTTACACTGTGTGTTGAGAATGTGTCATCACTCATCATTTAAGAAAATATTTATAAAAAAATAAACAAGAGTTTAAATGAAGTAAGAATTGATAATACATAGAATACTAATATTTTCTCTTATGTTGTTCCTAAGTTGAAAAATAGTTAATCAAACTAAAAAAGTATCATTTCAACCCAATGTCTATATTTACGAGAAGTATGTTTTCAAACAAACACACATAATATTTACACATACAAAATTAAGTATATAAATATTTCGTCATATTTCAACTAATTCACATACATCAAATTGATTTTATTTGAGATCGGTTAAAAACTCAAAATCAAAATTATTTATTCAGTCTAGGCTGTTACAAGCACTTGTGAAAGTTGAAAGCTACGCCATCGGTTCGTAAATCTACGGTGGGAGACCTTGTACTGAGAGGAACCGGCAAGAAACTTGGCAAGGGCTGCTTTTTTCTCCCTGTTTTATTTCATACAGAGCGTCAAGATTGACAAATGACTTCATTAAAATATGAAGTCACTTTCCATTACAATATTAGAAAAGATAAAAGTAAAACAGTATTTACGTCAATCGAATCACATGTCTGTCAAACAAGCTCACCGATAAATAATTTAATAAGTATACATAAAAATAAGCCGTATTTAACACCAAGCAGTTTTGTCGTTTAAATATTCATCAACAGTATAATTTCCTTTACTGAGTAGACAATTCTTAATATGGGTTTTAATTTTTTGGGCAATAGCAAACTTTAAATTACTATAGGAATTTTGTTATAGTAGTGTATACCTTGACCCATAAATGTGGTTAGAACCTTCTTTAGCGTGCATGAGGGCAAAACAAATTCATCTTTATTTTTAGTATTAAAATTGTGTACATGACTATGTTTGCTCTGAGTGATGTTCTTGAACCGAATTGATAAATAGCCCTTACTGCTCTTTTTTGTAAAATAAATATAAACTCTATACCTATCTGCAGCAATACCATCAGAATGCCATACACATGACATAACGGTATGGAAATAACTAAAGTATACTGTCCTAGAAGTATCTACATTTTGATTTGCCTAATTTTTCTTATTGCAAAGGCAGCTGAACTTAGATGACATTGCAATTAAGATCCAGCGTTACACCCAAGAACTTGTTGAATCAACCTCCTCGAGTTATTCATCATTAAATTTAATTTCTGTTAATTCAGCTTTTACATTAAGTAACAAATTTTTAAACATTTCGTTTTTTTAGCATTTAACTGGAGATTATTTACAGTAAACCAGGTCAAAGAAGTATCATCTGCAAACAATACTATCAGCCAGTTGCACAAACGTCCATTAAAGTTTTCGTTAGTTTAACGCGACATTTCCCATACAAATTTGACATTCATTAGAGCTTAAAGACGTCATTAAACGTCAATGAACGTTTGTGCAACTAAGCGTATATCGCATAAAGTTTTGACAAAGAAAGGCAAGTCATTTATGTATGTTAAAAACAGAAAGAAACCCAGATTAGGTCCCTGGGGAACCCTCATTTTTACTTGTGAACCAGATGACTTCGTGCCGTTTATATCGATAGTTTGAGTTTTGAAACTGAGGTACGTACGATTATTTGTAGGGCAGCGTCTTTGGTACCATATTAATTTAGCTCCGTTACCAGTGTTCAATGCATAACGCAATCAAATGCCTTGGATAAGTCACAAAATACTCCAAGAGCATTCTGTGATGCCTTCCAAGCCTTGAATATTTTAACTCCTTTTATAAGTCGGGTAATTGTTTACTCCTTTCATAAATAGTTTAAATTTCAGTAGTTTACATCTTCAAAACTTCTGAACCTGTTAAAGGCAATAGTGAATAGGTTCCTTCTGGGCAAGCTCGTCCCACCGTAGATTTCGTCTATGTCCTTGGGCTAGATTGAGGTCAAGAGTAAGCTTATTGAAAATTAAAAAAATATATTTTACTGAAACTTGTTGTATACCTTAATTTGAAACCTAAGCAAAAAATCAAATAAAAGGATCATTGCAATCTGACTTCTAGTTTGCGAGATATCAGTGGACAAACATACAGACATACATTCATTTATAACATTTTGCGCACTTGTTAAGAAGCCAGTTTAAACCAGCATATATGAATAATACACCATTCCAACGAAATTACATATATACACCTCGAATTGATAACCTCCTTTTTTTGAAGCCGGTTAAAAATATCACTTTAAATTATGACATTTTCTCAAGTAATTACTTCTCTCTACTTTAGATAGCAGTGTCAGTCCTCTCGTGATTGTAGAATTGCTAAAGATTGTATCTGACGGCAAATGACATTTACCAAGGTTGGGTTTCTTTTTTTTGACAACGCAGGAGTAATGCACCTTAAGCCAATGATGTCAGACGTACCAACTTCTTGGTATACATACTAGTTTTTAGTGTCACGTACCATGTACCAAGACTACTCAGTCATTGTATGCAAGAATACCAAGATTGGCCGTTGACCGACAAAAATACACTGACAACATAGAATAATCGACAAATTTCAGAGATGCATGTAAAAAAACATTCCAATCAGATTTCCTTAATGTCATAAAACTTTATTATATCAAGCTGTCTCGATGAGCAGTTAACATTTTCCGCCGTTATTTTCTCAATATGTTAGATAGCGTAGCTCCTGCACGGGATATTTTTTTTGCACCCTAAACTTCAAATCATTGTAAATCTTCGTTACAAATCATTTATTTATTTTTTTCAATATATTTTACATATTATATCCGAAATGCAATATAATATCAAAAAAAAAATGTTAAAAGTGATATTTCTGCCGTGTGTTCGATAATTACTGCCCTCTATTACCGGTATACGAAATTGAAATGTGCATTTTTTTTACTGAAATGCGATTTCCCACAGTGCGGAGCACAGGCGTACTAGTTTCCCCCCTCGAATACCAGCTTTCAGCCAGCTCGGTACAAGGATTTCTAAGTGGCCGTCTAACATCCCTGCCTTAAGCCTCAAACCAGGTCACTCCGACTCCGCACCCGTTCCGAAAAGGACAGGCTTAAGCGGGGTCGGCCTATCTAGTAAAATCCGCTGAGAGGGAAGGATCCGTGGCCTAATTGTCTAAAAAAATCTTTCACAAACCACTTTGAATTTGACATTTGAAAGACATTCGCGAACTTCACGCTACAATTATTTGACATATGAAAGCAATTGCGATCGCGACATTTTTTCGAAAGATATTGAATTAATGATAACGTTCATTTGACGTAAATCGGAATTAGCAAATTGATGGTTGCAAATACCTTTGAAAGCTATTGGGCAATGTCAAATAAAAACGTTGAACACTAACTGCAATCTTACGATATTTTATGTATGTTTTGATCATTTATTTAAAAGTTTTAGTATCTTTATATCCATTAAAAACCCAATTACGCTCATATAACATAAATACTAAGAATATTTTATTGCTTTTGTATTTATAACTATTTCATAAAATGATTGTTTTTTAACTATCATAAAATTTGCAAATTCCACTAAGGTGACTATTTCACTATGTAAATTAATTTCTCCATTATTGGGTTATAGAATTTTTATACGTGGATTTACTCAGAACTCTACATACTACAAAAAGAAATTAAAAGCTAATAATAAATATTTCAAACTTAAAATAAAATGCCAAGTTTATGCAACTTTTCTGAAAGATGATGCACGGGCACAGCTGATGACATGACGTGCTTAGGGATTCAACGATACCACGTTGGAATCGATACTTTTACTCGATATTTACTTGTATCGAACAGTTTTAAAATGCCTCGCCATCGTCGTTATTTTTATAGTTTTTTCAGAGTAGATTTGATACTATTGATAGTCAACAGCTATACTCTGTATAATGAAGAAAGAGAAGTGGGTTTAGACATAAAAAGCTATGTACATAGAAAGTATTTAGTTAGGTATTGCTTCAAAATAGGGATGATAACTGGGTAAAAAAAATGCAATTCTATTTAGTCCGTCAGTCAGATAATAGAAAAATATTAGATACGTATTTTTTTTACTTCAATTTAACAAGAAGTAGTATAGATAACAGGCATTAAAGTTGAGGAGTGGGGGCTCGCTACGTCACAGTTGAGTAGAAAACGTACTCTAACGTGACGTCATGCGAAATTTTAACTCAATGTAACGTCGTAATTTTATGATTATGAAAAAAAGAAAAAAATACGTGTTTAATATTTTTTAACACTCTACCTGACGGACAAACAAACAAAAATTAGTCATCATCCCTATTGTGTTGGCTGTGCCCCTCTCTAGATAGATCTCTAACTGCATAAATTTAGTAGGGGTTAGTAATGATGAGTCATACATGGACAGGGACGCTGCGCTTGTGGGACTTTTCATAAGATAGATTTTAGACACCTTAACACAGAGTAAACGGACTTATACTTGCGAGTTTTTGACACTCCTCAGTGACTGACCGTCGAAGTACCGATAAAACACTTACTTTCTTACTTCACGATATTATTTACTAATCGGTTCTAAAGTATCGATGCCATAAGTACTCGGTGTCGATATAAAATTATCGAGTGAGTACTTGTATTTACTCGTATTGGTTTAACCCCTTTAAGGCCTAGCTGACAAAATACGCGCTTGGTGCGTTTTGTTAGTACGATGGTTTTGTTTGTTTTTTTGTTGAAATAAAACGTTGTGTTTGTCATAAGTTAGAAATTATATAACATTCTATTTTTTTATTTATATGAATAAAATATTTTTATTGTTTAGTCGACATAGGAAAATTAATTACATTCATACGAAATCGTAAATATTATTCACAACTTAACAACAACGAAACGAAATGAATTATCTATGACATTCTATATCATTCAAATCATCATTCGTTCCGAAAGCAATTGTGACATTAAAAGTTACCCAATTCCATAAATCACTATCACAACCGCTATATGTTTGAAAATAATTATGATAGATTGAAAAATTAGACAATTAGGCCACCGGAATTCAGCAAGGAGTTCGCCAGGTCCTGCCCTACACCATAGTTGAGGTCCTGCAAAGGGACGGAAAATGTGGAATAAGTATACCTTCAATTTTAATTTAAAGCCAGAAAGACAAATAAAATAAGAAAATGTATAATAAATACTCATCATCATCATTATGTCATCTCATCACATAATTGAAGTCGAGAAGACATTTTTTAGGTTGTTAATATTTAACTGCCCAGCGTCAAAATTTTTTTATCGACATATAAACCGTCTTCAAGATGTGCAATATTTTTCACACTTTTGAGCCCATTTATTTTTAATTTTTTTTTTAAATTTTATAATTTATAGATGTATGTATATACAAAAAATTGTTTACCAAATGCCACGTACAAATTGAGCGAACGAACAAAATGAACATCAAAGTAAATGAGGAAGTATTTAAAAAAAAAAAAACGAAAGCACAAAAAGCACCTCCACTAGATGGCAACAAGCATTTTAAACTTAACTTTTTATAAAAAGCATATATTTGTTTTTTATTTATCCTATAGAGAAATACGTGAAAAGAATATAGTATCTAGTATCCAAGGTGGGATTGTAACGTTGGAAAATAAATCAAGGACTATGTATTTTATTTACTGAAGGCATGTTTACCTTTTGTATTGTCTATTCGTGGAATTTATAAGATTTTTAATAATTGAATAATTTGGCATCTGCCCGTGGAAACAAGAAAATTCTTTCTATATAGTACAATATAGATACCAAGGATGATCAAGATAAAATATAACTTATTTTCAATAACCCTGTAACCAAAAAATGACAATTAATATTTTCCTATGAAATTGCATCATAAAACGAAATCTCAAAAATAGCTAATGTACAAATTCGCTATGAAATCATGTAGGTTATAAAAACAACGTAAAAAACAATAACAAGGGACCAAGTAAATTCAACGCAGTTGTACATCTGTTCTTTTAACAATTGGTCATTTACTTAACCTAGCTTCCAGTGATGGTTAAATTTTTTGACAAATGGTTGTAATTCTGACAATTGGTTAGGCTAACTATTAATCAAAAAACATATTTTTCTGATATTTAACCATTTGTCAAAGATTTTAACAAATGGTTGAGTTAACCACGGTTCAAAACACTGGCCCTTAGATGTCAATACAAATACGAAAAAGTAAAAATAGAATATGAGTTGTTTATTGAGTTTTGAAAACTAATTTACTTTTAAACTTGAAAGAAAACCGGAAGGGTTGTCATGGAGAAATCAAGAACGTTCCGTAGCTATATCTAGTTTGATTTCAGGAACTATAATGTTTCTTTTTAAATACTTCCTCATTCAATCGAAGCGCATCATAACGTCAATTCGTTATGGACTTGGATATATTTTAAACATTACAAAAATACCTTCTAGATATCTAATTCATTCATATCTAATAGGTAAATAACTAACGGGTTTCTCCAACGTTCTGTATTCATTTAGATAAAGTGTTAATTGTGGATATGGATACCATCCATTCGAATGATCTAAAATATTGGTATTACAGAGGTACATACATAAAACTTTTTAGTATTAAACCTACGAGTTAATGGAATTCTATGCTAAAACAATTATAGACAATATTGGGCCAGTTGATAACAGGGGTTACATGCTTATCTCAGTCATAGAATAAACAGATAACAATAGCGATAGATAGATATAATTTTATGTATATCGTAATATCTACATTTTTGTAGATTACAAAATATATACATTTTGGTCTTTCTCCTCTTATTATTAAAGAAATATAAAAATAAACTACATACAAATAAAAAAAATAAATTTAATACCATTAATAATTAAAAACAACGCCAGAGTACCCTAGTGTTTTGCAAAGACTAATATTAAATTTGTAGAGCGACAATCTCGAGTTCATTAAATATTTGTTTCTTGTATTTTCACGCACACTAGTTACTTATTTATTAAAACTATGAACGGTTTTATTCCGTCTATTTAAAGTAAAAAGCTTACATTTCTCTGACGTTTCGTATGTTTTGGAAATACGGAACTGCAAAGGACCTGCCTCGATATCTACTACTTACGCCTACGATATTTGTTATCGGCGTAGAAAATAATGCGCCCGAGTACCGCGTTTATGTTACCATATTTTTTTGCAGTATATGATGGTTGTTTCTTTTATATTATATACATATTTATGATTGTTAAAAGACATTTTTTTGTAAAATTATGACTTTTTTGCCTTACTGACACTGATGCCCTTCGAGATCCAGGCCATAAACATGAAAAAGATACCTGATATAATATACAAAAGCTAATTTTCTCCATTGACCGCGACCGAGAGTCGAGCCCAGAGATGGCGACACCTTGGCCACTCAGCCAATAGCCTGATAGAAATACGAGAAAAACGGAAATAATTCGATATAAGCCTGGAATATTCTTAATCGAGTTTGTGAGCATATTACAAGATACTATATTTAAGAATCCATCTCATTTTAGCTACGCATGGTATAAAAAAACATCAAGTCAAAAAAACCTTCATTTCCTTCATGCAAAATGACTAACACGACTTTTTTCACAAATTTTGTTTTTATTTATCATAGCGACAATGAAAATTACTGAAATCCAACAAAAAAAAATACAGGAAATATTTTTTTTAAACTTTATTTTTAGCTTTTTTTTTAGTAGTTTAATATGATAAAACTTTTATGTAAAGTATTTCTGAGTGAATTTTAATGATTTTTAGTAGTGTTTGACTTAAAACTCTGCTGCATATATTGCGTGTTGTATTTTGTGTTGCATTGCTTCATAAATAATTATAAGGCTATTGGTATGCAATATTCCCATGGAAATTTTCATTTGATTCAAAACAAAATATACTTAACGCAATATAATAATATCGATTGAAGTCGTATTTCATTGTTAATATTATTGACTTTTTTACAAATATTTTTTAAATATTTATTGTCCGTGTTATATAAAAATAAAGTTTCCAAATATAATATTAGGAAGATTTATGTATTTCATGGAAGTAACATAAGTAACAGCGTGAAAATACGTAGAAGTCACTTTATAAAATACATATAAATGCTTATCATGCTATTGAGAAATTAAAGGAGTTTTATTTTTTTTTCTAATAATCCGAAAGAAAATGTCGTTGGAATAATTCATATATTAAAAAGGAAATATATGATAACCTCATAATAATAAAAAAATAGCTGTTATGTTTTAATGTTTGATCTCCATACTGAAAGTTGGTATTTGTGTCAGGCTACAAGGAGGTGGTCAATCAACAATACAATAATAAATAAATTATTAATATAATACGATATCTACATCATAAATTTAAAACAAAACATAACACATGCAACTAATAGCTGTTTGTTAAGTATTCCTGACAATGAATTATTAGTAAAACATAGGTAGCTAATTAATTGCTATGCAACCAGTTATTACTTATGTAAATATTTGCGACAGTTTTATTTTTGTCGAGTAACTGTTATTTATTCATTTTTAGTTTAATGTTAAGCGCATGACTAAAGAAACATAAAGATATGCTATATACCTATTATAATAAATAAATATATGTATTTCTTTGGCTTCGATTTCATTGGCGCTACAAGATTTTCAAGTCAATTGCTGTTAGAGATAAAATTGATTATAAGTACTTTAAATGTTTAGAATTTATTTATTTAGGTTTAAGTCCGCACAAACGAAAGGTTGTTTTTTAAAACAATTGAATGAATGTCTATCATTAATAGTCATTATATAACATTTTTTGTGTTATATAATATGTATAATGTGTTATGTAATATGTTATATAAACTAATAAACTGGAATATAACTTATATTCCATTTTATTAGTTTCTGTCCCTTTAAATACTTTGACGACTCGCTGGAGTACAAAGCAATTCAGTTTTGATCGCAATAAAATTTTAGGTCATCTGCATACAGTAAGCTTTTGCATGAGTCACTATATTAGAAAGGTTATTATCATTATCAGAAATAGGTGGAACTGACAACTTCTAAATGCAAAGATATTATAGTTTAATGTATTTGTTTCAATGCCATTCAACTTCTTCTTAATAAATACGTGTTTGCCACAGCATTAGAGATTCTAAATAGAAAAAAACCTTATATCCTTTTCGAGTAGGTTTTATTTTATTAAATCTCTAACGCTGCCACGGTGCTTTCTGTTCTTCGCTGTTTTTTTAAAGAATAGTACTATAAAATAAAGTAGGCTTTCGTTTTCTTAAGATTTCACAGTGATATTCTCTTTTTTCTAGTGGAAGATTTTCTGGATGGGTTGTTGTCAAAGGAGGCTGAGGATCAACCCTCTGACAATGTCCCTCTTGAGAAATTGGAAATGAAACTGCCAGATGACTTTGATGAGAAACGATTCAATCAGTAAGTAAAAATATATTAGTACAATTGTTCCAAATATTAGGTTCTAAGATCCCTGCACTTTTAATGGCCTTCGTTGTAATGTAAGGGTAACTTTGACCCGTTAGATATGCCATGTTATGTAATGTTTAAATCAAATAAGGCAATGTAGCTTCAAATCCTAAATATTTATTTTATAAACTACAGTCACCATAAACATAGAGTAGAGATCAGAATTGAAATAAAAGATTGGTAGAAATAAATATTAATTTTCAATATTAATAATTAATTAATGGTAAATTATGCCAACAATTTTTCCGCGAATTGTTGACCGATTTTCAAAATTCTTTTTTATTCGACAACTAGACAGACTGAAGTGATTCTATTTGAATTTTATCAAAATTGAATCAGTAATTTCATTTTTGCTATACACAATATGCTTTTTATCGGATATCATCTAAATATTTTGACGATATACATCGGTATGCAAAATCCGAAAGAAGGATTTTCTATGTTCAACGGGAATCTATTTTTTTTATGTAAGTAGGTATGTTCTTCGATTTCCACTTGAATTGTGAACCGATTTCTATCAAACTAGCTGTTTTCCCGTGACCTTGACTGCGTAAAATATGGCCTATGTCCCCCGAGTCTTATTTAGCTTCCCGTAAATTAAAAAAAATTATAATCGGTCCAATAGTTTCGGAGCCTATACAATAAAAACAAACAAGCAATCAAATCTTTCCTTTTTATATTAGTATAACTTATTGGAAAAAAATATGTCGGGCAAATAAACAAAATCTCCTTTCCAATCACTACCACTGAAAAGTATGTTATTTTTTTCAAATATAGACTTCAAAATTTAAAAAAGGGATAAATAATAATTATCTCAAAAGCTTCTTATTCTAGAAACTGCTATTGAAGTCGGGCTCCTATCATTTAATCAATAACATACAGTAAACCTCCGTTCCACTTCAATAGCACTTTCTTGAATAAGTCGCTTTTGAGTTATTATTATTATTCAAAATTTTATTTTTCATATAGGTTCCCAGTTATGAAATCATTGTTCGCTATATTACAAAGATCACTTAGAAGCACTCTGGCTAAATAAAAATAATGAAATCGTAAACCGAATAATTCGGCCCAATATCCGGTTCGGTAAAAATTAAACCGAATACTATTAGGTATCCTATTATACGGTGAAACCACTATTAGGCACATCTCTTATTACTATTAATTATTAATATACATAATAAGTAATAATATTATGTATCGAACGTTGAGTGTACTTGATTCTATGTGTGATGTCAAGGTAAACACTTCTTGAAGTTGCCACTTGCCATGATACGTACAAATAAACTGAGCATTGCATAATCAACGTAAATTTATCGTGAATAGGCTGCGAAAACTCAAAAGCTACCAATAGCATATAAACATAGAGGTACAAAACTATGCGATAATGGTAGTAAATGTCAGTAGCGCCATCTAACAGTCGTTCATAAATAACTTTAAAGGCAATTGGGTAACACTTATATCCCTATAAAAGTACACTAAAGTTCTTATTTGTAGTATACACGAAATGGCTTACCTATTGAGGAGAATGATGGTGACCAGGTATTTTTAACGGGATAATGGTTGATTTTATTAGCTTTTTATGTTACAATTTCAGAGTAAATTATAAAACAAAAATCAAAATGACATTCTTTATAAACTAAAAATAAAATACCTATAATCAAAGATGTAATGAGGTGCTAACGGCACACTGCCATTAACTGGAATAGGAATGACCACTTATTTTTGTTTGTTTGTCCGTCAGGTAGATTATTAAAGAATATTACATACTTTTTTATTTTTACGTAATCAATAAGTTACGATACATTGAGTTGAAATGTCGCATGACCTCACACTTTTGTACATTTTCTAATAAACTGTAACTTAGCGAGCCCCCACTACTCAACTTTAATGCCTATTATTAAAGCCATTTCTTGTTTAAATTGAAACAAAAAATATTATCTAATATTTAACTATTATCTGACTGACGGACAAAATTGTTTTTTTTACCCAGTCGTCATTCCTATTAAAAGCTTTATGAATTGACTTCTCCAAGAGGTAACAATTCCAATACTGGTGTAGACAGTAAACGAAAATAAATACTTTTATTCTGGTAGTGGTTAATACAAGGATATCAATGCATGGAATTGATAATGACATGATTTATGTAAATGTCATTTCATTACTTATGATGAGCTGGTAAGTTTCTTTCGCTCGTTCTTCTTGTCAGCTAAAAGACGTCCTGAACAAGTGGTAGAAGAAAAAATTTTTGGACGATTCAAAAGTGCTTGTAATAGCCTACTTGAATAAAGATATTTTCATTTCATTTATACTTTTACCGATAATCATTATACCGATATAATTTTATATTTATAATATTGCCTAAACTAATTATGAAAAAACATATATTTTATGGTCGTTGTCACGTGACCGCAAACAACGCGTGACCTCATGGTCTTCTTACTCGTATTAGAACTTAGAGAATTCAACCTCATTCATACATAGAATACAGAACGATATTAATTTTAGGAGTGTCGTGACGTCATAGTGACGCCATGACAGAATTGGCACTTTCGAGGGCTTTTTTAAATTAGGTACATCTATTTATTCATTTCATGTATATCTATAAAATAAAAAAATAAAAAAGTTGTTAACACCCCTATTAACTTTCATATTTCAAATGTAGCGTGAAATTTGTAAATACCTATCAAGTTGGGATTATGATAGATTTTAAAATTAGACTATAAGACCCCCGAACGCTCACCTTTCATATGAAGGTCATTTTTTTTTGGACCGAAAAACGAAACGAACTTTTGTCTGTCGCTGTACACTCACAAATCACGGAAAACAAAAGCGAACGGTCATGCTAAATCTAATATCTAATGGCCCGACGATGATGATGATGAGGAATTTTGCAATTCTGTCAATTTTGTATGTCAGTCTATATAGTTTTCATCAACATGCATCAAAGAGGGCACATATACATGAATTATAAGACGGTGTCTTCATTTGACAGAGGTCGCCGTTTCTACTGGGACAACTGCTACGCGATGAGCACATCCATGATGTTAGGTCTGGTGGCGGTATTCGCGGTGCCATCCATTCTGCGCATCCTGGTCAGCACACGCCGCTCCAATTCCACGTTCACCGCTTACAGAAGATATCTCTCCACGTTGCTTCACACAGTGACTTGGTTCGAACATGAACTTAAGCCCGGAACCAAGTAAGTAAATTATTCGGCCCAGCAACTAGTTAGATTCTCTGTGTCTTTTCTTACCTAGGTTATGTCCAAGTTTTTAGTGGCTAGTCTTCCGCATTTGGCCTGCTCAGTGCTCTGGCCGCTAGTTAACATTAGCTGAGGGGAGTCCTACAGAGCCCCATCATCCTGACAGGCGGCAAGGATAATGCTTAACGCATTTTCCCTGGGCAAAAAAGAAATTTAATTTATTCATATTTAATAAATTGGTTTTGTTAAAAAAATTAAATCGAAATATGTTATATAATTGAAAATGAGAAAACTTTATTTTACTTACAGGTAGTGATTTTGTCACAGTCAAAATGTAGGTTTATTTTCTCATAATTATCTCTAATATTCACCATTTATAATTGCTTTTAAAGAAATTGCACAAAAACTAAAATTTATATCGTTATAAACATCTAATTTTGGGTCTTAAAATCGAACGAGTATCTTATTGTATGAAAATTAAAAGTCGTGTTTTCTTTGTGTTTCACGTGACTTGAAACACGTCCCGCCATTGTATGCTGTGTTGACAACTGTCAGATATATGTACCTATTAACTATAAATTATACTCTTAGATGGCGCTGTTCTTAGCTTAATTACATCTTTTTATTGCGTAATCGATCGTTAGATGTCATCATTCTTGTTTTCATCATCATTCATCTTTTAATCTTCAACCCTGACAAAGAATTCAAACTTATGCATAGAGAACCGTGTTATAGCGTCGCCAAGAAAGAAGTGGCATATTCGCGGGAATTTTTGAAAATAAATTTTATTTTATGAATGATAATTTTTTTAAATCCATCATATTACCTTTATTTATCAGTAAATATTGAAATTGATTAACAGATCTTGGAAATCCCTATATGCAGTTCGCACTCGTCATCTAAAGGCAGGAAATGCGGCTAAGCTTAAAGGTTTAGGAGTGGTGTCACAAAGGGATATAGCGCTGACTCAATATGGTTTTATTGGCTTCTCGCTTCTTAAACCAGACAAGTTCGGCATAACACAATTACAAGAGGGCGATTGGGAAGCCTACGTATACAGTTGGAGAGTTATCGGGCAAATGATCGGATTGGAAGACAGGTTAGAATATATATTTATTATAACCTCTATGAGGTTCTTATAATTCATCATATTTATAATTCATCATGTTTACATTCAATAAGTCGTTTTAATTAACAATAGTGCTCTTCTAATTTTATGGAGTAAAATATCTCTATTGATTTATAGTGACATGTTTCGCGCTTTTAACATAACTTGATCAATATATGACCTATGTTAAAAAAAGATATTCGATTTTTTAAGACAAATAAAGGTATTTTTTACTTATTAATTAGAATACTTGTGCCATCTCTTGACAATCTAATATCTGAATCAGTGTATTTCTAAGTCAATTCCTTTGGATTTAAATTCAATTAAGTCACGAAAATAAACAAGTACAATACATATTTTAGTTGAAAACACAAAATATCGTTACCACATTATTTATAATTTTTTGGAATCGTCATGTAGGTATTTTCTTTAAATAAAATAGTTTACACCGTAAAAGATGTGTTCTTCAAACACTTTTATTAGTATAAAGTTTATAGAGGGTTATAAGTATTAAGTTCTTAGCAATATTTTTTCATAATCTCGTTTCTTTTCCAGGTACAACATATGCCGCAAAACTGCCGAAGAGACGCGGCAGGTATGTCAGGCGTTACAAGACCGTGTATACACGCCATGCCTTGAGAATGTCCCTGAGTACTACGAACACGCTGCCCGGGTTATGTTGGACGGTATGTGGTACACCTCTTTTTACGGTAACTCTAACTCAATAGGTAAAAGGAAATGTTAAATAAGAGATAAATTCAATTCATATACAATTGTATACTTTATGTTAGAAACAATATAAAAAATAAGGTTCTATCATCATCACCAACCTTTTAATGTTCCAACTGCAAGACCACAGGATTTTTTTTTAAAAGAGGAGATGCACCTTAAGCCTTATACCAACCACCCTGCCCTTGTCCTGTTAAACCTATCTAGTAAAACCCGCTGCGGAATACCCTCGGTGAGGGAAAGACCCGGACATTCACCAATATCCGCGCGCCTGAACCCTGTTGAATATAAGTAAGACAGACACCAAATGATTCAGATTTGTATTTTACACTTTATGCTTATCGAAATAACACTTCCTAATTTTAATCGTATATACGGTTATCGGCGGTATTGATGATGATGTGTTTTGCTCATTATTAGTTGCAACTTAAGAATTTTCCTTGCACTATTTATCTTTTTTTTTCCGTAGCAGAATGGTTCGCACACTGGTTTCAAGGTGTAGCCATCTCTGGGTTCGATTCCCGGTCGGGTCAACACAAAAAAAATAATTTTCTATATTGTGTTGGGTCTGGTAACTTGGATGGTTCAAATACTCCATAAAACGAGAGCTTGAGAAACTCATCTTGGAATCTGAGCAGTGTCTGTATATTATTCCTAGTATAAACTTTCGTGGTTTTGTTAAAAAAGAGATAAATTCAATTCATATACAATTGTATACTTTATGTTAGAAACTGCTTGGTGTTAAATATAGCTCATTTTTCATGTATATATTAAATTGTTTATCGGTGAGCTTCTTTGACTACACATGTGATTCGATTGATGAAAATACTGTTTTACTCTTATATTTTGTAATATTGTAATGGAAAGTGACTTCATATTTTAATGAAGTCATTTTTTAATCTTGGCGCTCTGTATGAAATAAAACAGGTAGAGAAAAGCAGCCCTTGTCGAGTTTCTTGCCGGTTCTTCTCGGTACAAGGTCTCCCGCCGTAGATTTACGAACCGATGGCGTAGCTCTCGACTTTCACAAGTGCCTGTAGCAGCCTAGACTGAATAAATAGTTTCGATAATGTATGAATCAATAATTAATTTAAAAAAATGTGATGTTGTGTAATTTTTTTTTTCTTATCTGCAGGGATGTGGTCTGTCAATCCGACTGTGAACGTTAGTGCTATGTTGTATTTGACCCGCTACCTGGCCGATGTCCCCGGCTACGTATACACTGAGACTGATCGAATTCAGTTTCAAAGAAAACTCAGGAAACAATTGCAAGGAAAATCTTCCGACACAGGTAAGTTACAATCGACTAATGATATACTTATAAACCATCGTTGCAGCGTTCTTCGCCCACTTCGAATATCTGCGATGTTTTTTTTTTTAATAAAATAGTGAATGCAAAACTTGTCTCATCAAAAACATAACATGTACAAAAATACACAAGTCTCACAACGCAATTCTTCTCCCGTAAAAAGTTATGAAATCCACGTAAACAAAGTTGATTAATTCAGTACCTATCTTTCTGTAAGAGCAGTTAACCTTGTCATAAACTTAGGAATACTTAACAAACACACCCACACACACATTAATCACCTAAGTACTTTTAAACCAATAAAGCACAGTTCCATAACTTTAGATAGATTTTTACGTAAAATTCCTTTACCATACCTATGCGTTCATCAATATCCCTAAATCTATGACAAGATGGGATAGTTGCTCTCATAGAAATATAGGTACTGAATTAATCGACTTGGTTTACTATTTTCATGGGATCTCATTTATTATTGTAGGTAGTACTCTTTTTTTTCTTTTCGGGTATTATATCTTGGGCGACAAAGATCGCTCACTCTTAGTCTTTGTAGATTTTTTAAAAAGGCGTTAATGTATTGATTTTCGATAAATCATACAAATCTACTCGATGAATATACATCTTCAATATGTCTATTATATTCAGAATTCAACCAAAGTTGACATTGATTAGATATAAACAGGTTAGGGATGTCGTTCTCGAAGTGCCATATATGCTTCATCATCATCCCTTTACATCGCCACTGCAGCGGCTCAGGCCTTCCTTATGGATGTTTAAGGAGGATTGGCCATGACATTTCACGCTAGCTCAATACTGATTGGAGGGTAGTAACGACTGCAAACGTAGCCAGGACCAACGTCTCAACGTGCCCTCCGAAGCATGGAATAATTTGAGATAATATAATTTTTTTTGTCACCCATCCTGTGACAGACCCTTGCGAAAGTTGCTTACAACAATGATCGCAGGCCGTGGCGTTTATTCAATATGCCACCGAAATTGATTGCATGTAAAAGCTTTGGAAAAGCTATTTATATTTGGACAGCCAAATATAAATAGCTTTTCCAAAGCTTTTCCAATGATAATAGTTTCTTTATCATAGATTTTTTTATTTTTTTTTATTAATCTTTGACAAATGTGTGTAAAAATAGTTTTTGGTTTGTGTTACTAAGCGACATATTAACGGATGTTTTCGAAATGCTCTACCGTTATAAATAATACAAAAATCGAAAAAAACGAGACAAATATTTCATAATTTTTTATTTTTTCCTTACTTTGTATATAAAATTATAACACTGGTCAGAATTTGGAGCCCGTGGGTCTGCTAGAAGTACCATAGAATTTTGATGATCTATGAGTCAGTCAGTGATAAGATTAAGGTATTTTGAATTGCAATAATTCTTAAAGTACTTGTTTAAATTTAATGTGATATGGATATATGCCTCGTTATCTCATGCTCTCTTGATCGATCAAAAATTAGGTTTCTAATTTACTCCACAACGAAGTTACAGGGGGTCTAAAACGACCTGAATGACTTTGAGAAAGGATGGTACGGCCCTACTCTTTTTACTTTTTTGCTCGACTTGGCGGGAGCACTTCTATGCTCCCAGATTAAATATGAACTTACTTATTACGCAAAACTAAAAGTCATAGGACATCTACAGGACACGGCGCCAACTCAGTTAACTTGACATTTAAATTTCAGCATTAAATTGCATGTCATGCCAAAAAAAGCAAATGGCAGCTGTCAACTTCTAGTTTTTTTTTCTTTGACGTTATGAAATGTATCATACGAGATACGATTTAAGGGTCAAATTTAATAAAACAAGTTAATTGCTGGGTTGGAGATCTGTTTAGACACAATATAATATAGTACAGAATGAAATCTACATACAATGTGCGCTGCAGCATAGCACACATACACAACGCACACGGACACGTTTTGTATTGTAATAGTATGCTTATTCTTTTCGTAAAATAAAATTTTATTTACGATAGCTTTTTGTGCATAAGTCATAGTTGACAATCCTAATACGACCGTAGATGCGTATGTATGGAAAGTGAAGTATTTCTGTAGTATATTTTCTGTGCTTTAGGTGTGGTAATAATAATCATTTGTTTCTATTCTTTAAAGGCGTGGATTCTACGTCGCTGATGTCAAAGCCAGCACTAAGCGGACTCCCATCGTTACCTCCCCGTCTCCACTACATGCGCGATTACGAAAAATTAGAAACAGTACCAAATTATAAACAGCTTTGTCTAAAAGCTAAATACAAAATAGCTTTCTTTACCATACAGTCGGTCTTATTTACTACGTATTTAGGTCGTATTTACTTTAATTTGCATTTCATATTCGCCGTTTTTCTCATGAGATATTTCCCCTATTTGGCATTCTTTAGATTTGGTGTGAAAAAATCACTTGTAGATATATTTGTTGAAGATCCTATTGATGATGCAAAATTAATACCGAATTCAGAATACTACAAAAAGGATATGGTTGAAGAGCCGTGGCATAAGAAATGTCTTAGTTTTATTTGGTGACAGTATTAATGTGGCTTAAGGGGCACAATTGGTTTGTAGTTATTTTTAATATATTAATTTTTAATTAGTGCCTTAATAATTTATCATCATTTTAAGATAATTATACACTGTTTTTTTTTACACCATGACTAGCATAACGTTATGACAATGTCCAAACATATTGTTTGGAAATACCTTTTTAGTACATACGAACAATTAACACTTAGCTTTAAGGATAGTTAATGAAATTGACATTATACGTAAGATTTATTATAGGAATATACTATTTTTTTTATTCCTTGGCATCAAAGAAAGCTCAATAAAAAGTGATAGGTTAAGGTCTTTTTTTTCTTTAATTTTGTATACTATTTGACAATAAATTCCTGTTTGTACAAATATCAATTTTATAAGTGTTTATTTAATCTTTAATGTTAAATGTTTATTATTTTATGCTAAAGACCAACCTTAAAAATAACCTTAAAACAATAAAAATCATGTATTGACATAAATTTTATTCTAGATTGCGAATACCGTCCTGTAGGAAGTAAGTGTAATATTATTATGTGCCAGCACGCGTAGCATGACAAACTCGAGAAAAGTGACATTTGAGTGTAGACAAAACGTTCTCGAGTTCGTCATGCTACGCGTGCAGGACTCCGTGGCGCGAGTGAAGTGTGCTGAACAACTTTTACTATGGGAGCAACACTGAATTCACGAAAAAATAATCAGCTCTCTCATACCGATATTGTAATACTTACCTACAGTCGCTAACAGTATGAAACGGCTAATTATTTTTCCTCGCTTTCCTCCTTTTGTCCACCCTACGAAGTCCTGGCACATAATAATATATCATGTTATATATTAGTTTGAACTTTAAATGGATCATTATGGGTGCTTGATCCTTATAACAAAAATGTTTTCTATGAATAAGACTTCTAATATAATAATAATAATAAAAATATTGTTGGTTCAACTACGTTGGTGTAATGGTTGATGAGCATAATAATTGGAAAAACCGTATTGAAAGTCTATTATACGAAAAAGTTATTCCTTTTACATTCCGCAACAGTTTCATATTTCAGATGATATGCAACATAATTTATGATATCTTTAATTTAATCCAGCGTTAATCACTTCAAATTGCCTTAAGCATACTATGTATACGTTGCCTTACTGCTAGGCTGTGGTAAAGTTACATGGATTAAAAGTGTTCATTGTGAAAAAGCCTTAAAGCACAAAAACATGTATTCAAATAGATTAGTATAAAAATAGGTTAATAATAATATTGTAAACCTATTTTGAAGAAGCATAATACTAACACATAGGTACATATAGCGGGAATGTGCCTACTTGAAAACTCGCAATAATTTATGTAAATGTGCCAGGCAAAAAATGGTATTAAATAGCGATTCCCAAATAAAATCTCGCATTCTTCAATGAAAATGCATACTATAGAATAATTAAATTGTATAACAATCTTCCGCCTTGCCTTATTAGTAGTAAAATTTAAATATAATGGATTCAATAAAAGACATTTTATTCGGTTATGGAATACTTAAAGGAGTAGATTTTAATATAATGATAGTATGTAGATATTGCATGTTTTTAATTATTTATTTAATTTCTTAATAAAATTCACAAAGATTGAACAGATTTAAAGACTGATTCTTTAAAATACTTGCGTGCCCACAAAAGGTATTATGCCGTTGAGATCTATAAATAGTTTATTTGCATCATATATTTTCTTTTTGTAGATGACAGATTTTTATCTTATATGATACCTATATACAAATAACCAATATATATTATTTATAAATAACTAATGTTGTTTTATTTTTAATTACTTACTGTAATTGTTTTCAACTTTTCGAAATGTTTGCCAGCAACCCAAACTGAATAAATAAGGGATTTAGTGAAATTTTCAACTCTACGTTAATCATCATCATCACCAGCCCTTTTACGTCTCCACTCCAGGGGCTCAGGCCTTCCTTATGGATTGTTAAGGAGGATGGGCCATGACCCTCTACGCGGACCCAATGCGGATTGGAGGGTATTAACGACTGCCAATGCAGCTGGGACCAACGGCGCCTTACGAAGCACGGAGTAGCTTGTGATAATAATTTTTTGGTCACCCATCCCGTGACTGACCCTTTCGAAAGTCGCTTAACGAGTTGGTGACGTCATTTTTATATTTTTCTGAATTTGTCCTAATTTTAAAATCACCATGTCTGTCAGTTTGACAGCGCTATCCTCTTGGCTTTTGAATTGATTTCTTGACTCGTCAAGTCCCTTATTTATCAGAAAAGAAAAAGCGACAAATAGCTATGTTACGTAGTTGATTCATTGTATTGCATTGTATGCTGTTCTAATGTCGGCAGCATACAAAGGTAGCGCCAAAAGTAGAATTATGTTTATATCATTACAAGATTATTTTTTCAATAACATAACTATCTTTAGCAATTAACTGGTGTCTATGGCCAGATTTGAAAGTGGAGCTTTCTTTGGGTATGTTCCGATATACACTGCGACCACTGAACAATATGACGTCAATTTAGTATACTGGAAGCCCGTTCCCACAGAAATATATTTCTGTGCCCGTTCCTTTATAGCTAGTTATACAGGTGACTTTTTAAAACGGAACGCAGTCCAGTATACTGTTAATCCTATTTTTTGGCGCCATTTTCAAATTTGTTAATGCAAGGTGAATATAAATATAAAGATTCCCTCTTTTCAAAAGAAAATTGGAAAATTGTATAAAAAAATTATTTATCAATTAAATCCATCTTATAAATAAACGTAAGTATTTTTTTTGTTTATTTAGAAACTTATCATTTTCTGATTCTGTTTCGACGTCACGTGATCAAAAGCACTGCGAGCACCTTACCTCGAAATCTCCAGTGCTTACAGTACAAATATGGCGGCAATTTATGACGTCATAAATTTCCCTAGGGTACTGTAGCAGTGTACTGGCAGTCCATAACGGAACGGATTTTTCAGCAGTAAGACCACTGCGCAGTGCTCGCAGTGTATATCGGAACATACCCTTTGTTTCTGATTTTTTCTTTTAATTACTGATAAATTTTTGTCTATACCAGTGGTTTTATATTAATCAGTGGTCCCTGGAAGTATCTCAAGTAGTCCATGAAGCGAAGATTTTAATATAGTCTTAATTTTTTACTCCCGGGATTTTGCATGTGTAGATGAATGAATTTTTAAAATCGATCTAGTAGTTTCGGAGCTTATTTGATGTAAACAAATGATCAAATCTTTCCAATTTATAATATTAATATAGATACAAAGAACTCTGAATCTTTAATAATTACGTACTGTATAATAAAAAGATCGAGTGGTCCACAACTTGGTAGAAATTTCTCATATAGTAAGGATAAAAACCTCAAATTTTACTGTATCACTCACTGTAGACCATTGGATGGGATTATTTCTTATTTCGGAGAGACAATTATCGTTGAATTTATAATTCCAAATGTTTACCACATTTGGAATTATAAATTCAACGATAATTGTGAAATTGATAGAATTAAATATAAAATAAACCTTGAGTACAGAAAATCGATAGTAGTTTTAAAATAGGGACCGTCTGCGCCATCTTGATGTATGTAAAAGAAAAATAAGGAATCTTTGAACAATTAGGGATGTTTGGAAATATATTTGTTATACGAGAAATAAAACAATCAATTGACTTAAAAATTGTTTATTAAACACTAAAGAAATCTTGGGCCTTTAGTCTTGTTCTTTTAGCGACATTGATTTGTAACAAGTTGTCGGTGATATTGTTTGTGGCGTTTTCAGTAGTTCTAGGTGTGGAAGGCTTAGATGTTGCGATTATAGAAGACCTAGGTGTTTGCACACGTTTGGGGGTGTTGTGAGAAAGGATGCCCATGTCGTTAGGTGTTAATTTCAATCGAGGGGAAAGCAGATGTTTTGTGGCGAGTCTTCGTGCTGCCGGCGACATGCTGGCTAGTCTTTCGGTGTTGCTTCTGAAACTAAAGGAAAAATACTTATAAATATTTGTCATTCGCCCTACGCTCTAGGAATCGCCCAAAACGATTTATTAAAAAAATGAACCGATTTATCAACGACGTTACTAAACAACTACATTATTTTATTACAATAATGCAAATACCTCGCTAACCTTGAAATAGTTAAGATAGCACACGAAAATTGTTGTGTTCGAACGGACTTATATTGAGCACATTTGATTTTTTTCTGATATTTACACAACGCCTAATACAAAGGAAATATTATTTAATTCGACATTTATGCTCGATATCGATCTACACTACAATTCTTTTTGATGCCATTATGCTATTGTTAAGGAAATATTTCTGAATACGAGTCTAGCTTTCCACTAGCAGCGGCTTCGCCCTCAACGTATTCCTATCAAGGTGTAGCCATCTCAGAGGTTCCGTGTTCGATTCCCGGTCAGGTTAATGTAGAAAATTGCATTTTCTACATAGTTTCGGGTCCGAGTGTTGCGGTACCTCCGTTGTCCCAAACACTTCATAATGCGGGGGCTTTAGCTACTCATCTTGGAATTTGAGCAATGTATCTGATGTTGTCTAATAAATGTATTTATTTGTGTGTACGTTTATACGCGCGTGCGTGCGTGTGTGTTTGTGTGTATGTGTGTGTGTGTGTGTGTGTGTGTGTGTGTGTGTGTGTACACGTGTGTGCGTGCGTGCGTGTGTGTATGTGTGTGCGTGCGTGTGTGTGCGTTTGTGCGTGCGTGTATGTATGTGTGTGATATACTGACACTGGTGTGCGTGGTGTGAGGCAGGGGGTGGTGGGGCGGGGGCGGCGTCGGCGCGCTGCCCTCTCCGCCAGCTGCAGCGCCAGACGCTCGCGCGCGCCCGCCTCCAACATGCGGTACGCGGCACCGGCCCCCACGCTATAGCAACACAATAATATTAATATACAAGGCCCGCTAATTGCTAATGCGCTGAAACCGTGTCTAAATGACACCCGCGTTACGTCATTTGAAAAAAGATGTGGCGGTGGTAAGTGGAAATCATAATGGTCAGTAGTTATTTTAATCAACCATAACAAGCAACAACAAAACCAAATAATAGTTGTGTATTCTTAACACAACCTAACTCAATAAATGTTACAATTACGTCACCAAAATGGCCGTCAGGTGCATAAGGTGAGATAGTATCAAACAATACTAATACTATGTACTGCACTAACATCTAAATTAAATATAACAATACGGAAATGTTTAGTCTACTCAAAAATCATATTAGAAGTATAATCTTCTCGCAAGTTACCAATTTTCTTTAAGGCTATTTAATACTCATGGGAAAACAATAATTTCGGGCTCGATTTACTTTGATTAGCTATTATCTCCAAAACTTATATTATAATTTACATAATCTTTCGTATCACGTTACTAAATAATATTTACAGATTTAATGAGGCAAACATTCATTTCAAAATCTATAAGAGCAGTGCTGCTGTATGAACAGACACATTGACTTCATATCAGTAATTCTGAACGAATAGGTGAGTAACTATGGCCTCTGTAGCAGTGGCTCGCACGCCAATTTCAATGTATCTGGGTTCGATTCCCAGTCACAACGTTGAAAATTCACAAAAAGTTTATTACATCAACATCACTATTATGGTCTCGGGTTTGGGTGTTGTAGTAGCAGTTGTTGTTTCAGCTTTCCTAATAAAAGTGGTAAAAACTATTTATTTGGTCTCACTAATGTATGTCTTGCCTAATTTATATTTAGACCAACAAAAAAAACAAAATTTTGAAGTAGATGTTACTACAATGTTGGCAGATAATAATTGAAATAAGTTTACCCATTAAAGAGCATTTGAAGTTCATATTATTTATTGAGTTTCTACACATAATTGGCTAGGTAAGCTAATGTCATGTATAAGCTAAATGTCTTTCCGTGTTATATACTCACGCAGGTAGCGGTGTATCGCCGCCGTCTAATCTGAAGGGAGTGCCCTCGATGTGTCCCCAAGTCATGAGCGCATCCGCTCCATCGCCGGGACGAGGTGATGGCGTCGACAGATACTCGTATTCCCCACTCTTCTCGGACGATATGCTCACGCCGTCCACGCCGATCTTTCCGGTCACGCTAGCGTCCTGGACAAAAGTTCTTTAGTTAAACGCGGTGTTCATAAAAAAAAGTGAAAGATCACAATCGACGAAAGAAAGCAAATACCATCGGTAGGAAATGCTACGGATGGTAGCAAAAACGGATAGTTTTTTGGTTATTAAAACCGGGGGTAAGTCGATTAATAAGGAAGTAAGTTCTTTTTTAGAAATATTAAGAAGTTTTTCTTTTTGGAAAAACAATTTCGTAATAGCGACGTGTTTGCTTTCTAGCGTTGATTGATATTCAAAAAAAAAATGAATAAGAATTTGAGCAATGTTTGAGACATTTTAAAATCATGTTACAAATACACAAAGTGGAAGAGTCTATGGAAACAAACCTGGGTCCTGGCAATGGCACTGATGGCTTCCTTGTTCTTTACATGGTCGAACGGTTCAGCACGCAGACGCGTGTTGTGATGTATTAGTTCAGGCTTAGGGGTTGGTAGTTGGCTTTCCGCACCATCAGGTACATACATTATGTAATTCTTCGCTTTGTAACGCCACGTGTCCAACTGCAGACAATAAAATTCAATTTAATATATTTGATGACTTTAATGGCCTAGTGGCTTGCACAATAGTTTAAGGTGTCGCCATCTCTGTGGTTCAGAGTTAGATTCCTATCAATTACAAAATATATTTTTTCTATTTTTTATTTCTTAGTCTGAGTGTAAAGCTACTGTTGTATAATATTTATGATTATACATAATTCATGATTTTTTTAGTTTAATAGGTCCCTAACCTGAAATGAGAATATCAAAAGCAAAGTATACCTACAAATCTAAGGTCTTTTAATCTCATAAATATCTTGATTACATTCACTCATTTTGACAGTAAAAAAAAATGGAAATCACACATTTTCCTAATTTGAATTCGGAGTTATCTTCTTTAAACTTTTAACTTTTTAGTGATACCGAAACCAGCCATATACAAATGGTATAGCCAGAAAGATTTTATTATAAGTTTATGCATACTATATGTGAAAATACTTTCCCCAACCAAATATAAAAACAAATCAATACAATTACCTATAATCATAGTTAAATATGGACATATTCGCTTTTAATTCCACCCACTTTAACACCATTTGTGAAATCAAATTGATATATGGGACAGAATCAGTCCCGTAAAATGCAGGATGTCTTGGTCAGTATTGACCTTATAATTAAATTAAACCAAGACCAGTCCTCAAATGGAAGAATAAACATTAACTAACTCTCTTAGACTAAATAATGGATGTGAAGAAATTACTCCTGTTATAATAGTACTCACATGCTACATAGGGCTCATGTGATAATGGTTTATAGCTCAATTTCCTCGATAAACAGGAGAGCCAAATGCCTAAACAGTAGAATAGTAATAATGATAATACTAAATATTTAAGAAAATAGACCCAAAAATCTTATACCTAATTTGGTAACTACTACTAAATGTTCTATATAAATAAAAAAATAAATAAGATATATTATTCAAATTCAAGATAATAAATTAATACTTCATTTCATGTACCTATATATACAAAAGTGTCACATGTGATTATGCCAATTTGGAGTTGAGGGACCTGCTCCTATAGTATGACAGAAACAAGCAAGAGACAGAGAGTAAAATATTATAAGGGCTTATTTTATTCCTATCAGATTACTAAATCTCTTGAATTTTTATCAAGTCTGTCATACTACACATGCAGATAAACAAATAATGTATGAATGCAGAGGCATATTTACTTCATGTGGTCTCTTTGTCTGGTCTGCTTGTTGTTCAATAGAGGGTAGTACTTTGGCAGCTTCAACCAAGGCCAATGAAGTCACTTCAGACTGTAGTTGAGATGCAAGTTTTGTGGCACGCTTTTTGTCTTCTAAAGCTATAACTCTGTCATAACTTGCATTGTCTTCACTGGTGTGACTAGATAGAAATGAATCTGTAATAGAAAACTAATAAGTCCCCATTTCCATAAAATAATCAAAACTGTAGCCGCCACTACCAGAACAATTCTATAATCTTATAATCACTTTCAAGCGTGAGTTCTATATACACACCTAGAGAATGGTTATCAGTAATATCTTTTGTCTTCTCAATTCCTATATTTTGTCCAAGAGTTGGTGTATGTTCTCTTATTGTGGCAGCTGCCGGTGAATAAGGTCGGTCTATGTTTGGTGTATCAAAAGTAGCAGGTGAATTATCTACAACAAACACAGAACATATTTCAATATAAAGTTAGTTCAGTACAGGTATATAAATATAGTTTTTTCACATAAAGATACAATCAAACTTACATGGTTCTGTTGGTGGGCGAGTTCCACTGTATTTCCTTGTGATCTCAGCAAGTCTAGTATAGTCTTTGTTTTCTGTCGCTTCTAAAAACTCGTTTTGTACATTAAGCTTCTCAAGATCAGGAAAAAAATCTCTTTGTATGATTTTTGCAATACCCTACAACAATGAAAATATATAAGTAAAGGTTTCAACTTACATGTTAAAATAATTTTCATTACATATAATAAATAATATAATTTTAAACAATATAAATTACAGTGAATTATATAACTAAAATTTGTAGAAATATAGGTATTAGCCCTGTTAATGGTATATTTTATTTAATAGGGTTACAATTGTTTTGTCATATGATTAATTTGGACAAAATCCAATAAATAATTTATTGAATTTTTATCTTTACTGATGAGGACAACATTAGTGTTCATTTTCGTTATGATATAAATGGAATAAAATATAAAAGTCATTACATTTTCTCCACACTGTATCAAAACTAGTCAACTCACCTCAACATATTCATCCTCATTTAGAACTTGAGCTTTTTTTGCACTTATTTTCTTCACAGGCACTTTAGGGATTTTAAAAACATTGCTCTCTGATTGCAGTAATTTCATATTTTGTAATGCAAGCTGCCCTGGTCTTAACATCTTACTTTCTTCGGACATAATAAATATTAAACCACGAAATGTTTTGGTTAAAGCAACAAATTTAATTGTCAAACACCCGTATATACTTTCTTCAATGAAACAAGCAAGAAACAGTAAAAAAACACAACTGTCTTATAGAAAAACACTACGATAACAGTATACGTCTTCATCCACGAAACCACGAAATCTGACTGATGAAAAGATGATAAGATTAACAATATGTCGCTGACTGATGTAGATATGGGAAGCAACTATCGATATATCAAAATATCGATATTTTTTATGAAAAACATCGATATAAATAAGCGATAATTTTTCCCCTCGATATTTCGGCTTTCGATATTTATTTTCAATCTTAAGAGTAACATGATTGTTGATATTTTGTCACAAAGTATACCATAAAAAGAACCTTATTTATCTTCTGTCTAATGCTACAATGAATGGAGTATAGGTAGACAGTAGGCTGTATGAGTTTAGAAATTACAGTCTATGACCTGCTTGTCTGTTTTGTTTCTTTATGAAAATGACACTGCTTGTTAGTTTGCTTGATATCAGTGTGAGTGCTCCTGATGTTAATATCAGACAAATACTGATTTGTTTGAATAATGTTATTTTTGTTGTGTTGATGATGTTATTTTCTTGATTTTATTTATTTTAAGTGACAAAACAGCCAGGTGTTTATTTGCTTTAAAATTTCGAATATTTTGACAATTTCATTAGATAATCGCTTATTGCGCAGAAAATATTTATATATCAATATATTTTGACAATATTTATCGATACATTTGAAAAATATCGATACGATATTTATGGATATTTTTTACTTATTTGCCCATCACATATTCGTTTGATCACCACTCGTCTCACCAGTAGACTGAAAATAGATTGTCAGTCTACGTCAGTGTAGTTAACTCTATAATTTTAACCGTAGATTTGCTGTTTTCACATTGATGCGGGGCTGCCGTTTACTGTTTCAGTCCTCATTTTTACTTTTTTTAATTAGCTTTCAGCACCACCTATTATATCCAAATTAAACGGTTACTACTCCCTTGAAGCCACAAAAAGGTACCTGAAAAAATATTTTGTGATCATTATTATAATATACAATTTATGTAAATCTTGATAACTAAAAAAGTATATCAGTCAATTCAATCAGTTACGTGCTTTTTTAGAAGATGATGTCAGAAGCCGTAAAAGACTGGCGAGTATGTTTGAAAAGAGTAATCAAAGTAGATAAGGTGAAAGTTGTATGTAAGGCTAAGGACCTTACAACAGATTACTAATTAAAAAACAGAAGAAAACAGTAGGATAAATATGCCTTTTTTACTTATCCTACTCTTTTCTTCTGTTTTTTTATTAGCTATCTGTTGTTTTCCAGTTTCTTGGGGTTGGCAACACAGGTCTCTTACCACAAAAGTTAGCCTCCCAACTACTCAAACCCCACCAAGCCCCACATAATAAAAAAAAAACTTTTGGGTTTTACAAAATATATGACACATCGAAATATTATCAATATTTCACACATCGAAATATTATCAATATTTCGATGTGTCATATGATTTAAAAAGAAATAATCGGTATGTAGTTATATATCGATGATGTTTTTTATTTCCATTGCTAATTTCTAGTGTCAATTTATTTTTGTGGAAATAATAGCATAAAATTGAAGTTGAGTATAATTAATAGGTCGACGTCATATTTTTACTTCTCTTAATGTCAAAAATATATAGAATTATTATATATAGTCATTTCCGTTCCGTTTAACTACTATATTGAAAAACTTAAATTTGCATTATGGGACGGCAACTTCATATTATATTTTCGGTAAAAATTGAATATCAATATAAATATACTCTCTGAAACTGAATTATTATTATAACCGACAATTTTGTAATATCATTTGAATGAAATATATATTCCTATTGTATCTTCCACGGTCTTTATAAAAGTAATCGTAGAATATTAAATGCATCTTAGCAAACAAAACTACTCTATATTTTTTCCTTTATTGATATTGATGCTATTTAAAAATATCGTTTAATTTTCACTATATCCCTAATGACCCTTATTTTCTGTGATCTTCCCCACCTTGTTAAGTAGAATTGTTCTGTACCTCTTGTTTACGAAACCTTCGAATGATTTTAAAATAAATTTATGTTTACTCATGCTTTTTTTAAATTATTTGGTAAATATCACCTTATTATCGACTTCTAAACAGCAATATCTGTGACACAATTGAATAAATTCATAAATTTTAATTTGTTCACATTAAGCATATTTGCCTAGTTAGTAATACTTATTTGGCAAACTGGTTTTGATATTTTTAATTATTAATACATTTTTTCAAATATCTTTTACAAACCGATTAACTATTAACTGCGAATTAAAAGGCAATTAATATTTATCACCATGAATACTATAGTAAATACCTTAATGGTCGTTTCGTCAGAGTTGCTTTAATGGTTATGTCATAAAAGTATTTAGTTTTTTCAACAATTAAGGCTAGCTAATATAGGACGACGATGTGACAAATAGAGTCACAGGATAGAGTATTGATCATCAGTTTTTAATAACTTGAAGGGAAATTTTATTAATTTAAGTTTTGATTTTAAAAGGAAGCCATAGAAATATGCTGACTGAAGTCGAGATGCTTTCGTTACAGCCACTCACTTATTCTCATTAGTACGCATCGAGATCAACGAGCACTCGTTTAAAATATTTGCTATAATTAACGGATCAAGATCGGTACTTTTTACTTTGTGTTCCTAGATAAATTGTCTTTCAGTTTAAATGTGTATTTTATGATAAGTAGAATTCACAAGGTTATGTCTGTTTTAAAGCTGTAGAAAAAAGAAAACTATTAAGAATAATATATATATTGTTCTAAACTTCCATTGTATTATGTAGTTATTTTCGGTTTCTTTTGTCTATGTAAACAATGAAACCATTATCGGATAACAAGAAAACGATTTTTAAGGTCTTATCGTGAAAATTATCGGTAATGTCGATTTAAATAATAATAATATTAAGGCACTGGGCATTAAAATTTCAATAGGTAATTAGAGTGATCTTAAAAATATTTATAATAAAGGCAAAATTTAGTACAAAAGCTATATATAAAAAGCAGGTACTCTTTCCAAGAATTTTGTAATAAATACGACCTTCTGAAAACAACATATCATAAAACACACGCTGCAGTTTAAACTTGCTAGATAGTTTATATGGAAACACAATGAAAAAATACCGGTCATTGTAAAAATATCTTTTTAAATTGTGCAATGGTTACAAATTTTTCCTGGTTAAATATTTTAGAGACTTATAGGTATAATATTCTCAATCTTTAAATAGAAAAATGCTTTGAACAAAACTTGTCGGATATATGGTTCTTTATGACCCAGTTAAGATGTTTTAAAATACTACGGTGAAAAGGTCTTTCTTTTAAAAAAAAATCACTTACATCACTTACCCCAGTTTTAAGAAAATACTTTTTAAGTTATGTAAATTCAAAAACATAGAATTTTCTATGAAAAAGAACATTACCAATATATCTAGTTAACTAGTCTCTTATTTATTGTTCTCTCACATATCTTTACGGGATGGTAGCAATTAACTTCTGTCACCACTTTTATGTAAAGGGTGCATAACAATGCGTTTGAAAGATTAGGGGAAGACACCATAATGCAGTGAAATTGAACAACTCTTCCGCCACCTCAATGGCTGAGGACAAATATTGTTCAGTCGTAATGTAGGAAACGTATAATTTGTTGGACATCTTTTTAGTTATAAACTATCTCGAAACATGGGATCGGTGGTCAAATACAACAGCAGTTTCTAAGGTTTGACAGAATACTATTTTATACTCAATGCTCTCACTTTAGAATGCTTAAAGACTGATATTTTCACCAATTTGTGACAAGGGATGAAACTTGGGTTCATCATTATACTTCGGAATTAAAATGACAATGTAAACAATAGAAAAAAGGGATGAACCAACACCAAAAAAAACGAAATATTTTTATCGGCTGGCAAAGGGATAGCGTCAGTTTTTTGGGATCACCATAGTGGACTATCTTTAATAAGAAACATATATAGCATAAGCAAGCGAAGTAATCATAACGCCCCTGAAAAAGAAAATATTGTTTGGCAAGCCAATTTTTTGAGATTATTATTCATAAAAGAGGGATTGGTAAATAAAAAAAAAATAAAATTCCATACTTTAGTATTTATTAAACGTACCATATAGGATACATAGCTAGTTTTATGGAAATCAACATTAAGAAATGTGTTTTTTAATGTTTTATGCATTGCCAGGAATACAGTTATAATGCTTTAAACATATTTTTTAACACCTTTGCTCGTAAAGCTGATGTTATTGCACCGGTTTTAAATATGTAAAGCGGGTCATAAAAAACGCGTGTATTACCAAAGCAAATAGTTAAGTTATAGTCCATACAAATTCCATAACAGTATTATTTGCCATTTCGCGCGCTGTTGCTCTTAAAATTTTGAAATAATCGCCGCGCTGCGCCAGTCAGTAGGCAGCGCTAGCGCGCTCTTAAAATGGCGGGAAAGCAACAGTGTACATTTTATGTGTTTATTTAATGTTTTTTTTTCTGTTTCCTCGCAAATGTGTTAAAAAACGTCGTACGTTATACGTGCGTATTGATTATAACATGCTCGGCTCAATTACGCCCTCGCCTACGCCTCGGGCTGAAATTTCGCCTCGCATGTTATAACCATCATAACGCACTAATATCGTAATGTACTATTAACAAAATTTGCGTAAAACGTGAAATTAATGTTAATATCTAAAAATATATTTATTTATAATGGGCTTATTCGTGACCTCAATCGAGTCCAAGGACAAAAATGAGATCTACGGTGGGACGAGCTTGCTCAAAAGGAACTTATTCATTCTTGCCTTAAATAAGTTTAAGTTATATTATATTACATATATCTGTATATGTTTTCAAGTCTTATTGTGAGATCAATCAAAGATCTAATCAAATTACTTATAGAGATCCACAGATTACACTTTACAATCCTGACAAACTTCAGATAATTTTCGACCTTAACAATTAGCAGTAACTGTAAAATAATTGTATTTGGCAACTATCACAACCAGCGGGTGGTGTTTCTTCACCGCCTGCCCATAATAATTGATATTATTTAAATTAAAAATATCGCCATTAAATTGAAATTATAAATATCTAAATTTGGATCATAGACAATTTATATACAGTGGACCCCCGGTAATCGGATAATGATTCGGATTGCTTAGTTTGAATTTGACTACAGGTGATAGTGGTCCGCGGCCTAGCGTGTGTGCATTCATTGTTTACCTACTACAAGCCCAGAGGCGAAAGCACAAAACTCTGACAATTAAAGAAATATCTGATATTTTAGATCGCTTACATCTAAATGAATCTTTCAGTAGTTTGGCAAGTGAATTTATGACATAAAAAAAATTGATGAATATTTTCATGCTTCATAAATTGATTGATTCAATTTTTATTCATAAATTCAAATTATTTTATCACCATCGTAAGTACATTTGTTTGTACACAATCATTTCCTAATGCAAAGTTATTATTTTTTGTAAGTTCTAGCATTAATGACATCACTTTTACATTATATTAATACGTAAGCTCTATATTATGTTGTTAAATTTACCTACTAGATTCGACATACATAATGAAGTATCATTTGTACCTCAGAGTATTTATAACATATAGATTCTTATCACTGATCTGTATTTTGTCGAATTACAAGGTACTCCTTTGTAAAAAATCTGAAATATAGGGGGTCATAGGCAGTACTTTATAATCCGACAAATTCGATAGTCCAACACTGCCCTGCAAAACGTTTGTCGGGTCACCGGGGGTCCACTGTACTTATAGATTCTTATAACTGATCTGTAATTTGTCGAATCACAAGGTTCTCATTTGTAAAAAAATTTGAACTATAGGGGGTCTTAGACAGTACTCTATAATCCGACTAATTCGATGGTTCGACACTGCCCTGCAAAACGTTTGTCGGATCACCGGGGGTCCGCTGTATATCTACGGCATATGACTATTAAAAAAAATAATACCGATATTTAAAAATAAATCGATTATTTTTGCTCAACCCTATCTCTGATTGCACTGCCTCATCAATAGTTTACTCTTTGCATCGTACATGCCTCCATAGATAAAACATATTCATGGATTAATGAACAGAGCACTCCCAGCCGAAGGCAAGCCGAACAAGATATTGAGTACAAAGGGTATTTGTCTCTTTTAAATAGGGTGATAATAACATATTCCTGAACTTTTCATTTGGTTCAGTTTTATAACTAGCGTGACTATACAATATAATATAATAGTATACAATGAGGAAGTCTTTAAAAAATTTAAGAAATTAGAAAAAGATATTTCACTAGATGGCAGCACAAATTGTAGGATCTAAATGTCAATTCATGACGTTAAACCAAAGAGAATAGAACTGTCAGTGTGTTATGGATCTGATAACTCGGATTAATATCGACTTGAAATTCAATGAGGAAGTATTTATAAAAAAAAACATTAGTTCCCAAAATCAAACTAAATGTCGCTAGGGTACGTTCTTGATTTCTTCATGATAACATTTCCGGTTTTCTTTCATGTTAAAAGTAAATTAGTTTTCAAAACTCAATAAACAACACATATTCTATTTGTAATTATTCGTATTTGTATTGATATCAAAGTTTCGAGCTTTTCAAATGTCAGTTTTTTAATATGTTAGTTAAAAGGAACGGAAATAACTGTTTTTGGTTTATTCGTTTCCTGTAAAAATCAACTTTTGTTAGAGTCGCCATCTAGTGGAGGTGTTTTTTTAGTGCTTTCGTTTTTTTTAATACTTCCTCATGAGTTCAAGTTACCCAAACGCAATTCGATTAATACGAACTAATCCTTAAATAAATTTCTTTTTTATTTATCTTGAGGAAAATGGTGTTAAAGCAAGGAATTTTTACTCGTCTATAAAATACTTTTTATAGAACAATTTTACTCTTCTGATCTATTTTTTGACACAATATTTTGTGATTAGATGGCCATGCCTATTGTTTTTTTTACTTCACTTCTGTTTTGGTGTTCGTGCAAAACATAAATAAAATTTGTAAAATATTTATTTAATCGTGTTTGCATATGCATAGTATCCACTTTAAATCCAATTGAAACATCCGTGGACCAGAATTAGGGTTCACCGATAGGTAATAAGGCCTGTGCACGTATTATGTGAACATCGCACAGGGTGTTGAAAATTTAAACCCTGGTAGAAGTCAAGACAAGCATCAAAAATGGCAAGTCATAGTGGTTTAAGTATGCCACCAAGCTGACCACTAAAATTTAAACTATTTTCGACGGTATGGGCATACATCACAGGTGTGTTGACAATAGCCCAGGAGCTAAGAGATATAGAAGTGGACGATGAGCTTTTAGCTGACCTTCTCCTACAAGGCCTTACGCCTGAGTTCCAGCCTTTGAAAATTACGATTGAGAACAGTCAGACTGCACTAACGTTATTAAAGAATAATTATGTAAAGAATAAACTGTATCACATGGAGGATACGTACAATGTCTCAACAGGTGAAAGTCAAACGTCAACATCAGCATTACTGATAAAGAAGAAAGGAAACAGAAATAGCAAGAGCTCATTAAGCGTTTGCCTTCGGAACAACATTGAAGTCTGAACCTGGAGAAGATTGGGTGATCGATTCAGGAGCTTCGATGCACATGACGAAAAACAATCCTTGGATGAAAGATGTATCGAAGACTACTAGACCTTTGAGAGTTATGAGTGTGGATGGAAATGAGGTTGTGGCGACTGATACATAGCGACATCTAACTCATCGCACTAACATCGCCACAGCAATCGATAGCGAGAAGATTAGCATTGTCACAGCCATCGACAGCAAGACGAACTGCAAGAAGTTTCAACAGCAAGTAACGAGATGGCGCTGTACCAATACAAACATCATAAATTAATAACTACAAGACATTTAGAACAAAGAAACCTACATCGCACAGAATAAGTTTCATTACCAATTTACATAAATAGAACGTCCAACCACCTAGCTCGGAGGGAGACAATTATTCTTTAGTCTCCCTGGCCAGTTGTCTCCATCACCACAGTGGGGACCAACATTCAACCTTACCGTTCCTGCAAGGTGCTGGGTGAAAATGTCGGTACGGTTGTAAGTGATAAGATGACGGTAAACGATATTACTTATATTTCAAATTTAGCTTCAAACTTGTTGAGTGTGAATTCTTTAACTAAGAAAGGCTTTGTTTTAATATTTACAGAGAAAGGATGTGGCATCTTTAAAAGTAATGAATGTGAAGTCTATGGTAAATATGTTGGGTCAGGTGTAGAAGAACGAGGTATTAACAAAATAAAAGACTGTTTATACGGTTCTGCACTAGCAACAATGGAAGGTGAGCAGAACAATCAGATTTTATGGGACAGAAGGATGGGACATCTAGGCGAAAGAAACTTAAAAACCAATAAGTTGGCTTATCTTTACTTTTATTACGACAGAAACAAAATTTGAATGTTTTGTGGATGCAAAATGACACATACAAATACAAGCTGACTTCTGCGCTCCGCTTTTTGTTCTTCATTCCACGCCTGAATTGGAATGAAAGTTACGAGCAACCAATAAGTTGGCTCATCGCTAATGTTGACGTATCAACCAAATATCGTTCCTTTACACGCAACATAGTAAAAATCTTAAACTTACGATTAAAATAAATGTTAAAGACAGCTTCCGGCGGGACATCATACTCCGTCTATGGAACTTCCGCCAACAATTTAAAATATTAAAATAAGGCTCCATAAATTATTTTATTTTATTTTCGTGATTAATATTTAATTAAAAATTAAAATGTTATTGTCAGTGATAAAAATCTCGTAAGTTGATAGTGACAAGTTAATAAGAATTTAATAGTTACTAATTTTGATTGTCAATGCTTTAAGTACTAACGGGGGCTTTTTTCTGATCTTTCATTCATTTCATTTTCATTTTACATGTAGAAATTTATTATTCACTTGACATTTGCAGAATTGTGCGAAATGCGCAGATAAGCCATTAATAAAAGAAGAAGAAGAAGAAGAGGGTTTTTTTCTAATAAATGAAAAAGGTAGTGTCACGGTGAAATTGCGCATTCTTCTATTCATTTTGTTATGGGGTAATTCTATCCGAATAAATACCTGTGTAAAACTCAAGAACCGTGTGATTATTTCGCCACTATGACCCACATCTATTTACATAAATTAAAATTAATTTTAAAGTAAGATATTATTAGAAACACAAAACGATGTCATATTTATTAATTTTCGATACTCAATTTATTTTTATTACCTCAAAAACAAAATTTAAATGAATATCATAAACAAAATCCAAATATCGTGAGTGACATCTAGTATGATTTCAAGAACTAATTTAATTTTTTTAAATAGTTCCTCATTTGGCCTTGACGCTAAAAATAGACTATAAAAAACTTATTGAGAATTAAAAAACTAAATGTCATTGTATCACTTTAGTATTGACAGTTTACTTTTTTATTGTCGTCTGATATCGTATAAAAAAAAGTTTTTGCATCTTCTTCTCTCCTTGTTTTAGGTGCTCTTTGCTTTTAATTTATGTCTTCGCTTAAAAAGAATGTTGGCGAGTCAAAGAGAATATAAATACTACGTTTTCGAAATATTGTAATGTAATCAGAAAACAAACGTCAATTGAAATAGCAAATTTTGGATTCCATCAGCATAGCACGAAAGGGAAGGAAACTATGCAGCCTGAATAGTGAAGTAACTTCAAACAAAAATGGGCTTGGACTTCGACGTTTTTGAATTTTGCAAAAAATTGCGACAAAACCGGCCTCCACCCTATCAGTGTCCCCTAGAAAAATGTGATAAAGTGTATAAAAGCTTATGTGGTTTACAATACCATCTAGTTAATTATGACCATGACAATCCTACACCAGCTACACCGGCTGTCGCTAATAATCGTAAGAAGAATGGAAGATTACGGGCAGCCGTGCCTACCGCCGATATCGCTCTCCAGAGCCCACCTAAAGAGGCTCTGACATTTGCTGAAGCTCAGAAAGTGGTCCAGTTTGAGATTGATGGAAAGATTAGCAGGATCCCTATTGATCAACCCTTGACAGTTATGTCTTTGGATGAATGGGAAAAGAGAAACTCTGAACTTGAAAAGCCTTTACCTTTTGTAGAACCTCCTTCAGAGCCTTATGTGAAGTTACCTGAAGCAAGTTTTAAGGTATTTATTAGAGTCTATTGTTTTTCATTTATCTTTACTGATTTGTAGTATATAGTACTGCTTTTTTTTAATAATAATACATTAATTATTATCACAAAAATAGAGCTAAAGTAAGAATTTTTATTTTTCGGTTAGTGTTAATTTAACAAAATTATAATTTGGTTATTTTAAGGTTATTCCGGATTATAATGAGAGAGTTTGTGATGCACCACCTCGTCCAAATGCATACATACGTTTCATTGAGAAGTCTGCAGAGGAATTAGATGGTGAAGTTGAGTATGATGTTGATGAGGAAGATACTGCATGGTTGGCAATTATTAACAAAATGAGAGCAAAGCAGGGATTGCCATCAGTTTCTGTGGATACATTAGAGCTTTTAATGGATAGATTGGAAAAAGAATCTTATTTTCAAGTAAGTAATGTTCATTATGTCTAATCTAATGATGGTTTTAAAACATATTACACAATTTATTAATCAAACTATTATCTGATATTATTAATTAAAAAAGAATTACATTTTTTTTAAATCCCTTCCATTTTCTATTATAATTATAATTTTGCCATTACAAAATGCTTAATTGAATTATGTTATAATTGGCATAATGATTTTAGTATTGATACTTTTTATTTTCACTGAAATTAAGTCTAATATTGATATTCAATATAATGCAGACAATTCATATGATGAGATTCCTAAATATAATTATTTCATCTGTGATGTAATATAGATAACATTAATATGACATGTACTTAAATTTTTTTTACTGGAAATCAAAAGGTATTTTTGTGTTTTATTTTCCCCTGTAATCAGTTCACTAGACTTTTAACAAATTTGTTCAGTGTAACTCTGTGGGAGCGAGACTCCAGTGAGCCCTCTACTCTAAATTACTATTTAAGTCTCCTGAAGATGGAGAGATTATAAGATATCTTTTCTTGTCAGAAATTTTGCGTAAGATTTTATCCTCAATGCTGCAGGAAGGTCATTGGATGTCTTTCTGAACGATCTTGGTATTGCTCTCTGTGAATCTGGATTTCCTCCTTATAATCAGCTCTTTATGTATTTTGGTTTTAGTGACGAACTAGGTAACCCCACTTATTGAGCGCAATATAGCTTCTTCTTCTTCTTACAACGGGCGTCTCCGCAACTCGACGACCAAATTGCGCCTATTTTGCGTGTGGAGGGTGTGTGGCTGGATACTACTCCAGCCAGCCCAGCTCTGCCAGGAACGCCCCGAGCGCCTTCACATCTGCGATGGCCTCTTGGAGGTTGCCCGGCGAGCCGAGGTACTTTGCCCGGTAGTTGGCCACTCCGTTGCATTCCAGCAAGACGTGAGTGGCTGTTTCTTCCGCCTCCATGCATCCTCTGCACAAGGGGCTGTCAGTGACACCTAAATTGAAAAGGTGCCTGTTAAAGTTGCCATGACCAGTAATAGCACCCGTTACCAGGCGCAAATATGGTTTACTTAGCTGTAGGAGGGCTTTGGAGAGGCGAACATTCACTCGGGGTAGTGCAAGTTTGGCCTGCCTGCAGGTTTCCAAAGTGTGCCAGTATTGTTGATGTAGTTTACTCGAGTGTTCACGTATCCTACCAATTAACCAGCTTACCGGAATAGGAATGATCGGTTCCGGGCCCATTGGTGTTGCATCTGATCCTCTGCGTGCCAGTTCGTCAGCTGCATCATTTCCACGTGATCCACTGTGTCCTTTTATCCATTGGATAGTAATTATATTGCGTGTCCCTACCATGTTTAGAACCTGGTGACACTCCTGTAGAAGACTCGATCGGACAGAACTTCCTTTGAGAGCCTGTAGGACTGATTTACTGTCCGAGAAGATCCGGATTTCTGATCCTGTTACCTTCCTTGTAGTTATCGCTCTCGCCGCCAGGGTGATCGCCATACATTCAGCCTGGAAGACTGTATTGTATGGGCCGAGGAGCAGGAACAGATGTATGTTAAGGTCCTCAGAGAATACACCAGCCCCTATGCCTGTTAAGGTTTTGGAGCCGTCCGTGAAAACTGTGAGGGCCCTGTGTGTTACCTTTGGATCGTCACTGTCCGTAAGATGTATCTTGTATTTCTTGTCAAAGATGAAGGTGGATTCGATTCTGTCGCAAACCGCCTCTACAAGCGGGGTGTTAAGCCATTCCTTCAGTAAGCCATTGAGATGTTTAGCGTTATCGAACCTTACCAGTTTATGATTTTTTTGTCTCAACGCTGTCTTGGCCGCTTCCTGTCTAATATAAATATGTAGCGGTGTAATATTCAACATTACCTCCAGAGCTGCCGTGGGCGCCGTGCTCATGCATCCCGTCAGGGTGCAGCACGCCTGCCGTTGGAAACTCTGCAGTTTGTTTTCACAGGAGGACTGAGTAGTTTTTGGCCACCAAACAATGGCACCATAACTTACCGTCGGTCGTATTACTGTGTTGTAAAGCCACAAGAACAGTTTTGGCGCAAGTCCCCAACGCTTCCCGATCATTTTGCGGCATTGCCACAGGATGACGCTCGCTGATTTAATTTTGTGTTCTATGTGGCTGTTCCAGTTTAACTTACTGTCAAGGGTTATGCCTAGATACTTTACCTCCTTGGACAGTTGTAGTGTTGTACCAAATAGTTTCGGTAGGTGAAACGTGCCTACATTGTGTTTGGTTGTGAACATTACCAGTTCCGTTTTTGCAGGATTCACGGTCAGGTCGTACTTTTCACACCAGCGTTCGACTCTCTTCAGGGCGGCTTGCATGGTGTTGCAGGTTATACCAGCATGGGTGCCTAGAGTTAATATTGTGATATCATCGGCATACCCTATAGTGTAGAAATGGTTTGCATTCAGGAGTGTGATCAGGTCGTTGACCACCAGCGGCTAGAGCACTCCCCCTTGGGGGCATCCCCGCGCCACCAGTGCCCCCGTACTGTCCTCACCTGCCACCCGAACTATCCTGTTGCGTAGCATATTCACGATCCAGTCTATAACTTGTGGCTTTACTCCATGACTTTTGAGAGCCGCCTCAATGCTGGTGAAGTTGGTTCTATCAAAGGCACCTTCGATATCGATGAAAGTGCCAAGAGAGATGAGCTTGTTGTGAAGGGCCAATTCTATCTTACCGACTAGTTGATGGAGGGCCGATTCTGTAGATTTACCTGCTAAGTAGGCGTGTTGATGTTTATGTATCGGAGAAATGCTCAGTGCACCACTTCGTACATATCTGTCGCATAGTCTTTCCAGAGTTTTGAGTAGGAAAGATGTTAGACTGATGGGCCGGAAAGATTTGGGGTTAGTATAGTCGGTTTTTCCCGGTTTGGGTATAAATACTACCTTTACTTCTCTCCATCTGTGTGGCGTGTATCGGTGAGCAAGACACGCTTGTAGTATACAGGTGAGTGCTGTGACAATAGTCTCGCCTTCCCATTGTAGTAGTGCTGGGAAAATGCCGTCGCTTCCTGCCGCCTTAAAGGGAGAGAAGCTGCTGATGGCCCATCTCACCTTTTCAGACGTTACAATTTCTGTTGCAAGGCGCCAGCATCTTTCCGTCGGTGTCGGCGTGACATCATGCCATACTACCTGTTCAATTGATTGACAGTTTGGGAAATGGGTCTGTAGTAGGATATGATTGGATTCATCCTGGCTTTGGGACATCGTGCCGTCAGGTCTTCGGAGAGTTCCCAACGTGCCAGGACCTTGCTTCGCCAAAATTTTCCTTACCCTATTTGCCTGTGTTGTGGAATTTATCTCTTCGGTGAAGCTACGCCAAGAGGCTGTTTTCCAGTATCTAATACGTTTTTTGTACTTAGCTTTAATGGCTTTGTAGTTGTCCCAGTCCAATTTACTCCGGGTGTTCATTGCTCGGTTAAATTTCTTCCTCACCTTGCTTCTTATTTTCTGTAGCTCGGGACCCCACCAGAGGTGTTTACCCGAACCTTTGGATTTCGGAAGCTTGAGAGGGCAGGCCTCCTTGTAACATTCAAGGATGCAATCGGAGACCATATTTACCTGCTGTTCTATTTCAACCGTGGTGTCGATTCTACCATTTTCACAGCTCGTACACAGTTTCTCTGACACCAAACGATTGTAATGGGTTTTGTTAGTTTTTTTGGGGTACCTTTTAGGGACGAGGTCAGTGATCGGTACCTGTAAGTCGAACCGAATCCACCGATGATCAGAGCATGACGCCTCTTTCGATACGTGCCAGTCCGATATCGCTGGCCCTGTTTCCGGGGTCGCGAGAGTAAGATCAATTATGGAGCTGCCGATCTTGCTCACAAAGGTGGGTTCGTTTCGTCTGTTCATTATCAATAAGTTAGTGGTCAGAAGGAATTCAACAAGTTGGTTACCTCTGATGTTGCTTTTCTCCATTCCCCACAGGGGGTGATGAGCGTTTGAATCCGTTGCGATGATCAGTTCCACATTTTCCTGCGCGCAGAAGCGGACCAGTGAGGCAACCTCCTCTGGTGGGACTCGCTCCTTTTCGTGCATGTAAGCAGACGCTAAGATCATATCGCAGTTATAATTATCATGTTTCATTGTCAGCCTTGTGGCGCAGAGATCTCTGGAACAGAAATTCGTTAAAGGCTGTGTTCTAATGTCTTTGGTAATGTATATACAGGTTCTTACGTCATTAGTAGTGGCTTGAATGAGCTTACCTCCCAGACTGGAAAGTCCTCTTATCTCGCCACCCCTGATCCACGGCTCCTGGATCAGTGCGACCGCTGTTGTATTTACCTCCAACCATCTCCGAAGCTGAGCCGTTGCGGTGATGCTGTGTTGGAGGTTGGCTTGCAGTATCTTCGCACTACTGCAGTGGGACGCCATCGTCCTCGCAATTGACGTCCTCGATCTCCAGCTCGCTCAGCCCCAGGAGGCATCCCTCACTCAGAGGCGATGAAGCCTCGTGCGAGGGACCGGGGATGGCGTCGTCTGGAATCGCCGCGGACGTAGCGGTGGCGTGTGGTAAGCCGGCGTCGGGTGTGGGTGCCGGTGTGGGTATGGGCGCAGAAGTGGCAGCCTGTGTTGGTTCCGGTACCGATACCGAGGAAGTCGCACTGGGGTTGTTCGTCGGCGGAGTGTCGACGTACTTCCCTCTCGCGTCCCTGAACTTCAGGTACACGGACCCCGTCATAAAACAGAGTCTGCGCCCCTTAGCCAGGATCGCGGATACGTCCTCCTCAGGTATCGATAGGAGAACGAAGGTTGCTTCGAATTTTGGCTGTAGATGAACACCGTTGAGCAGCCATCTTTCGATGTTCAAATCTGGATTTCCGATCGCCAGGCATTTGCCTAGCATAACCCGATCCTTCTTCCAGAGTTTAGGCAGGACGAAGCCGCACCTAACCCGTTTGGGGATCTCTTCCGCCCTAAGGACAACAAGATTTCCTCCATCTGGGCTCTGTACGTTCCGTACCTGCTGTCGTACCCACTCTAGGGTTTGTGCGTTGCCGCATGTGTACCTTAGACACCCGTCAGCGTAAAGCGGTTTCCCACTAAACACCAGGGCGACCTTGGAACACTCGCGGAACGCAGTCCCACTGGCAATCTTCATGATCCCCTCCTCAATCTTCTCCTCGACTAGCTCGGCCGTCTCACGAGAGATGTATCCCTCGCTCGACGTCACAGCGAATCGAGTTTCCGATGTGGAGGCGGTCACAGTTGCCGATGTTGCGGAAGCGTAATATAGCATTCTGCATTCTTTGTATTTTGTAATATTTGATGTGGAAGTTGAATTCAATACTTCTATATTGGCTTAATGATGACTTTATAGATGAGGAGTTTATTGTGTGTACTCAATTTACTGTCGGGACCCATAATCCAGTAAAGATTTTTGAATGAAGTCATCAACATATACTTGCATGTTTAGTAAAATAACTGTAGAGATATCTTTACTGTAACTTAATATTTGTTTGGTAGGCAACACAAAGCGGTCAACAGACAGCGGCAGCGGTGGATGAAGATGCAGTATGTTGCATCTGCATGGATGGGGAGTGTCAAAATACCAATGTGATATTGTTCTGTGACATGTGTAATTTAGCTGTGCACCAAGATTGCTATGGTGTAAGTACTTTGAACTTTAAGCATTAGTTTGGAAATGTGAAACAAATCACTTAAAAATTAAATTGACAATAATACTTAATTCTTTTTAATGTAATTTTGGCCAGGTTCCATACATACCGGAAGGTCAGTGGCTTTGCCGACGGTGTCTACAGTCACCGTCCAGACTAGTCAACTGTGTTCTTTGCCCTAATACTGGAGGTAAGATATTTTATTTTCTCAGAATTGGCCCCAGCATTTTGTTTATGTAATTTAACATTAAGACACTAACACTAACAGCACATTATATTACCACAATATGTAACATTTCCACAGCTCAATTTGAACTCTATTCTTACTGGATTAAGGTTTATAATCGAGTGGAGAAATTTGAGAGTTTTGTATCATCTCTCATGCTTGTGCCTGTATCTTACTTACCATCCATATTTAATACTTACGTTTAATTTATTTTTTTGTAACACAGGTGCATTTAAACAAACCGATCAAGGGACATGGGCACACGTTGTTTGCGCTTTGTGGATACCGGAAGTCCGTTTTGCGAACACTGTATTTTTGGAACCAATTGGTATGTGCTAAATGCTTTATTTTTTATTCATAACTTATTAATATTAATGATTTGCAATCATAACTTATTAATATTAATAAGTTGCAATTATAACTACTAAGAAATAAACATTATTACACATCAAAAGCAACAAGTCGACAAGGAGACAAATTGCTCTTCGTTTACATGAGTGAATTAAGGGCAGTGATGGCGTTATCTCTAGCGAGCGAAATTCAGCATGTATTGGTGTATCTGTAAATCAGTATCGTTGATTGTGATATAACGGAAAAATTGAAATTTCGACGATATATATCGTGTCGGTTGCATCCCTAATATTTACAATAGTGATTGGTGATAAATGTTGCAAACAATGTTTCTTTTCCCAGATTCTATTGAAATGATACCGGCGGCACGTTGGAAGTTGTCGTGTATGGTATGCAAGCAGCGTGGTACCGGCGCATGCATACAATGTCACAAGTCCAACTGCTACTCAGCTTTCCATGTCACCTGCGCGCAGCAAGCCGGGTTAGTATTACTAAATTAGCCAGTTATGACTAAGTTGTTCCTTTTCCTTGCTATATTTCCATCTTCACATTCAGGACTTTTAATAGTTTAACTGTACATTGAAATAATATAAAGTCATATGTCGTTCTTGATATAGCAGGGAGGAATTAAAAAGCAAAAAAATTACAATAACTAGATGGCATTTTGAAATATTTTAATTATGCCGTTTTAAGCCTTTGCTTTCCTACATAACTGCTACCATCCATTCCAGAAATGTAGTAAAACAAGGGAAATCAGTAAAATTGATCGAGTTTTTATGTTAATAATATATATATATATATATAACTATAATAATAACACAGTATTACATTTTTGGAGGAGTTCAATAGCGCATTGGTTAGCGCGCTCAGTCTGTAACTCGGTTGTTAAGCAACTTTCGTAATGGCTGGTCATAGGATGGGTGACCAAAAATTGACTATATCGAGCTCCTCCGTGCTTCTGAAGACACGCTAGCCGTTGGTCTCGGTTTCATATGCAGTCGTTCTTACCCACCAATCTGCACTGGGTCTGTGTGATAGGTCGTCGCCCATTCTTCCTATTTGATTCCGTCTATAGGGAAAGCCTGAGCACCAGCAGTGGGAAAATTAATAAGCTAGTGGTGATGATAATGATGAAATCTTCTGTGCTACTGCGTAAGATTCTTTATATATATTTCTTCTACTTTAATTATGTGGCGTGAAAGAAAATATAGTGACAAAAATTGAAAAGCGATGCTTGTTTCGTTTGGTAATAATAAAAGCATGCGCGAAAGTTGATTAACAAGATAGATATATGTATAAGGCGAGTGTGATAGGAGAATACTAGAAGGGGAAGACCTAGACGAATGAACCGCGTCCAAATCGCAGATGTGTTAAAGAAAAGCCAGATTCAGAGTATCTTAAGCTGCGTTCTTGCAGGCATGAAATAATAGATGGCTATTAAATAAAAGTTAATGTTGTTCTGTTAGGTTACATATGAAAATGGAAGCGGCTGGTGCGGGTCGTGATCCTAGTCAGCCGGTACAGGTCGCTAAGATGGCCTATTGCGATGTACACACTCCCGCGCACGTGTTACAGGTATAATCTACATTATATACTGACTAACACCTAACAGCTAACACCGCCGCCAGTTTTTGAGCAACAAAAATTTTAAAAATACAATCTTTCCTTGTAATATTAGTACAGATGAATCAAATCAAAGTTATAACTAGGACATGCGAAGAACGGACAACGCTAGAAAGTGTTATGAGAACATTGAAAGTAAACGATTCGTATGGCTATAGCACTCCGCACCTTTATCACGAAGTACTGCGTTTTTTTTGTATGGCGTGCGGTCAACGACCTATAGCGTTTTGTTTGAACAAAACAAACTACTTCCTGTAAACGATACAGAGTTCTAGGATAGCGATACGTATCGTTTATTTTCAGCGCTAACATAAGACTTTTGAGCATTTTTGTCTGCACTAGGACCTTAGAAAATAACTTTTTCTGATTTTATAATGATGTTGTTTCTGTAAATTTTATTCAATTTATTGCGAACTAGCTCTCTTTCAGTGGCATCGCCCGCGTGGCTTACAAATTTTCTTGACACTACTTTTATCCCTAGGGAACGATTTAGTGTTATAAAATACTATGTTAATCAAGGCTTAGAATTATCCATATACGAAACAACAAAATCTATTCAGTAGTTTTTTGTGTGAAAGAGTAACAAACAAAAATAGATACATTCATCCACCTTCATAAATTTGTTCTGTTGCAGTGAATGTTGTATTTGAATTATTTCTTGGTACAATATGTCATTAAGACAAAATTACTGTTGGATATCGGCGTCACCGCTTTTATATGTTGTTTATTTTTTGTAGGAGAGGCGTGCGCTGGAATCCGGCGGCGATAAAAAATCCCATGATTTGACAGCCATCAGACAGAAAGGAAGAGAGAAAATTATTCAGGTTAGTATTACCTCTTGTTTTTTAATGTTATTATTATGTACAATTGAAATTTAAATGAGAAACGAATTATAATACCTACATGTCAATAACTCTTGCACTAGAGAAATTCTAGTGACTTAAGATTTTGTACAATTGAATCCTCCAGAGTTACAGCATAGAACATTCTATTAATGTGATCAGTAAATAGAACAATATGTAGTACCTTATCACGAGCTAATAAAGTTTATTGCCTTACTAAGCACTCGCTTGAATAGGAAGTGATTGTCTATGATTTTGCATGCTTCAGTTCTTCTTTTTTAATGTATGGCCTATTTTCGTTTACACAATTCTGCCAATGTCACGTCAGTGGCCTTTATACATACAAAGAATAACAAAAATAAATATTTTGTGGTAATAAAACAAGAAAAAGTATGTATTTACACGAGCACACAAGTCGTATTTGTCCATATACTAATATAAAGACCGAAAATTTAAGACATCATTGTTTATATCTTAATTCCAGTATATAAACTCCTAAATTGATTTTATCCCTTAACACATCTGTTATGGACAAAGACTAAATGTATCTGTCATATTTCGCAAATGCCCATCACTAGGCGACACACAATGCATGTTTTAACTTTAGGCGTCACTTAAAGTCGTTCCTTCGTGGCTCCTTGTTATTGATGAAACGCATTTTCACCTTAGACAATGCCAAAATATTTAAGTGTCAGTTTTAGGTGACTCCTAAGTTTAGTGAAAACGAGCATTATTGTTTCATTTCAGAAGTCATTTAATGGCAATAGCTAAGTATAATTTATGTGTTATTTAATAATTCCTATACATGTGTTAGTACCAAGATCTCCGTAGGCGAGTCGTTCGCACGCCTTGTTCGATTTTGGGTCGGTTGTGGTATCTTCTTTGCTTCAGATATTCTGTAATACTAATGCTGTAGATACTTAGCTTAGTATCTGATAGCATATGGTGATGTTGTCTAATATTTATTTATATATATAGGCTCGTCGCTTGCTAGCGATGAAGCGAACCTGGGCCCCTGTAGTTCTAGTGCCTACATTACCCGCTGAGCGAGTATCGGAAGTGGCACAATTAGCGACAGGTCCGCCGGCGTCACGTGCTCAACTCATGAAGAAGTTACTGGCATACTGGACGCTTAAAAGACATAGTAGAAATGGTGTGCCATTGTTGAGGAGATTGCAAAGTCAGGCTCATAATTATGGTGAGTTTTATAGACAACTTGAGCGTGGATTATATTTTATCTGAATATAATCAAGGTACCAATTGGACCAAGAGAGCCGGTGAGTGAGTGTGAGTGATCAAGCCTGCGCATTATGAATTATGTTAAGCTGTTTGAGGTGCAATAAATAATTATGATTTTCCTTATCCACCACATTATGTGGATAATCAAATCAAATTCTTCAGGCATATATACCTAGTCAATTTGATTACTTCTATAGTTTGTATCACAATGCCCCCTCATTTTGGGCATTATCCATAAAGCTTTATAAGGCAAGATTTACAGCAGGCAGTACTAGTCTTTGATTTTTCAAAAATTAACATTTGGTTGATATTTTTCATACTTACGCCGAGTTGCACAAATGTCCATTAACATTGATACACATTTTCAAAATTGGAACATTCATTAGAGTTTAGTCGTCATTAAACATTAATAGACGTTTGTACAACGGGGTATTAAGTAATTATCCTATATAACACGTTACACATTTTTGTAGGATCACGAGGTATACAAGACGGTACAGTGAACATAAGGGAGTTGTGTAATCAACTTAAATATTGGCAGAGAATACGTCAGGATTTGGAAAGAGCTAGGTGAGTCATTTATTCGGAAGAATAATATTTCTATTCATAAAGGATATTGCCCATCGTAATATGGAACTCGGTTTCACATTGTATCACTATGCACCTTATATAACTAGCCTCATTTTTAAAGGCTTTAAATGCGTAACAGTTGCTTATCTACAGAATACTTGTTTACTATGAAAAAATTTGTGACGTACATCACGCTATCTACAACATGAAAAAACCGCCATTTTCAATTGAAATGCCAATTGTTCAGAAGTTATAACATTGTGTTGAGACTCGTAGGCGACACTTAGAGTAGAGATTGGCATGATCGGTATCGAAACACTAACAGTGGCGAAGTGTGCGAATCGCAATACGAGTATATGTGAAACTAGTACCATACTAGTCTTTTAATGTTAATGTTCCATAGCTCAATGATTTTGAAGGTGATTTTTTTAATTGTTATTCTATAAAATACTCGTATTAATGTGAATGTAAAGTTTATATTTTAAGTTTCATTTTTATGGACCGTCACTAGGTTGTTATGCGAGTTGGTCCGTAAACGTGAACGTCTGAAGGCGGAGTACACACGCGTGTGGGAGCGATGCGTGATGCACTCGTTGCGTCCGGAGCGTGCCGCGTTACACAAACTGTTGCGATTGTTGCGACAACGTGACAACAGCGATATATTCACCGAGCCTGTTGACTTGCAAGAGGTACATCATTAGTGTAAACTAAACGTATAATCTGCCGTCGACTGTGAGTAGGTGCCGTTATATATTTGAACTGTGTTTTATCATATTTTCACTAACCTAAACAAGGGATAGCTAGAAATCGCCTAATATTAACAATAGCTTAAGCAGATTTTTCGTTTCGCCAAACGTTAAGTAATGCCCTTAGCACTGGCAAGGCAGCGTTTGTCTATGATTTTGCGTGCTTCAGATCTTCTCCTTCTTTTTTATTGTATAGTGTAATATATTGCGTTTACACAATTCCGCCAATGTGACATTAGTGGTCTTTACACGTAAAGATACAATAACATAATAATATATTTATGAATTAAACTTGGTCTTGTATTTAACGAGTGACCATTCGTCAGTGTTGTCTAGTAATACCAAAAATTATTTTATCTCTTGACATATCTGTTTTGACCAAAGAGTAAATCTATAGGTATGTCCACCATACGCAAGGTGCCGCATAATGCATGTCATAACTTTAAGCCTTGCTTCAAATTGTTACGTGGTTCCTAGTCATTGGGGAATCGCAATTTCACTTTAGGCAATGCCTAAATACGTGTTGAAATGGTGTTGAAACTCTAACTCGAATCATTCAATTTTTAATACTTTCTTTCTTATTTTGCTTCTTTGTGTTGTGTCTTGTGTAATGTTAAATAAAGCATATTTTATAATTATTCTCTTTTTATAATTATTCTCTTGTCATATCTAGGCTTTAAGCTTTTATTATTTAGTCTAGGATGTTACAAGTACCTGTAAATGTCGAAATACTATGCGATCGGTTCAAATTTTCCCTTTTTTATGAGATAGTCCAGTCCAATTTCAAATATTATTTATAACACTATGTCACCTACCATTACAATGTTCTCAGTGAACCTTAAAGTAAACGCGAAATTAAATTTAAATCGTGAAATTTCCTCCCTAATGTACTGTCAATACTCTTTTACAATATGCCAGTGGTTCGGATAAACATTCGGTTTATATATGTTGACCAAATTTTAACAGCCAGTTGCACAAACGTCCATTAAAATAGTCATCAGTTTAAAGTGGCATTACCCATACATATTTTACATTAATTAGAGTTTAAAGGCGTCATTAAACCCTTATGGACGTTTGTGTAACGGACCATAAGTGTATTAAGTCTGGCGCTGCAATCCAATAGGTGTTTATGTTCAGATAATAGTTCTAGCCAATCAGCGTTCGCGGTGTGTAGTGACGTAGGCCGTAATGAGTAAGTGTGAATACTTACACATAGCGAAATAACGTGTCTCATGTTTGGCGGTCATCTACGGAAATGCAATAAACTACGTAGAGGCGGCCGATTATACGTTTGTTTTTTTTTGTTTTTTAAACTTTCATGGTCATTAACATCAGGATGATTGTTAAAAACGGGATTGCTATCATGTACCTTTGTTTTTATTGAGTCCCCGATGTTTCGACGCTGTTGCAAGCGCCATAATCACGCAGTGATTAAAGTTTATGCGGGTGAATGTTATCGGCAGATATCGGTCTACCTTCTTTCTAATCCTTTTACGTTCGGTACATGTTTTAGCAGTCATTCTGAGATTTTGTTATGAACACAGTCTTGATGTCTCCTGAAAATGTGTTGAAAAATAGCTCATTTCTTTGATTATCTCTGCCAGGTTCCGGATTACAGTTCGGTGGTGAAACATCCTATGGATCTGAGTACAATGGGCAAGGAGTTGGATCGTGGCGCGTATCGTACAGTCGATGATGTCGAAGCGGACTTCCAGCTGATGATCAACAATTGTCTCACCTACAATAACAAGGACACGGTGTTTTACAAGTGAGCACTGAAAAAGGGCACTCACATGGGCTCAGTAGCGATCAATGGCTGCTACCTTAACACATTAAATATACATAGAGATACATTTTGAACTATAACTTCCTACATTTTGAATGAGCTCGTGGATATAACTATAAAATTTGTTTGCTGTACCCTTACAGTGTTATTAATAAACAAGGTTTAGAGTTGGAGTAAATTGACGCTGAGACTGCACTTAGTATTAGTCAAAATGCATATTATTAAACAGAGACTTAGTAAAGGTTAACCTAGTACGAGGTTCTACGGGAGTATATTACGGGGTTATTTTAAGGATCACAATGCATGGAATTAATAGCCTTCGCTTTGTTCTATAACGACTAATTATATGTTCAACCTATGTCCTACAGACTTTGAAAGTCGTATTTATTATTGTGATAAAACATATTATTTTGGTAATGACATGATTTATGTAAATGTCATTACTTATGATAAAGAGCTGGTAAGTTTCTTTCGCTTGTTCTTCTTGTCAGCTAAAAGACATCTTGAACAAGTAGTAGGGGAAAAAAATTTTTTTGGACGATTCTAAAGTGCTTGTAATAAGCCTACTAGAATAAAAAAGAATCATTTCATTAATATTTACTCCTAGAACCTCTGTATAATATGAATTTGGAGAAATACTTAAATTGCAATTTTAGCGTAAATTTACTCTGCCGCTTAACCTTGTTTATTAATAGCACTGTTACGGTCAGTTGCAAAAACGTCCATTATCCTTAATTCACGCCTTTAAGCTCTAATGAATGTCAAATTTGTATGGGTAATGTTGCTTTAAACTAATACCAAGTCTGTGCAACTCGCTGATAGAGTATTAAACCAACAAGTGTTGCAACCGGCAAGCGCACCCCTTTGTTAAAGGCATATATGCTCAATGGGCATGCTCGTTATATAAAAATATACGCGTCATTCACAATTGCAGCGCTTTTAATTACTCTGAATCTTTAAGTGTTATTATTATATAGCATAAAAACTTCTTTGGGGTAATTTATGAAATCGAGTGAAATACCACATATTATTAACAACAACAACATATTGAGACAAAAGTAAAAGTATAATAAAAGAGTTTTTAAAAAACATACTTTTATTTGTGCGCACTAAAACGTAAATAAATAATTTAAAATACTTACAATCAAAATTTTTAAGCAAGTGAGTTTTTATGCATTTAAGTAATTGACATTAAAAGCTTGTAGCGCATAAAAAATATGCGTATTTCAATTACTGTTAGTAAAATTTTTGATTATAATTACCTTAAGCGTTCAGAATTTATTTAAGTTTTAGTGCGCATTAATAAAATAAAAGTTTGTTTTATTTAATCTTTGTACAGGGCGGGAATAAAGATGCGCGAGCAATGTCTGCCATTGTTCCGTCAAGCTCGCCGTGACGTGCGCGCGGCCGGTATGCCGGAACTAGCGGGCGACGGTGACCGAGCGGACTCCAGCCCCGAGCGGGACTCGGAGTCCGAGTTGGTCAGGGAGCGAGACAACGATACGGAGTGGGACAGAGATAGGGGCCGGTCGGTCAGTCGCCGCAGCAGTCGGCACACCAGTCGCCCCACGAGTCGGCACAGCAGTCGGCCGAGCAGTCGCCACAGCAGTCGACCTGGCAGCAGACGTAGCCGCTCGCGAAATTCCAGCAGCGATAGTGACCGTACCCGGTACACTGGTTAGTATAGCAGTTGTCATTAGAGAATAGGACTAGACTAACCTTAGAGTTCGGTTAAACTACTCGTACGAATTAATATGACACTTGAAGGTCTATTCAATTTTTCTATATTCAAAATCCAAAATGGTAAGACGACTCCAAAGAAACTCTTTTTTCTTTAATTCACGATGCAACGGACGTAGGATTTGATTTCTTTGATGGACAGATGCTCTACACAGATATGATTTTAGCAAAATTATAAGATCAAAAAGGGGACAAACAGAATTGGCCCTCGGTATTATATTTATTTGTATGGGTTATACATATTTCTTTAAAACTAAAATTGTAAAATATGTTTATTTCAATTGACTTAGAATTAATTATAATACAGATTGTCGTAGTGAGCGAGGTATGTCAGTGTCACGAAGCGAGCGAGGTCTGTCAGTGGCACGCAGCGAGAGACGCGATCAGAGCCCTAGAGATACGGACGATGATAATAATACCGTAAGATTTTTACTGTAAATAATAATTATGTGCACTATTCTATATAACATAGTTAACTGCTCGTCAGGTTATACTAAACTGTCAAATTTCTTCACTCGATTGTAAACCTTATTACATTTAGGGTGGAGGTCAAATTCAATCGTGGAAAATTTACAAATTTTGTTACCTTTACGTAAAACCGAGTACAGACTTAGTATTCTTTTTTAATGTAAATTGTTAATCAAAGTTAAATTCAACATAATTTTTGAGGCAGAAAGCAATTTTTCGAATTTTTTAAATTAAGTACGATTATGGAAAACAACAGATTATGCTGATATTCGATTAACTGGTGATAATTCGTCGCTTAATTCTTAAAAATGAGGTTTGGGTAAACTAGATGTATGAGTTGTGTATTTGCCCCAGCGGTCTAGTTCCCCGGGGGCAAACGGGACGGGGGCTGGGACGACGGGCGTGACGCGTCGTGGGCGCGGTCGCGGGCGGGGGCGGGGCAGGGGGCGGGGCCGGCCCCCACACCTCGCTAGGGTGCGACAAGGTACAGATATACACAATTCGTTTATATAACGTTTTCTTTAATATTAATACTTAATTTCTAAATCAGTGAAACCAACGAGTGTGGCGCGTCGTAAATCTTCTTTAGACGGACCAAGCTAGTGACCGCCTAACTCTTTCGCTATAACTATAGCCATAGCACCTTTTTGGTGATTTTATCAATTAATAATCATATGAAATGTATATTATTTATAGGTATTTTTATTATTAATTTTAAAAAATATGTCTATCATAAATTAGGTCATGCTAAAAATAACACTGATTGGATTGTACTAGTTCTACTTCGCCCGTTTAATTTTTTTTAAAGTGTTCCCTCTCTTAATAAACATGAATTTGATTTATAAATAATGAATACACAGAGACTCCGACGTCAGGTTCGGAAACGGGTGTTCCGCCTTCGAGAAATAGCGTGGAGCGGACGCATAAACTTACTACGCCTGAGAAATCGCCTAGCAAACAGATAGACACATCTCCTGGTAAGATTTATTAAATAACTTTTGACGATTATTCTTTAATCCAATTTTCTTTTCATATTTTTTTTTTTTACCGTAATTTCGGCCACGTAAATAATTAGCCTTATTTACCCGCGTATCAGGATCAGTATTTCCGTAGATTGTCCACTACAAACCAGCAAATAAAGTTAGAAATTTCATCTATTTATAATGTTAGTGTATGGATTAAACCTAACTTTTTAAGACGAGCGAAGAGAGGAGAAGAATGTTAGGTTGACTTCGAGCAGACCATAATTGACTTAACTAATACAATATTTGGTTAACAATAGATAATTTTGTGAAAATTACGTTGGCTCAAATATCTTGTCACTTGAAAGTTGGCGTTTTGGAAATTGTCATTATAAAAAGCACATCAAACGTACAACTGTAAAGCTGATGTTGGAACGTAAAACTAAATTTTATGATAAGCTGGCAAATGATAATAAAATTCTACGAAACGTTAGTGGGAAACGTTAGAGGTGTAATCGCATTTATGATGCAAGTGCCAAAAGTAGCCTACATATTGCAAATGTAAAGCACTGATTCCAGATTCCAGTTTATTCTGTTTTAGGCTTGAGTTTATTGGGGGGATTGAGGAAGCCTACACTTCAATTGCCACCAACTCTGGGCGCGGCGCCGTCGAAGAGCTTCGGCTCTGACGGTATGTACATTTTATTTCTACTAATAACTGACTTCGTTTAACACAATGAGTATGAAAATGATAGATAAACAGTACCCGAAACGAAAGTAAAACCAAGATTCGGAAGTTATGTTCAGGTTATGACTCTTTTTTTTTATATTTTTGTTTATATTATTATACTTTATAGAATAATTGTTAATTTATTTGACGTGAAGTTAGTAAATTTACGGAATGTAAAGTTATCGTAAGTACTACTTTCGAGTAGAAATATGAAAAAGACTAGTATGTTCCAATGAGTTTTAAATTCAATTCTTATGTTACATTTGAATTTCAGTTCAATGCTCTATGTATTACGGACCAACTCTTCATAGATAAATAAACACTTTATTGCACACATAATAATAACAATTTACAGAGAGTGATATATTTTATTTTATTTTTGACAGCATCTCTGCCTACGTTGTCAGCTAGCTTAGGTCGATCGAGTTTGGAATCTTCACCTAAGAAGAAAGGGCGTGGCCGTCCCAGGAAGAACGACAAAGACAAGTCGACTTCATCACCAGATCTGTTCAGGTAAGTTCGGTTTTAGTTTCTGCATGAGTAACTCTCATAAAGGTAGATAGCCTTTATGAGAGTTACTCATGCCGCGCCCGCGTGATGCATAGGTAAAAGTAGCCTGTTATTCTACTGGATCCAAATTATCCATACCAAATTTCATCACAAACAGTTCAGCATATTCGTGAAGTATACACACAAATAAGCATGTTCGCATGCCCGCGTTCGGGCCGTGAGCTCTGCGATACACGTCATTCCCAGTGACCCATATGAATGATTAACAAATACCTGTTTACTTTCATTTTAAAATATTTTTGAAAATTCCTCACTAAACCTATTTGGGTAGGATAAGTTGTTGTCTACTTATTTTCCTTTGGTTATTATTTATCGCAGCCCAATGGCGTTATCGGATAAGTCAAGCCTGCCGGGAGTGGAGACCTCTCCTAAGAAAAAAAGTCGCGGCCGCCCCAAGAAGAACGACAAAGATAAGTCTACGTCCTCACCAGATAGCTTCAGGTATATTAAATAATAAATGCTTTATTATAAAAATTTAATGAAATCGATCAGCTAGTATTTACATTATTTGGTAAATATTATGCTTAATAAATAACGTGTTAAAATTACAGTTCGAATATCAAAATAATAGTAAAACTCATAAAGTATCCGTTTTATTCCAATAATTCGGATGCGCAAAGGTCGAGATGTGGATGCATTGCAATATAGGTCGTATTATATTTGTTTTTTGAATAATTACGCGTTATTTGTTACAGTAATTGAGACTTAAATCGATTTAATTAAAGTTGATTTTGGTTAAGCAGTTACTTGTAGGCATCAAAATATCATTGGCTTTATTTTGCATCTCGATTCGATTTTATTTATAGGGAAGGCAATGGGGACATTATTAGGTTGATGATCTATGTATGATTATTAGGACAATGCAAGGTGTGGGCGTGGAAGGTAAGCTGTCTAGTCCGGTGCCTGCATCGTTCCTGCATTACCGCGGCCCGCCGGGGGAAGTGGGCTCTGACAGCGATCTAGCACTATCCAGGTATGATCTTTAGAATGTACAGTCGACACCACTTTATGTTATACAAATCTGTCAAAATAATCACTTGATTTTAAACCTTAATGTATTTAATGTACTTTAAAATCAACTGCAGATATTTCGACATATTATGGTAACCTCACGTGAAGAGTTGTGTGTACAACAGAACCATGTTGATAAATTACATTAAATGCACTTGAATGGCTCGAAAAAATTTTAGCCAATGATAACTGCGTAGTACCTCCTAAGGAGCAGACATACGCTTTCATGACATTTACAAATTATAGCCTCTGTCACCCGCGTATGATGTAGCTTCCCGTAGGTGAATGAAGTTTCATGATCAGATCAGTATTTCCGAATACTACCCCCTACAAATAATAAAGTTAGAATAATTTCTTCTTTCAATTAATACAAATAATTAAATAAAATAGAAGTTACGGAATAATAAACTAGAAATAGTAAAATCATTTTTAATATGTTTGTAAAAAAAAAGACAATGAAACTAATAAATGACTCATAACTAAGACGGTTTCAGTACTTAGGTGTTGGTAGAAAATGAAATGGCTGACTAGGCTTGATAAGTAGGTATAATTATGGTGTTTATAAAAAACTGTAACCATAAATATAAAAACAGTTCGTATTTCTAAAATTATGATGGTTTGTAGGTATTTAGGGCGGCTTGCGCAACATTTGGTCTAAACAGAATTTAGTTAAATGTGTTTATCTTGCTAAATATGTTTAGCCTAAATACAATTAAAAAGGTCTTGCTCACGTCCGTTTGGATGGTAATTTAACTAATCGTAGTTAGGGAGTCGGTAAAGCAGTTTCTTGCTTAACTGAACTTAAAGCAAAATGGTTGCATTTCTTAAAAAAAATGCGTGAAATGGACCGACGAGCTTTCACCTGGCACATCAAGTCAACCGAGTTGTCAAGTCACACATATTGTGTTGTTGTGATTTGTTAATGTGTTCCAGCAAATAGCTGGAACAAAATTTTAGTGGTGTCTTTCGTTAGACGAAACTTTCTGAAGAATTTGTCGTCCGAATACATTCCAAATAAGTATGCTCTCACAAACAATTCCCTCGGTCTGTTAATATATTCTCTCCTCCTCATCGTCATCAGAATACAATTTCCACAAATCCATCTCACAAACATCCTAACGAACTCTTTACTTTAAAATTGGAAAAGCCCCCCCCCCCCCCCCTCCCCCAAATTACTGGCATTTTTACTCTTTGTGTAAAAAATTTAAGTAATTTAGCCAAATTAGGCCATTGTCAGAATTTATATTTTTTTTGTTTTCAGACAAGCCCATCATTTTTTTTGCTTCTTTATGGATTAGATTTTAATTATAAAAGAGGTAAAGGAGAATTTGTTTTTTGGTACTTTATTCCGAAAAAGTCTAACCACTATGAAGAAAATTACCATAGAACCTAGACCTAGTCCTCTATCTTTTACCAAATTTTCAGGACTGAAACGCCTCCCGTTTCGGAGAATTTAGTTATAAAATATTTGAACGTTTTACCTAAAAACACTTTAATCCAGAGCCATAAAAGGTAACTAAAAAAAATCTCGCCTTTTATAAAACAAATGCAGAGGGTTAAGTGCTTAGCCTATACTGCCAAGCCAACGATATTACAACCTAGCGCGCCTAGTGGACAAGTCTTAAATCAATAATTCTAAAATAGAATCAATAATTGCTAAATATCCACGTTACTTTATAAGGAGGACAACATAACTTTAGTACTTGGTTCAAACTATTCTTCTTCTTTTTAATTATTGCCGATGCCCCTGTGGATTTCGCTAGAATCGAATGTTTCGTACAGTTTATTTTTATACTCTGCTTTCTGTATGTCAAACCAGGTACCTAACTCGTCTTAATTTGACATTATCTTTTGTTGTTATAATTGCTAATTAGATGATATGATTAAATAATTTGCTGAGGCCTGTTTTAATTTTTCATAAACTAGGGGTTTTCTCGTCTTGTTACTCCATACCTACTCTTCTATATACCTCAATTCAATTTCGAAATATTAAACTATTTTCTTTAGAATTTGAACTACCTGTTTGCCATTGCCATTGTACTATTTACCTGGTCCGATATTATTAAATAGTATCTTCCTTACAAATCAATGGTGATTAAACCTATATTTTATAATTTTATAGTAGTAGTAACAAGAACAGTGTTATAAAGGGTTGTCGTTGAAACTCTATTGACTTTCCTTATTTACGCTAATTATGGAAAGTATAGCGCTTTAGACTGACTTACTGCTATGTATAAATATATAACAGTTATTTTATCAATGTATAACGAAATAATTCGCATGTATATCTGGACAGGACCTTTATTTATTTAGTCTTTATTGCATAAAATATGAAGACAAAAATATACTTCACAAGAACGTTTTAATATCTGTCATTTATTTACCTATTTTCTCAACCATTCCTTAACATAGAATAAAAAAACAATAATCAATATGTTCTCTCACCAAGATTTCATCTAAAAACAGTGCATGTGGGGAAATATTATTTTGATATCGTACCCATCCCAAATACCAAACCATTGTGACAATTCTCACTTTGTCACAATGGTTTGCACAAGCACCCACCGTGCGTTTACCTATTATATTAAATTTTTCATTAGTTTAAAGTGACATTACCCATACAAATTTGACATTCATCATTATCAGCCCTTTTACGTCCCCACAGCAGGAGCTCAGGCCTTCCTTATGGATGGTTAAGGAGGATGGATGCAGATTGGAGGGTATTAACGACTGAAAATTCGGGCAGGCCCAACGGCTTAACGTGCCTTCCGAAGCACGGAGTAGCTCGAGTTAATAATTTTTTGGTCACCCATCCTGTGACCGACCCCTGCGAAAGTTGCTTAACGACAACGATCGCGAGCCATGGCGCTTATTTGACATTCATTAGAGCTTAAAGGCGTCATTAAACCTTAATGGACGTTTGTGCAACTGACCGTAAATCTGACGTTTACATCATGGGGAACATATCTATGTCTGGTATTTGGGAATTTATATTGATAAACAGAGCACGGCGTCTATTTAATTGTTGTCGAATTACATGGTCAGCCAAATGGTTAACCATATTTCGCATAGCCAAAGCTCTCTAGACAATGAGTTGAGCATCTATGCGGTCGGTTATGACGGGATGAAAATTGTTAATTATTGCTGCTGTAATTTTAAAATCTGTGATTAAGTTTTTTGACATTCTATTAAAATATTCACTTCGGAAAATAAATAATCCCGTTTAAACCGAACATTTACAACTTCTACCGCCCACCTGCACATAGTCACTAGTCTACTGTGGTTTGCTTTTGTTGTTAATAATTGTGTTTCTCCTGCATCTAATGATAAGGGCTTATATACTGAATAGCCCAAAGAGGGAAGCAACCCCAATGGATCTCTAAACCCTCTGTCTAAAATATAAACTCATTTGGCTGAAAGAATTGTCTTAATTCTGAGGATTCATCCCTAAATAAACAGGTTATAATTTCAGCATCAGACTCCATTGCAGCGTATGGTCCAAAGACATCAATGATGTAGCCGTCAGTGACAACAACCAACAATGGTTTTAGCAGGTTTCTGAATTTATGTAAACTACGAGGGCGGGATGATAAATAGCTAACCCAAACTATATTTTGTATAATAACGATATAAAATCTCCTTAGTATTTTACTCATTGGTTCATTAGCTGCCAGTGTTCTTTTCAAATCGATCGTATACCTGGCAATAAATGTCACTTTTTTTATCTGGTTTAGATGGTAACAAATCCTAATTCCTGATAAAAAAAGCATTAATCATTAAAAAGTATTTGTTACTTACTTCTGCATGCCTCCAATCTTCAAGGATACCAATGAGTTCAGAATCCATGTCCAAAAGATGGTAGAACATTACACCCGGCCGCAGATCTCTATTGCAATTCAAGCAATACATGATGCCAGTTCCGCAATATAAAAATATATTATTACCTGTCAGTATGTATAGGTTTATATATATGTGATTAGATTTTTATATTAGACCAATTAATAAGAATGATTTACTAGATTAGACTAGCATCAATTAAAAAAAAATCATGCAGTTATGATTGCTAAAATCAATATATAATCTTTTGTTTTAAAATAAAAAAATCGTTAGATTAGGTTAGACTTACAGGTAAAATAAATGAAACAATTTTTTTTCCAGTCGACAAAAACCAGTATACGAGTATATCAGTCCAGTATAACGAGCCAAAGTAGTAGTCAAGCATCAATCAAAATCCAAAGAAAAAGCCGGGGGTCGTAGAAAATCACACAAAATCCTAAACAGCAAACTCACAAAACGAACTCAGTCAATTGACTTCTTTTTCTTAACTTTAATGCAGTCTTAGAAGAATTGTATTTGACATTTTAGGGCCATGAAATGTCAATTCGACGACCAACCAAAAGCGTTGGTTCGTTTCGTTTGCGCAAAAACATTATTATAGAAAATAGATGATTAATTAAAACAAGGAAACAGTCATCTCATGTCAATTGGCTGAAAAGAAGTGTTAATTTGATTTTGTTTTTAATATATTATAATGAATTATATTCAAATTTAATTATTATGTCATTCATTATAAGCCATTTATTAAATACAAATACAATTTCCAAACATCTGGGTTAATTTTCGTTATAAACATTAACTATCAAAGTAGTAGTTAAAGGTGAAATTTTTTTAATTAAAATCTAATGTTATGTATGTACTGGTAGAAGAATTTTCATGAACTGCCATTCAGAAAGAGCATATCGCGTTACTCAAAATTTCAAATGACGAAAATAAATAATAAGAAAAAAAATATGTTATAGATCAAAGACAAAAAGTTTGGATGCGGAAACCTAGGAAAAAATAAACGTTGTAGTACGACGCACCGTTACATAACTACTGGCCATAATCTTGTATCTTTTAATATCTGTCAAATGGATATTTTGAAGTGTTAGATAAACTACCATTTTTAATTCAATTAATTTTAATACAGATCAACCTTTTTCTGAAGTACATAAAGTCGATCTGTAACACATAAGTGGCATTGTAACTGTATTACAAAAATCATAGTTATTTGTCTTAAATAAAAATCGCCGGAGTCTATTGAATTTTTTAAACTATGTTCCTATTCTATATTATAATAAAATAGTATATTTTTTGGACACAGGTCGTCGAGTAGCAGCTCTGTATGGTCACAGTCATGTTCCTCGTGCACACATTACGATGACAATGGCTCAGATCACTCCTGCATGAGCACCAGCGATGGGTAACTTTATAATATTATATACAGTTTTTTTTTTATCTTTATTTGTACCCTCGAAAACTGTTGTAAGCAGTGCTTAAATTTTAATATTAGTTTATAAGCGTCAGTCACAGTTAAGTTTCATTTCTATTTTTAGCATAGTGTAATTAAAGAAATAGAAAAGGTGTCTATTAATACGTTGCAACTTTTTTTATATACTGTGCCCGGGTATTCAATAAATATATATTTGTATGTTCTATCAGCATTACCAAAATCGTAGGAAAATTGAACGGTTTGAAATCTCAAAATTTAGTGTCTTATCAGTTGTGATTAGAGATGCACCGAATAGGGATTTCACCGAATAGCCTAATACCAAATATTATTCAGTTTAACTTTTACCGGATATTCGGTCGAATTATTTGGTTATAAATCAGTTAAACGGTAAACGTTTAACTGATTTGCCGCGTAACAAGGTTTAAAAACCAAATGTTCATTTGAAGTTAAATTGCTTTATTTTATTAGCTTTATTGATCACATTCTTCATAGGATTTTTTGGACTTATAATATGTCATAAATCTTACATAAGACGAATACACAGAATACCGAATACCAAATGAATATTCAGCGCACCTTAAATTGTGATAAATGTATGTTTTGTTAGTTCCAGTAATGGAGGACCGGAGTCTGAGAACGCAGGTCGGCGGTCACGTCGTGCGGTACAGACAGATGCGTCAGATAATGAACCCACTACACCTATCAAGGTAAGAAACGTTACAGAAAGATACAACTAATGTGGCTCACGGATGTAAATGTACTCACGCAGAAGTTTCATTTTTGAATGATTCGAATAAATGTCAGCGTTACCGAGTTTTTCGCGACTTCGCTTGCGTAAATTATAGCCTGTGTCACCCGCGTATGATGTAGCTTTCCGTAGGTGGATGAATTTTCATGATCAGACCAGTATTTCCGAAGATTATCCTCTAAAAAAGTTAGAATGTAATGGAATAGAAGTAACTGAGTCATAATAAACTAGAAACAGTGAAAGATTTTTTTATAATTTGTTTATAAAAAATCTCAAAGTGAAGTCTCTTGAAGGCAATGAACTAATACTAATAAATGACTGACTTATTACCTTGACGGTAAGGACCGTTTCAGTAAAACTGATGTGTCTCACGAATGTTCCTGCGTAGAAGCATAAATTTCGAAGAGCCACAAATTTTTAATTGTCGACCAATCAGAATGATTTAAGTATCACGCCATCGAGCGATCTATCAAAATCCACGCGCTAAAAACCAGAGTACGTTTGAGACGGACACCTTACGCATTGCAATTTATTGTTAATTTATTAGAATTTTGTTGACTTACTTTTTTCTTTTTGACTTTTTTGGTATTTCATGGAAATCGAATATAAAAAAGCACCATTTTAAGAAATATTCCCAGTTCGAAAAACACTTTAGAATTCCCGTATACCGAGCTTTTATAACTGATAAATTGTTGTCACCAGAGTCGCGGTACCCGATCGAATTCAAAAACACCAGTGAAGAATCCGCCCGCTGACGTCCATCTAGAGCCGTTACAGCTTGTCTGGGCAAAATGCCGGTCAGTATTAATTGGTGATTTAATACTAGTCTTGGGCGTAATAGTTCGCAACTGAGATAGAACGAGTTAGTTCGCGGCTCCTAAACGAACTAGTTCGCTCTTTTAGTTCGTTAGTTCGTGTGGATTCCTAACTTTTATCTCTTTGCGAACGATCTGCCTTATATTGAATTATTTTTGCAGTTTGTTCGCTCGTTTTGATACCGCAGATGTTGCTATTAGATTTTTGAACACTGTAAATTTACATCAAAATTTTAGACACAAAAATAACATAAACATGAATTATATATGTTACATGAAAAAAAAATATTTTATGAATATATATATTTTTTATTACTAGGTTTATTGTTTAGGCAGTGTATAATATACTTTATATATTTCGCCTTTATATTTCTAATGAAACGATACGAGTTTGGTCGATTTCATCTTTACTCATTCTATCTCGAACTATGGAACAGGATATGACGGAACTAGTTTGCGTAGTTCGTCTGTGGGAGCCGGTTCTTCAAACTAGTTCATTCACAAACTACACAATACAATTTAATACGTATATATGTTATACTAGCTTTCGCCAGCGGCTTCGCCCGCGTGGACACTAGGGAAACGTTAAGTGGGATAAAAAGTCAGCTAATATCCTGTCTGTATGCCAAATTTCATCAAAATCCGTTCAGTAGTTTCGGCGTGATTGACCGACAAACATCCAAACAAAGAAACTAATAGGAAAAATATCCTTATAATTTGCTGGCCATTAGACTAATGTTAAACAAGCATAGGGCTTGCGTGAGAATTTCAAGATAATGTTTTTCGTCAACCATTCCATGTCGGCTTATGTGCGAGAGCTAAACCGGGTATTGACAATGTTTCACAATTAAAAATTAATTATTGGGTTAAAATATTCCCATAAAAATCACATTTTTTTAAAGACAATTTTAAATGTAAATAAAATTGGCATTTTGTACACTGACGTAATGTTTTTTCTAGTGTCTAAGTTATTTAAAATTCGTAATTTAATTATGAAATTTAGTTTTTTTCGATTCTTTAATTAATAAACCTTTGTGATTACCCATCACATATATTCTTTTCTGTCTGCAGTGAACTCGTTACCCTAACTAGTTTTCTTTTGTTTTTCTCAGAGGGTATCCCTGGTATCCAGCTCTAATCATCGATCCAAAGATCCCTAAAGGCTTCGTATACAACGGGGTCCCGTTACCGGTCCCGCCACAAGACGTTCTTAACCTCAAGAAAAACCATTCCCATGAGCCGATCCTATATCTCGTACTGTTCTTCGACGTGAAGCGAACTTGGCAGTGGCTCCCACCGAACAAATTGGAACTGTTAGGCGTAGACAAGAGTGTCGATCAAGCAAAACTAGTGGAGTCCAGAAAACCCACTGAAAGGAAGGCAGTGAAGAAAGCTTACGGTGACGCAATGCAGTTTAGGAAGCAAGTGGACGGAGAAGACAAATGACAAAGGTTTAGATACCGGTCCAGGAGACCGCGTAATAGAACGTTCACGTTTGGCAACTTTTCACTAATGAACATACGGGCTATGGACTCTACAGATTCCAGTGATTAATATTATAATAACATATTATAGGCCGGTCGCCAAGTAGAGAGAATTTGTGCCTAATAATAGATATAAACATTTTAGGATTCCTGTGACAAAATTGGCCAGATGCATCTGTGCGAGCGCAATATCAGTGTTTGCGCACGAGTGAAAGAGATGTGTAATGTTGGGTCATTGATCAAAATTCTCTTTTCGGCGACCGTATTATAGACGAGCGCCATGATCAAAGAGTAAATTATCGGGGACTCGATAAAAATAAGGTAATAAATGACATGGTAGCAACCCCATAGACAATCATTATTCTAGTGAAGAGGTGTTTAAAAAAGTTTACTAATACTTTTTCTTTTCGGAACGCATACCATAGACAATTTGATTGGACACTAAAAATATTTCAGAGTAGATAGTGACATCTTGTTTCATTTTGAGAACTACACTTTTTCAATACTTCCTCATTACGACATGGTAAAGTAGATCTACTAATACTGTCGTTCGGTACATACAATTAAAATTTGTGTATTGTTTCAATGACTATAAGGTGAAAAATCCAAAGCATAGATGTTCGTCTCAATCACACCCAATGAAGGTCAGATGCGTGGAATTATTTGATACTAGAATAATTCTGATTGGCAGTCATTTGCCGCGTATCGAAATTTAGCCTTCTGCGCTTACTTACATTAATGAACCGCATCAATTGTAAAGTTGTAAATGGCTGTAACAGTAAATGTATTAGTAGTAGTAGTGAGTGATGTAAATAAATTGTATGTAATATAAGTGTTGTGAAATACCTCAGAAAGGAAGATCTGCATAATAATCACATTTATAAAAGAGAGGAATTGTTATTTTTCCTCTCAAAATATATTGTTCATTTAAAAATGAAGTTACAATATATCCTAGCTCGAATGTTTAGTTGTAGATTAGGGAAGCACATCTTGTTTATGAAAGCTTAGGTAAGAAAAATGATTCGTTTTAGAGATATTGAATTAGTGTTCTAGTTTTACTACCGAACTAGTTGTTATTGTGCAGTTTTTATGATATAGAAATAGTGTAAAACTGCAAAGTTTGTATGAAGAATTTCATAGCCTATCAACAATTACTAAAAATAAATATGGAACAATAAATGCTGTATACTTAGTTTTTAAGACGTTAGTTGTTATCAAGTTTGTGTTTCATGCTTTTGTTTGAAAATAAATAAATAAAATATTGATGTCATTGATTTATTTTTCTATAAATTACACATGAATTCTTCACCAAGAAAATCTTGCTATAAATAAAAATGGATCTATTTGACTATTTCATATGCAAATAACATATCCAGTAACTTAATAAATTTAATCATAATGCTTATCCCACTGGAAAACTGGTCCAGGTGTTGGCCTCACATTGGCTGCTTGCTTAGGGGCTCTGCAAAAAAGAATATTTGTAATATATTGTGATTGGGTTAGTAACAAAAAAAATTATTCAATAAATAGCATATACATACTCATGTTTCATACCAGCCCTTTTCCTTCCCCACTGCAGAGGCTCAGGCCTTCCTTAAATGGTTAAGGAGGATGGGTCATGACCCTCCACACTGGCCCAATACGGATTGGAGGATATTAACGATTGCAAATGCAGGCGGGACCAACGGCTTAACGTGCCTTTCGAAACACTGAGTAGTCCGAGAAAATAAAGTTTTTCGTCAACCATCCCGTGACCGACCCTTGCGAAGGTTGCTTAACAAAACGATTGCGGGCCACAACGCTTATCCACTACGCCACCAAGATACTCCGCACTTATGTATACTTGACCTAAATAGCTTCCAAATACAATATAGAAATGATTCAACTGGGAATCAGATCCAGTGTCTTCAAATCTTTTAAATAGTATCTCTAAATCTTGAGCTTGTACTTCGGAAGGCATGTCGAAAGCCAATCAGAAATTTTGAAATGTGTTTTCCATCTATACCCTTTTTTGTCAGTCAGATATGAAATTGAGACAATTAGCCAGGTCGAGTAATTTCAGATATAAATGATACTTTGTGGCGCTACTGGACTATGGCTATGTCAGTCTGGCGGTGCCACAGCTAGAACTCTATACATACCTATAATGAATTCTAAAAGCTTAGTAGGTCATATGTTAATCCAAGAAGGTGATCAGTCTGAGATATAGCAGCAATAAATGGCTAAGCTACATACTCTTAGAGCTAATAAAGAATTAATGTAGCACTGTTGGACTGATTTCAATCTGGCAACTTAAGAAGCTCATTCTTTTCTTAAAACATTAAGTTATTTTAGCATGAATTCATAAAACATTGAAACAATTGATCCTGCAAATATATATAAAAAGTCTCCATGACAAATGACGCGCATCAATTAAAACCTCTATGAAGGATCATGGAATTGATGTATCCATCATTTCTGCTCATAACACTCGTCATGCAGCAACATCATAGCTGATTACAACAACCAGGGTTCACAGTAGGTTGGATTGCGATCCCAGTGTCTTTGCAAAGTATTATAATCATATTGTAAGAAACAATAATTTTACTTCTCTAACAAGAATCTTAGGTTAATTATAACTTGCTAATAGTTCAATAATGATTACAACTTCCGTTAATATTAATATTTACTTATTAAGTGGAACAAATGAATAAATGCTTAAACAGTTATATTAATCTTAATAAATATTTTTTTTATTTCAACATCTACACACTGTTTAATGATAAAATATAATAAGTAAGAATACTAATCCAGAGGATGAGGCTTGAGTATAATTATTAATTAAACAATTTTGTCTGTCATAAAATAAGTGAGGTCTGGTGGCCTTGGGATTTTAGTTTATCTTTGATTACTTGTATTAAATGGTAATTGAATGTTTACCATAATATTTTTAACATGATTACAAAGAAATTACTGCCCCATAGAAGATATACTGACAAGCGATTATTGTTCCTTTTTGATCTTTAATTAGGTGAAATATTGATATGGACTAGCTATTTATATAAAAAAGAAAATTACCCTTTGTCGGAACTGGCTTCAAGCAAAACCTTTGTAACATCAGCAGGAGGGGTCACTTCACGGCGTCCATCTCTTGTATAATAATAATTATGAGCATGTCTGGAAAATGAGTACATCTTTAATATCTGAATATTTAGTCAAATTTCAAGTAAAATTTTGACCTTACTTGTGCGACGATCCATCGGGTATTTCTGGCGGAGGCTGTGTCCTGGCTGCGAGGAGAGGAGCGAAACGTAACGCATTTGTGTGTTTTCTCTAAAATCATTTGTTATATTAAGTTTTCATACATGAAAACATAAGGTTACATAATGATGAAAACATAACAACTTACTCCTAATAAAAAGTCTCTCAAAACTTGCAAAAAGCCTGAAACATCTCGAAGTGGAACCGGTTTCCTGCTCATTTTTATTTCAAATATAAATCAATTTTAATTGCTTTTACTCAAAAATAACACATTGACTTGACGTTAATCACAAACCTGACAGAAACACAGAACAATTGGACAGAAATTGACAGCACAAATCACTGTAAACTATAAATCTTAGCTATAAATGAACAGCTGACTACAAACTGCAGCTGACATTTAGGATGTTTTTTTTATTAATATGGCAGTGGAATTGTTCAAAACGACTAAAAATTAATTACCATTATCAGCTATAGATCAATGAGGTAGTATTAAAAAAAGAAAGCATTAAAAAGCATCTCATTAGATGGCAGTTCTAGTAAAAGTTGATTTTTGCAGGACGAATGGATCAAAGATATTTCCGTTCCTTTTAACTAACATATTCAAAAACTGAAATTTGCAAAGTTTGAAACTTAGATATCAATACAAATACGAAAAAGTACAAATAGAATATGAATTGTATAATGAGCTTTGAAAATTAATTTAATTTTATACATGAAAGAAAACCAGAAAGATTGTCATGAAGAAATCAAAAAAGAACCGAAGCGACATCTTGTTTGATTTTAGGACTTAATGTTTGTTTAAATTACTTCCTCACTGCTAAGAAAAAAAATGCTAAAATAAATAAACACGTAAACGTAAACGTATTAAACGTGCGGAGAGAATAAATCTTTCGCGCGTCTATTAGCGATCGAATACTGTCGGCTCTAGTGGCGGTTAAATTAGAGTCCAACGTGTTAATAAATACTCTAAAGCGCTAAGAATTTCACGAGCTAACACGATTCACGCGTGAAATTCCAAAACGATTCAACGACCAAACCAGAGGTGTACACAACGACTAAAAATCATTTACACTCTATAGACTAATGATATTTATTAATATGTTCATGAAGGCGCTAATTTATTAACGTGTTTATTACATTTATTAACGCGTAAGGGTGCGTGAAGACTTGTTAAATTTTGTAGAACGCTGAGCCTTGTAACACGGTAATTATTTTATGTTCATATATAACGATTTCTTTCATGCACCACATTGTGAACAAACTGAGTCACAGTTGGCAAATCCCCACTTCGTTTTTGAATAAGGTATTATGAGAGGTTTAAATACCACTTCTAACACGGTATCGTGATACACTTTGGCTAAAGGTTTCATTCTTTTTTCACAAAAATGTAGTTTTGTAACCCCTTGGTAGGAACCCCCCCCCCCACCAAACAATGACGTATGCTGAATGATGGCCTTGCTAAACTTTAACCATCTCGGAAGCTTCTTTAGATCTCTGTGCATACACTCGATCATTAAGTTTATTGTAGCGTTCCTTGATTATAAAATTTGTTTTCATCGGTTAAGAGATTTTTTGTGTTTTTCGTCCGTATATCGAAGTAACAGCTGTTTTGATCTTTCGACTCTCTTTTGTTTTAGTGCCTGATTTAAGTTATGTCCTGTGTATCTCCGGTAAGCCCCAAGACCTAAGTCTTGTTTGATAATCCGAGAAAGTGTCCTCGATGGGATTCTCATTTCTCTGGAAAGGATTTTCTGCTTTCTTATGTGATTTCGACGAATTCTGGCCTTGGTTGCATTAACGGCCTGGTTTGTTCGAAAAGACCGCGGTCGGCCGGTTATCAACAGACATGGTTTCAGTGTACCTTTGGTTGGTACGATACATAAACACTCGGCTAATCCCTAGCTTTTTCAATGTATCAAAAATGTCGGCTGGCTCTTTACCTACTTTGTACAGTACAATTACTGCAATCCTATTTTCTATAGTGTCCCGCTCCATTTTCAAAACAAATAATTTCTAAACAAAATACATACAATAATAGCGGGAAAGAAGTCTATTTTTTATCGTAGTAGTTTCGTCCATGGGACAGGCAATTTTTTATTATAGAAGCTAAAGTTCGAAATTCAAACTAATGATTTTTTAAATGTGTGTAAACAGTCAGTAACAGAATTTATGGCTAGACTAAGTGGTTGGATAAATCGTACATGTACGATAATAATTATCGTATGGTTGGGAACACTAAATCAGTAAATTAAGTAAAGTAAAGTGGATGCGGGTTGTACAAGATGGAATGCAGTGAAAGCATTTATTGAAGAAGGTCTGTACCCAAAGGGTCGAGACAAGCTGAAGAGAGAGATATTTAAATAATTGGTTATTGGTAAATTAGTTGGCTTATGGCTAGCGGCTAGCTATGCTGACAGAATTAGGCAACGCTAGCGAAAACATCGGCCTACTATTTAACACTTCAAAGACAAAGGTATGTACCAATGGCAAGAAAATACCCATCGTAATAAATGTAAAGCCTGTTGAGAACGTAGACAGCTATAATTATCTAGGAATACAAATATCTTTCAAAAGTTCAAGACATATAGATGAACTAGATAGACGAATAAATATGACTTGGTAAAAATACTGGAGCTTCAAAGAAATAATGAAATCTAAACTTTCAATTTCCCTTAAGAAAAAAGTTATGGATTACAGTCTACTACCCTGCCTATTGTATGGAGCCCAAACCTGGATATTCAATCATAAAACAATTTCAAAAATTCGTTCGTGTCAGCGGGCTATGGAGATAAGCAAGCTTAGTATTAAGATCACAGATAAACAAAATAGCAATAAGATAAGACAAAAAACCCAAGTAATAGATGCATTGCAACATATACGACGTCTGAAGTGGAGATGGGCCGAACATATGGCCCGCTATTCTAGAGACAGATGGCCAAATCGCGTCACCGAATGGCACGGTCCGTGCGGCAAAAGACAGCAAAGCAGACCTAGAGCTCGTTGGAATGACGACATAGTAAAATATGTCGGAGGGGATTGGATAGACGTCCCGAAAGACAAGGACAGACGGAGGCACCTGGAGGAGGCCTATATCCGAAAGGGGCCATGGCAATGTTTAAAATATTTTAACTTTTTTTTGCCCTTTTTTTGCATTTATTATTTTTTTGTTATCATCATCATCATCATCATCAGCCCTTTTACGTCCCCACTGCAGGGGCTCAGGCCTTCCTTATGGATGGTTAAGGAGGATGGGCCATGACCCTCCACGCTGGCCCAATGCGGATTGGAAGGGAATTAACGACTGCTAATGCAGCCGGGACCAACGGCTTAACGTGCCTTCTGAAGCATGGAGTAGCTCGAGATAATAATTTTTTGGTCACCCATCCCGTGACCGACCCTTGCGAAAGTTGCTTAACGACTACGATCACGGGCCGCGGCGCTAATCCACTACGCCACCGAGCTTTTTTGTTATCATGTCATGGAAATAAAGATGGTTATTATTATTATGGCTAGCATTCCCTAAACTTAACCAACAGTTTGAAGAATACCAAAACCAAAATTATTAAATGATCCACAACAATAACTTAAGCATAAAATCTATAGATATCTGAAACTGACAGTATAATATTAAAAAGTTCTCACTGTTTTCGTGTTTTATAGCAAAGAGATTTTACCCAATAAGGTTTATTAAAGCACACGGTAGTTCCTTAGTCTATGAAGCACATAAAAAATTACTTGACATTAGTTTTCCTCCACATTTTGCACTGAGCCATTTAAAATAAAATTTGCAAAAATAATGATTTATTCAAAGGCAAATTTATTATTGAAAACATATTTCGTGAGTATATCAAGTTCCTTCTGTTTTCCTACAAATAATGAAAAATATAAATTGTCACTTGGATTAATTAACTAGGTATAAAAAAGAAATAGATTTATAAAACCCAAATAATTTTGTTTTATCATTTACAGTATAGATTTATGATTTTGAGAACATTAAAAACTTTAATGCAACCGAAAATCCCATTAATTGACGAAAGGTAACAACATTTCATTTCAGCGTATATAAATATGTACAGGAGACACTATCTAATTTTTATGAGTATAGAAGGTAATTTTATGTAATCTGCATTACAGAAATTATGAAATTGGTATGTGGACAATGTTGAGACCACCGTCGTCAGAGAGACGGTCCCCTACACTAGCTAGTGATTCCATATTATTGCAAATGACACACGAGCGCTATAGGTAAAAGTTTTAATAAATTACGATTATTTTTTTGAAAGGTATATGAAGTTTGAATTTGCTTAAAGGATGATAGCAGGCAGAGGCGAAGGAAACGAATTAACTTTACACCTCGCGAATGAATGACAAACGAAATTGTAGATTCAACTCGTAAATGTTTTCGTACAAAGAAAGTCTTCTTCATCGCAGCCCATTCGATTAATTAATGGCTCAGTGAAACTGGTCGATGGAGTACGGATCACAGGGCGACCTCTGCGCGCTTATCTCATAGGTCAATAAAATAATGAATGAACAATAAGAGCGAGGAAAATCACCCGCACGCCGCACATGGATGTCATCGAACAGTATACTGAGCCAAAAAGGTAGTTGAGTAGCTGCGTATGGATCTACCGTTTTTGTTTAACGGGCATGGCCACAATCCATAACATTAATATTCGTGACGTTACGCTTTTTAGTAAGCAACCTTCTCATGAACCACTAAGTGGTTTTTAAAAATTTCGCTTTTAAATTGGTTTCGCCTGCGTGCTGTCTGACACCGTGGTAGCGCCATCCGCTATATATGGATCAGTATCGTATAGAGAAAAATAGTTAAGTTATGTAGTTTCACAGATAATAGAGCATTTTATTTCTTAATTTTATCTGAAAATATTCACTCTAGCATTTTATCGCTATATCCCAGACTAATTTAATAGATGATTAAAAAATCGACTTTGAAGTTTTTGAATTTTATTGTAAACATGTCGTTTATCGTCGCCAACAGATTGAAGTGCCGATACCGGGTGAAGACTGTTTTTCGCGTAAATATTATTTTACCGTCGTTTATTGTCGTGGCAGTGTGAAAACGCTCAATGTTGTTATTGTAGTTAAAAAACCTTACCTTGTATGGTTTTCACGATGCTACGTTGAAAGAAGGACAAACAATCACGCTTCACCATTTATATTGCCTAGAATCTATAGATTAATATAGGTTACTTTTTTCAGACGGGAAATATTTGAGAAATGGTGTAAAACATCGAGGCACGATGCGTTTAGATGGTTGAAATTTGGTTTAACAAAGTAGTAAAATGACATTGCCATTTGTGTAAATCTAAATAGTGACGAAAGTTTATGAAGTTGAAGATTGCAACTCCATTTGGTGGATGAGTATTTGTTAAATACCTATAATTACGCAGGTGTGCAATAGATAATAATAAATAAAACATAAATACGTCCTGTAAGTCATCCGTTTATTACGTAAGATGGTTTTTGCCGGTTTTTAACTTTACCCGCTCCCCCAATGTAAAGAAATGTAAGAATTGGTCTCCCCTTTATTTGATAATAAATACATGAGGCATTTTTATTTATCACAATAAGAAGTATCTTCAACTTTCAGAAGTCAGCACAGCACAGTCAGTACAGCACTAGCACAAGTAGTAATCGTAAAAAAATATTTTTTTTTCAACGTCATTCATAGGGTAGTGAGCAAAGTACAAAGTGCATAGTACGAATTTAGAGTATGTTCCGATATACACTGCGAGCACTGCGCAGTGGTCTTACTGCTGAAAAATCCGTTCCGTTATGGACTGCCAGTACACTGCTACAGTACCCCAGGGAAATTTATGACGTCATAAATTGCCGCCATATTTGTACTGTGAGCACTGGAGATTTCGAGGTAAGGTGCTCGCAGTGCTTTTGATCACGTGATCAGTCGAAACAGAATCAGAAAATGATAAGTTTCTAAATAAACAAAAAAAAAAATACTTACGTTTATTATAAGATGGATTTAATTGATAAATATTAGAAAAGAGGGAATCTTTATTTATATTCACCTTGCATTAACAAATTTGAAAATGGCGCCAAAAAATAGGATTAACAGTATACTGGACTGCGTTCCGTTTTAAAAAGTCACCAGTATAACTAGCTATAAAGGAACGAGCTTCCGGTATACTAAATTGACGTCATACTGTTCAGTGGTCGCAGTGTATATCGGAACATACCCTTAATTTTATCCAATAATTTTCAAATCCAATAACCTGACGTGCAGACGTGTGGGCTTCGCAAATAGTAATCTATATATATAAAAATGAATCGCAAAATGTGTTGGTAAGCGCATAACTCAACAACGCCTCGACCAATTTGGCCAAATCTTTTTTTAAAATGTTCGTTGAAGTTCAAGGATGGTTTTTACGGCGAGAAAAATTAGAATTATTGCTGGAAAAACCCTAAAAATAGCCCTTTTCTTTTTCCCATACAAATGATTTGTAAATAAAACGTAGTCAATTTGAGCTTTATTGCTATGGTATAAAGTTCATATTAAATTACAAGCACTCACTGTTGTCTAAGCAATGTAGGTGTGTTCCTAACGTCAAAGATTTTTGACAGGACGAAGTCTGTCGGGTCAGCTAGTGTAATATAAAAATTAAATTTAATTAAATTAATATAAAATTCTGCAGTGGCTTTTATCGCCATCTTTCATTTTACATGTAGAAATACTTTTATTCACTTGACATTTGGTAGAATTGGGCGAAACGCGCAAATAAGCCATTAATAAAAGAAGAAGACCTCTACCTACAATATGGAAATGGGGAAATTTGACAGTTTTATATAGTCCGACGTGTAGTTGACTGTTCATACATCATTGTTGCATATTTGGATGTAATAAAGAGGTCGCCATTGATTCATTTTTATTTTACATGTAGAAATTACTTTATTCACTTGACATTGGTAATTGCGAAACGCGCATATAAGCCATTAATAGAAGAAGAAAAAGAAGGGAAACGAAAATAATAATCACCATCTTTCACTAATTTCATTTTACATGTAGAAATTAATTTATTCACTTGACATTGACAGAATTGTGCGAAACACGCAGATAAGCCATTATTAAAAGAAAATGAAAGACCCTTTATCCAAAAATTCATTTAGAAAAGAAAAAAATGTTTGATTATTTATTACATGTGCTAGAGCTGCCATCTACACCGAGATATGCGTAATATTCGCCATTGCTCGAATGCGAGTGCATTTTAAACGATAATTTTTTCTAGGCTTGTTTTTGTGATCTATTGTAAGAATGTTTGAAGACTTAGGTAAGAAAATATAAAACTTGGTCGATACCAGATTCCCTAAATCATTATACGTAATAAAAGAATGCCCCCTTAGCAGCTGTCATACCTTTTTTGATATTCTCAAATAGAATGTTTTACTGTAGTTTTTTATTTGTTTACATTATGTAGATATATTTTGTTCAGAAGTTATTTTAATTGAATAAAACTATTTTGAACATAAAACCATTGTATATATTTATTTACAGTAACAAATAATGAATAAGAGTTTCAATAATTGCACTATATTATAGTGATGATTTGTGGGTTCACACATCATTTACAATATAATTAATTAATAATTGACATCAGCTATCCTTAAAATATATTGTCCTAGGAAACTTAAAATATATTAATAAAATCTAGTATGCAATGGTAACACATTTGAGGCGTTCAGTAATTTTAGAATATTATTATCTTATAATAATTTGTGGTTCACACATCACTTACAATTAACAATATAATTAATAATTTGCGTCAGTTCTACTTAAAATATATTATCCTAGTATTGGGGAATCCAAAAATATTCTATTAGTATTCTATGGTAACACATTTTGTTTTTAAATATTCGTTTAGTGCTTCTTGACCTGAAACAAACATAACGAGAATAAAATTATTAATCAAACCATGAAATGTAAAGAGACTTTTTCTGATGAGTAAGAAAATTCTGACTAATCAATCAATTGTAATGTAGAGGGAATTGAAAATTCGCAACAATATTCAATCCCAGCCTTATTACGCCGCAAGATGTGCAATTCTAGCTTTACTTCGCTATATAATATTCAATACTAGCTTTGACTTCAAGTTTAATGTATGAATGAGTTAGTTACCTAGATCTTTCCCGAAGCCAGATTGTTTGAAGCCACCAAACGGCGCGGCAACGTCAGTCTTGTTGTATGTATTGATAAAGACAGTGCCGGCCTCCACTCGTTCAGCGAATTGAAGCGCTCGCGATATATCTTTTGTGAATACGCCACTTGCTAAACCATACTCCGTGTTATTCGCACGCCTTATCACATCATCTACGTTTCTGAAATCATTATTATTATTAATGATAGATAGACAGTTGCAACAACTGATGTGACCTCTATCCAGATATCTATTGTATGAGATATTTCATTATTCGTAGTGTTCCATGAATTTGTCTAGTCTATTTTTAAATTTGTTTGTAGTCTGTGCTGAAAGTACATCTGTTGGTAATCTGTTCCAAGCCACTCTGTTACTAAAAAGTGCTTAAGTGCAAAATTTATAAATAAATAAATTGTACCAAAATTAATATATTTTACCAGTTTTCACTCACAATGCTATATTGATAACTGAAATCAGTTATTTACGTGATATTTTAAGCTGTGTCGTCACATTTTAATTGACATGAGTACTGTTATTTTTATAAGTCTTTGCTTTATTTGTGACATTAGTACAAGACCAAATTGAGAGTTCAAAAGGATTATTATTTACTTAAGATTTCATTTTCAAAAAAGGATGTTGACGTTTAGTTTATTAAAATGTGACGTCACACAATGCACCGTTTTTAAAATGCCCGAGTTGGTGATAGCCCGTGTATTGATTAAGTTGATTAGTTTATAAGTAACTCACTTGCTGGTAAACTTGCTAATGATCATGATCGGTCCAAAAGATTCCTCCTTGGCTATATACATATCGTCTGTGACGTCAGTGAAGATAGTCGGTGTAAAGAAATATCCCTTGCGATCAGCACGTTTCCCACCATATACAAGTCGTGCACCTTCTTTAACGCCACGATCGCAGAACTGTATAACAATAATGAGAATACTGAATACTATTTGCAGTTGATTAATTGCCATTCACATCTTCTTATATTAGAAATGTGAAATGTTTATTACTGTTTTATGCCCCTCTGAACCGATTTTAATGAAAGGTACCGAGATAGACCTTTGGAAGTAACATAGGCAATCGATAATCGCGAATAAAAGCTAAAAGAGTGCATGGAAGGTCATCATTGAAAGTACCTAATAAAAACTAATTTCATAGTGATTCCAACTAAAATAATAAAGTTATATTATTTTTCTTCATGAAAAATGCTTCTGAATTCGAATCCACGACCATTCGCAATCCGGAGGACTGCTCTAACCACTGAGCTGTTCAGGATCGAACAGAACTAACGAATCTTTCAAGCACTTATTAATTCATTCAAAGGCAATCAATTCAAATGTCGTGCCCTCTTAATAAGTATTGACAGCATTTATTTACAAAATACTGTCATAATATCAACATATCTAGCAGTATTCCCGCAACTTCGTCCACGTAAATTATAGCCTATGTAACTCGCGTATGATACTGCTTCCCGTAGGTGAAAGAATTTTTAAAATCAGTCCAGTAGTTTCGGAGCCCATTCAATGCAAACAAACGAGCAATCAAATATTACCTTTTTATAATATTAGTAGACAATGGAATAGAGTATAGAAATACTATAGACAAAAAACCCAAAGTCTTAATGGCAGGGTCTCGTTTTCTAGATTCTACCATTAAGACTGCTGTCTGTCCGTCTTTCACCAGGCTGTGTCTCACGAACGGTGATAGCTCGACAGTTGAAATTTTCACAGATAATGTATTTCTGCCGCCGCTAAAATAATAAATACTAAAAAACAGTATTTTTTATATGATTAGTATAAAAATACCTCTATTAATTTATCGAGATGTGCTTCATGGTTCTGTGGTCCGTGAGCAGTTCCTCGACATAGAGGATCGCCGATCGCCATTTTCTTAGTTTCGTTGACAACGCGACGAACAAACTCATCGTGTATAGTCTCCTCGACGAACAGACGTCCAGCGGCTATGCAATTCTCGCCCTTATTGAAGAATACTGAAGACATACCCTGCAGGAAATAAATACGAGTGAATAAAAGCATCAATATACTTTTAATATGCATTATTCAAAGAACTTTGTTGTTTTTAGTTAACACATAAAATTCTTTGAAAGTGTAAGAAGTAAAAAAAAATCGCTTTTCCAAAATAAAACTACGAGTACCTTACCTACCTTAGCTACCTTATGATGATTCTATGTGAGTTTTAATATTCTTCAACAGCCATTGCAGGGGCGCAGGCCTTGCCTATTGATCGAATCGCAGCATATGGAGCCAAAAGCCACTACGCGGGCCCAGTGCGGATTGGTGGGTGTTAAGTACCACAGATAAATAAACTCGAAATATTAATTTTACTTACGTTTCTAACGGCTTTGTCGAGATCGCAGTCTTCGAATATGACGAGCGGTGATTTACCTCCCAGCTCCAAAGACACTTTTTTCATGTTAGACGCTGCACACGATGTCATAATTTTCTGACCTGAATATTACAAATTATATTATATGAGAGGGGTAATTAATCTGGCAGAACTAGGTTTTATTACGATCCAATTTTTATTTCCATAGTATAATCAGCTCAGCTTTAGAATAATCCAAAGACTTTTTTTAACACAGATGATAGAGGATAATTTATAAATTACCTTATCCTTATAGGTCATGTGATAGGTTAGAAATTTAATATTAATTTCTTAAAGTTTGCCTTTCGTACCATAACTTCCTTTAACGCGAATAAAGTCACATAAATAATAGTAATATTTACCTATAGGGGTACTTCCAGTAAATGCTAGTTTTCTGACTAGTGGATGTGATGCTAGAGCATGACCTGCGAGCGTCCCGCTACCAGGCAATATGTTGATAACACCTGCTGGTATACCAGCCAATACTGATAACTCAGCGAATTTCAACGCGGTCAGTGGACACACCTGACATAACAAGACAATACGAACAATGAGCTTTTATACTGAAGTACAGTAAAATTCCGCTTATGTACGGTCAGCCAAGAAAGCGGTCTACCAATTTTAACAAAAATTATTGTGAGATCTAATTATCATAAAGGTTGAAATGTTCAATTATGACATATTGTTTGTCAGATGTTTAACATTCATAATATTGCATGGAGAAATCAACCTTGTTGTCTCATGATTACGTTTAAATCAACTTCAACCATTAGATGAATGACCACAACCGGTTTCTGAATTGAGAAAAGTACAAAATCTCAACTGATTATTCTGAATAACTTAAGTTTTTTACTATTCACAAGGCAAAAAGTCCTAGTTTTTATCAAACTGCTATCATTAGAAAACTAAATCAGAAACGCAAACTTGTATAAATGACGTTTAAGTACAGTTTGAGATGTGCATAACTTTAAATAGTCTATTCAGAAACCGGGTGTATGTTTTTGGCCGACTGTATCTCTGGAAAAAGGTTTAATTTCGAAACACGGAAAATGAGGACCAATTAGAATGATTCAATTATCATGCCATCGAACGATCGGCCAATAATCAGGCGCCTGACTCCCGCTGAGAATGAGCGAGACGAAAATGTAATGCGTTCTATTTTATATCTTATGACCACTGAAACAAGATTCACTATTTCTTATCGTATGCTTGTTCATTATTAATAGATCGACTCTGAGTAAATAAAGATTGAAAATAAGCCATATAAGTTGGAATTTACTGTAACGAATAATTGATTTGTAATCTTAATTTGATGGCAGCTAGGTTCAAATCTATTGTGCAAAATTTAAATTTTTCTGGTAACTCGATATAATTATTGCGTGTTCTCACCGCTGCGGGTTTCATGACGACAGTATTGCCAGCTGCTAGACAAGCTGCCATCTTCCACGAGAGCATCATCAGTGGGTAGTTCCACGGTGTTATCATACCGCAAACACCAATAGGTTCTTTTTTAGTCAGCGTCAGATTTCTATACAGAGAAAGCGAAAATTTAAATATGTTTTATAACCACTATGATAAAGTACACATTACATTCTGGATGATGATTTAACTATATTTTATAATCAACCATTGCAAAAAAACACATTTTCCTACCTTACCTTCATCTTCATAATAAAGGTTCTAAGTATTTAAATAAGCCAAAGGATCGCATCAAAATTGTACCTATTTAAGTAAAAGTAGGTATTTAAAAACATATTTACATCAAATTGAAAAACCCTATCATAATGATAATAATACTTCATAATGCTTACTTTCACAAGGAATTGGTGGATTTTTTTTTTAATATATTGGTTGCCTATATATTTTTTGGGGCTTATTTAAATAATATAGACATTTAAAATTACTTTTTTTAAAGAGATTTTAATTTTTTAATCTTAATATTATTAAAGACAATTTAGTTTTTACATGAATTACCTGTTAGGTCGCGCATGGTTGATAGGTATAGTGGAGCCGTGTATCTTGTCGCACCAGCCAGCGAAGTACCGCCACGTCTCTATGGACATGCCTACGTGAGTTTTCAGCGCGAGAGTGTACACGGCGCCAGAATCTATGGACTCTATTGTTGCTAACTCCTCTTTATGCTGCTCCATTAAATCTGCTAACCTAAATTGAAAAAAAAAACACATTTATTTCATTCATTCATCTTATCTTTTCATGCTTTTCTAGCGAGGCATTATGGATTTGATACATAAAGAATGTTGTATATCTTTGAATACATCAATTAATATTATGCTCAGATCCCAAAGCTTTAATTATTCGTATTATTAATATACGAATCAACGAAGGTACTACAACAACCAGACCAGCCAGTATATGAAAGTTCATTTTTTACATGGACTCGACCGGGAATCGAACACGGGCCCATAAAGATGGCGACACCTTGTAATCGGCACGCGAGCCGTTAGGCTACGTAGGCCGACACATGGACGAAACATAATGATAAGAAATTAGAACACTAGAAGAACTAGCCTTTCGTTGCAAGAGAATGGCGCAAATTTTGCTTAGATAAAAAAATCTTTAGGTAAAGTAAGTTTCAACTAATATGGCACATGGTGATCGAATTCCAAAGATGACTGAACACTTTAATTTATAATAAATCTAATTCAATAAATATAAGGTGTGAAATACAATGCATTAAGTGTATGTATCACATATATTTGATCATTGATTAAAGTAACCTATTAGTTAGTAGGTAATAGACATTAACTACCTATCAATCAATCACAATGCCCGGTTTGGGTATTGTTAGGTTGGTTCCTTGGCGTTTGGGAATGTGTAAGTGTTCAAGCTAATTGGAGGAAATCGGAGGAGGGTGACCATGAATGTGGTAGATACAACTATATAAAATTACTTATAAGAAGTTGGAAAAGTCATAACATTTCGAATTAGTGTGCATTTTCATTGTTAATAATTATTTTATAAGACGGGACTATATGTTCAAGTCACTTTAACATAGAATTTATAATTCTAAGAAGCATGTTCTATTTGCTTTCAAAGACAATCCTGATAGAAAATACTCACTTGAATAACAGCTGTCCCCTTTCTCTAGCACTTATCTTCGACCATTCACCTTCTTCAAACGCCTTCTTAGCAGCATTAACTGCCCTGTCGACATCACTTACTGACGCACTTTGCACTTTACATATCTCACTCTCATCACTAGGGTTCACTATAGACAATGTCTTGCCACTATCAGAGTTAACAAATACACCATTTATAAACAACTGAGTAGGGAATTTGACCTTCATTTTGTTCACTTCTAATTCTACTCCATCGTAAACTATATCTTTGCCATTAGACACTCCTCTAGATTTCAATATAACAGCGGCATAGAATTCTTTGAATGTTGTGTTTAAATAAATATCCTCATTATATAGTTCTAATTTTGATAGATCTTTAATTTCTTCTATAAGTCTGACTACGTCCATAGAGCCAGCACCGGATGAAAAGAAATCTGTGTCATCACTGATATCTATACGTAATATAGCCTTCCAGATATCTCGTACTCCTTCAACAAATTGTTTCTCTTCAGGCGTTAGTTCTATTGTAACTTTATCGTCATTTCTTTTGTAAAAATTCTGTGCATTTATCATTTTGCCGTTCACTTTGAGTCTTTGAACATTAAGCTGAAAGAGAAATTTAGCTAGTTTTAAATATAAAAAAAAAACGGTTATGCCCGGAATACAATTTATCATGGTTTATAACTCAACAAAATGTATATATGAATATTGTTTAAAGCTATAGTCGCTTTTGAGATAAGTTATTGTAATTATTTATCTAGGATACGAATTTGGTGAAGAACAATAGCTTAAATTAAATTACGATGATTATAACAAATGTGCACAAAAAATATATAAAAAAAATATCAAATTAGGTCACATTTTTTTTTAGTAAATAAATATTATACAACATCACATACATTGCTCAGATTCCAAGATAAGTAGCTAAACACCCAGACCCGAGACAATGTAGAAAAGTACACTTTTTACGTTGACCCGACCGGACATCGAACCCGGGACCCCAGAGATGGCAACACTTTGAAACCGGCATGCGAACCACTTGACTACGTAGATTTCTTGGATCGAGACATTAGACTGACATATCTAATAAGTTTTAACTTTAAAATAGATTGCAGAAATTTTGCCTTTTGTAAATCTTATATGCTGCTGTGTATATATATTAAATAGGACCATAAATAATTTACAATGGTTACCTTAACTCCATCATTTGCTGTAATTAAAAGACCTGCGTCATGTATAACGGCAGGTTTGTCCAAGCCCGGTATGAAAACTTTATCACCCTCCGCTTCATATTCCCCTTGCCATAGACTAGAGCCAAACAGTTTCAATTCTACAGTCGCCTCACTAGTTTCATCTACGCCTTCCCTTGTCTGCGGTTTGATGAAGACAGTCGCCCCTGGCGAAGAGTCTAACCCTCGGATGAAATTATGTAAAGCTACGCCGCCTTTAGTGAAGTCAATCTATTGAAAAAAAAATACCTTTCACAAACCACAATACATACTGTAATAATTATTAGATATTGATATATAGTCTGCTACTACTATATCATAGTACTAGTGACTCCTTAGGCATGTATTCAGTGTGTTGATATTTTGGAATAAGTATAATTGTCCTCAGGCTTCAAATTATTTATGTATCAAATTACATGACAATTCTTGATACGCTTTATAGCCTAGCAGTTACTTGTAAATTTATAATATTTGCAGTTTATATAGTTCTTTGTAGTGAAAGGGGTGCGGTAGTGATGTTATGTACTCACTTGGACCCGCTGGTTAAGAGTTAGATATTTATTAAGCTTGTACAGTGGCGGACTAAGGGGGTGGGAGGAGGGGGCGTCTTGCTCCCAAAAATGGCTGCAAAGTCTCTTGATCTTGGTCATTATAAATTCGGGTTGGAGGCCCCTTAGACAAATAAATATAGCCTGTAGCGGGGGTGGGGTGGGGGTTTGGGTGGTGCTTACCATCTCGGGCCTCCAATAGGGTTAGTTCGCCACTGTGCTTGTATTTAGTTATTGTATTACTATTACAATATTGTTCAAAGAAACAAGTCAGACACAGCATATGATGTATATATACTGTCTGTTAGGCTTCTTTTTACATTATATTATTGATACTAGAGTATAGGATAAAGCAAATGTGGAGTATTACTTTGGATGTGCGACATGACCGCTTACCTTATGCATCTCTGGTTTGAATAAGGCAGGATCGTAAGTGGCGCCATCTTCAGTTTGAACTATTCTAGGTGCGGTTCCATTAGCCACCATGTTTACTGACTCAGCTAATGCTCTGATACCTGTGTTTTGGTTAATTTAATGTATAATAAATTATTAAAAAATAATTTACATGGGCTCAGTAACTAATACTTAGTACTTGTCACTTACACTTATACCTTGTGTGTAACACACGCTGAATTAGCGCTAACCATTAGGTAAAATATAAGTGCAAGTGGATAGGAAGCAATTGATTATTTCCACTACAATTCACTTATCAGTTGCTGATCGTGACAATTACGTGTGCAACTTCCTAACGACTGTACCAAATAGGTATGATGACTGTTTAAAGAAAAGAAAACTATTTAGTCCGTCAGGCAGATAATAAAAATATATTAGATACACATTTTTTGCTTCAATTCAACAAGAAATGTCTTAGGAAATACGCATCAAAGTTGAGGAGTGGGGGCTCGCCACGACACAACTAAGTAAAGAATGTACAAAGGCGTGACGTCATGTGAAATTTCGATTCAATGTTCCGCCGTAATTTATTGATTACGCCAACTATAAAAAAAAGTGTTCAATATTCTTCAATAATCTACCCGACGGTCATTTTTTTATGAGATTTATTTATTATTTTTTTATGAGTTCCTTATTGTGACAACAGAAAGAAAAAGGCGGTAATAAATTCGCCGGGTCAGCTAAGTTTGAATGTAGACTCACCCTCTGGGTACAAATACTTGTTATAGATAGAGTCTACGGTATCGTCGACGGTAACTGGGAAGCTCTTCTGCAGTAATATAGGTCCAGTGTCGAGGCCATCGTCCGCCCAGAATATAGAGAGGCCGCATGTAGTGTCGCCCTCTATTAACGTCCTGAATAACAATAATTATTTATAAGAGAGCGTGTACACCAAAAACACTGGACCGACGAGTGACATAGGCTATGATTTACCTGAGCAAATTCGCGTGAAAACAGCTAGAAGTAAATATTTATTATTTAATTTATACACTAGCATATTAGTGTATGTTATATGACTATATAACAATAATATTCATTTTATAACTATATGACCTGGTGTATTTTGTAACATCTCTCACTGTTTAAACCTTTCCTGGACTATGACAAACTTTTCATAAGCAAAATCAGACTATCTTATAAGAGTCATGACCTTACATAATGACGTAACTCGAGATTATGTTATATGTATTGACCAACTTACTGTCAGCTGATTGGTCACACCACATTATACTACTGATAAATTAATTTATAAATATTGATAAATTTTTTTTTAAAAATTTACTGTAATATACTATTAAATAATAAAATAGTCAGGGTCCGATTATATTTATTGAAGTTGCCGTTCTTTTTATTATAAATTCTTGCTGTTGTTGTTATTAAGTATCATACTATGGATTTTAACTCGTCGGTCAATGGAGTACCTAGTTATATTATACATCAAGATTATGTACGACATTTAAATCTGGTGTGTGTTATGCGGTAATAAGATTTTCTTGAAGAAAACACTATCTTCATAACTCTGGACACATATATCAGTTTTCCTGTTTGGAATTCAGATTCGAAGGTGAGCACACGTGCGATTTTTTTTAAATAAAGTAGTTCAGTTCGTGGCTTACAAAAAGCTTCCATAATGGATAAATACCATAGAATCCTCCACCTACGAGAGTCTACAACATACGCGAGTGACATAGGCTATTATTTACGCGGGTGAAGTCATAGGAAAACAGTTAGTCTATTTATATATTTATGAGTAATTTGTAAATTTTTCCTATCGAGATATTTTTATAAATTCACGTTTCGGCTACAACTCGGACTTTAGAAAAATTATGTAGTTTCCTCATATTTTAATAATAGCTTTTTTTGTAAGTTTCTTTTGTTCAAAACTAGTTGAAAGTTAATATTATAAAGATTTTGCTTGTTTCGAGTATTTTATAGAGCAACAGGCTTATCAGGCCTAGAGTGTTGACTTTCAAAATTATATAACGAAGAAAGATGAATAATTACTTATTCGGAAGTTTACATAAGAAAAATAGATTACGGGGGGGATCTATTTTTCGTCATATAATGGTGTAATGTAATTATTAAAAAAACAAATTTTACCAATTTATTGAAGATGCACCTCTATGTCTGGGCAGTATACTGGGATGGTAGCAGATACTCTCGTATTTTGGATATAGGATCACTTCCATGGGGATAAACTGCGTGCAAAATGGAAGCACGTTGATGTCAGCATTCACCTAGAAAGAAATATATATTGTTTTTCATACTGCTTTCCGCGACGATTAGTAGTTGCTTTGTTACAGCTAATAATCATAAAGAATATCTAGCTGGTTACAAGAGTAATTACCCCTAGAAAAGGAACTACCGATCTGAAGAAAAATGAAGCGAAAAGCTTGTTTCGTCTCTATGCCACTTCTGCAGATGTTAAAACGCGTGTTATTTTGATGCTGATAAATTATTTAGTTTCAAATTTAATCTGTATAATTTCTCGTAACGCATATTAATAAATAATACAAAAATACTATTATTTATTATCAAGTGCGTGTCACCGTTACAAGTTATAAGATAATGTTATCGGTTACTGAATATATTTCTTCATTTAGAAACAACAATATCAATATAAATGGACTCTCTTTTTATCAATAGGGTATTTGGCTAATTTTGAAAAATAGTTTTAAATTATTCTTTATTACATTATAAGCACATTATACAATGACAAATGACATAAAAGAGGAAAAAAGGTGAATATGATTTACCATATTCTATAATATTATAAAGAGTTTGTCGTTTGCATCGAAGGTCGAAGGCTCCAAAAGGATTTAAAAAAAAAATCTCATACGCGAAGATATATTATAAAAATATGTATATAATTATTGATATTCATTAATTGCTACGCGAGAACTTTATTTATTTCTCGTAAATTAGGTAGTAGTTAGTTTAAAACGCCTGTTTATGTAGAGGTTTGGTAGTAATTTCCTTAAAAGAATACTGATCTAACGAAATTAAATGGTTGACACCTGACTTGAAGTACCTACTAAACCTTGGCAATAAGAATAGTTTGACCAAATGGCACAGCAAGTATGTACAGAAAATACAAATATTTACCAATTTAAAAAATTCTTTCAGCTATGGAAATTTATGTCATAAGCGAATGACATAGGCTATAAATTACGCGGGTGAAAAGCGGCAATAGATAGTATAATATTAAAATCCGAATGCTTTAAAAAGAAAATAAAAAAGTCAATATTTGATTAAATTATTATTTTCCATATAATAATAAATAATATATTGATAATAATATTTGATTTTATTGTCGGTGTATTTTAAAATTCTATATTAAAAAACCAAACAAACAAAATTTGCTAAGTAAATGCTTCCGAAAATGTGTTATATGAATTATGTTGATAAAAGATAGTCAGGTCACAAGTTAGTAGGAACTGTGAATAAATTGGGTTACAGAACCACGCTTTTGTAGCATGCATGATTTGATAGACTGACTTTTACAAGTGCTATAAAAATATTCCATTTGTACAGAATGGGATGGGAATATGGGAGAATTATTGTAATAGCTTCTCATGAAAGTTAGTTAAACTTATACATGCATTGCCATAGCTATGGATAATACTTTGATAAAATAGCATTTAACTAATAAATAAAGAAAATAATTACCATAATAGCATTATGAATGCAAAATTGATTTAATATAATAAATTAAATTCAGTCCAATACTTTTGAATTTATTAATTATAAAGAGAAATATAAAAGCTTTTTATTTAATATCATTGTAAAAATCTTGTCATAATTTCACAATAAATAGTAATAAGTAGCTAAAGCCTTCGTATTATGGAGTAGTTGAGACAACAAAGGTACCCGAATACCCAGAACCTAGACAACATAGAAAAGTTAATTTTATACATTGTCCCAACCAGGAATTGAACCTGGGACCTCAGAATTGGCAACACCTTGAAACTAGCATGCAAACCACCTGTTGTTGTTCTTATAAAAAAACTATTTTATTTATGAAGAGTAATAAAGCTTTTGTGCCTGATAAAATAAAAAATAATTATTATTACAAAAAGTAGATGCTACTCACAGATTTGTATTCTTCAAGAATTTCTGGTATGATTTTGCCCTTAATTCGCCATGTTTTGTATTTATAAACTGGCACACCGTTTTGAGCTGCAGTAGTTGCTGTAATCAAAAGATGTTAGTGTTAAGTTTGTGAAAAAAAATTCATACAATATTATCAAATATATTTGTAAATGTAATTATCACACATGTACAACAAAAAACAATAATAAAAATATTTTATAATAGATTTGTACTCATGTAAGTAAAGCCTAGGTATTTGTTTCCATACATTTTATTTTATCAGTTTAAAAAAATTACTAATCAAGGCAAATAAAAATAATTAATAGATGAAAATAAACTAAATCCATAGCTGAACCTATCAATAACACTAAACATAAGCAAGAGACATAAATGCAGGTATTCATACCAAGTGGATCCTCTCTGTTGCCTTTGTCGAGTACTGTAAATACTCCAGCTATGACATGACCATCTTTAACAAGTAGCTTGAATACCTCTGCAGCGAAGCTACTTTGACCTATGATAGCCACTCGTAACTTTTTCCTTGGAGCCTATTAAAAATGATATTAACATAAAGAATCATTAAAATGAGACCTATTTAGAAATGAGTTCTTCTGAACCTCAATTGTGAATAAAAAGTTATCAATTTATGACAAAATATTTTGGTTCTCGCATACTTACATCTTCGTTTATGGAGACTGGAGGCATAATTGAAATTAATTAGCCAAAAACATCAATATATTGTATCAAAATCTCCACTGCTTGGGGAGTGGATCAAAGTTGAACTAACTAGAATTATATGGCTTGCTGCTATTTAAATGAAGTTGGCTAACCTTGATACTTGTTATCACGAAAAGTTAAATGATTTTACAAAGATTTTAATATTGTATTTTGCCATGCCTAGATTGTTTTTGAGAATGCATGACATGAGAGAATGCAGTTAATATTAGATTTGGCGCCAAAAATATTTTATTTGACGTGACGTTTAATGTCACTGTCAAAATCAAAGATTTTTCAAAAGATGCTTAAGACATTAGATTTGACTTAAGGCAATGAATTTGATTTTTTTAAAGGCTTATAAGTTTTTTTGTTTTTTGAGTTATCGTGTATTTGCTTATCAGGTTTGCCTTTACACGAAAAGGATGATTTCAAAAATAGAATTATTATGAAATGATAGACCGATGTTTACTTGTATGATTTTTCAAAGTTACGTGGACAACATATTTTTAGAGCTAATAGATGGCATTAGTATTCTTAATAAGTGTTATCAATCTGTATTAATCAAGTAATATGCCATTGTTATTTTAATTCTTAAAATTAAAACCTTTATTTGACAATAATTTTATCTCTAACATGTCGAATAAGTATATTAACAATATTTCAAACTAAAATGAGCTACCGATTTTAGAAAAAAAAGCACAATTTTTGTAACCTTTCTAGGGAATTAGCAATAATAAATCTTGCATCTGATTTTTAAAGTATTCATCCATGCCATTATATCCATTATATTATAATTTTTTCAGCAATAATTAGTTATGTATGTTTAAATATTTAAATTTAAAGTAGCAAATTAAAATGGAAATCTAGACCCTAAGAAAAAAGATCTAAATGTTATAAAAAATATTTTTGAAGCACTAACGCCATCTGTTGGCACTGACAAATAACTGTAGGTACGTCTTATGTTTATATTATTTTTGGTTCACTAAGAAACTGGCTAGATCCAATGTTAATTCATTCAAGTAAACATTTGAACCAGCAACCATAACCAGTTTGCACTGGCTCGAAACATCGACAGCTAGGGTCAACATGATAATGATAACGACGCGTAAATGTTACACTCGTTACTTGAAAACATCGAAATTGGCAATATTAGTATAACCTATGTTATTTATTTTTATTTTTTAATTAAACTTAACTTGGTGGGTTAAATACAGTACCTAATTGAAATTGCCTGTTTGTAATGAATGACTCTACCTGTTCGATAACATCATGAGTAAACAGTATAATACTGTAGGTAGGTATACGGCTGCATGTCAGAATACCACAACATGTCCAATTTCCTCAATTGATTTTGAATTCTACCATTTGAAATTTAAAAACAGATTGAGAAGTTTGATATTATTGTAAATTCAAGATAGCTATAAAGTTTCTTTATAACCAACTTGTCACCTTAAAATTGTAAGCATCGTCTTTCTGTAATTTTCGGGCTCGATTCTCGGTCTGATTAGTATAGAAAATTACCTATTGTGTTGTGATACCTTCATTATTTCACATTTCCATAATACAAGTGCTTTAGCTACTTAATTTGGAATCTTATTTCTTTCCTTTCTGACTCTCGACTGTGCTCTTTCTCTTTTGTAGGAAAAAAGTTTAGATTGGCTTAATATTCTAAAGAAAATAATATGAATTTTTGGTAGTAGTATTAATAATAATATGTTTTTGGTATTGCAGATATTTTTTTAATTTATCTTTGTCTACAACATTATTCTGTTCTGTCCACGAAAACAATTTGAAGAAAATTAGTATCGATTTTATAGTTTTGTTAAAATCACATCCGTGAAGATTGTCTTTGCATCAGAGGCTGTGATAGGTCCTACTTGCAACGAGCATCATAAATAAAATATTATAATAAAATCATCAAATTATAATAAAAAAAAGGGTAGGCCTTCTAATTCGGGCATAGATAGACTCGTCGTTTTATTTTTACTTTTACCCTAGAGAGCATTTTACAGCCTGATATATTTACTATCGCTGTGCAAGAAACATCTCTGGGATGTGTTGAGATATTCCAAATATTGTGGCATGGTAAAATTAGAAATGTTACTTTGCCTCCTGTCTACTAAACAACTATCTAGAATCTATAGTTCGAATAAAAATAGTAATTATAGATAAAGGTTTTGTCGGAATAAAAATTGATGGCATTAAAGTTATTTGTGACGAGTCAAATCTCATAAAAAAATATGAATGTGACCGAAAAGGCAAAACTTATTGTTTTTTATTTGAGCTCATTAATAGTCCTGGCAATTGAGGAACTCGATGGTGCAATGGTTAGCGCGCTCTGTCTGTGATACGTTGTTAGGTAACTTTCGTCATTGCCGGTCATAGGATTCGTAACCAGAAATTTAGTATCCAGATGCTCGGGTTCTTAGATATTATTATCAACCTCGATTCTCGGGTTCTTGGATATTATTATCAACCAAGGGTATGTCAGGGTTTTAGGGGGTAGGCCGACCTCTGACGTACTCAGTGATCATTTCATTTAGTAGGTCCTATAACGGAGCAGAGAACCGCTCGTAAATTATATATATACACCGTAATGGCCAGTCAGGCGGCAAGGATAGCGTATAATACATTTTTGCTGGGTCAAAAAGTTAGATTTCGGAAACAGCTAAGTATTGTAATAAAATCTGTCTGGCCTTTGTATCTGGCTGGTGTCGGTATCAATAAAAACTTTAAATTTTAAAGAAGATTTCATTTGGTTTTCTTACTGTCAAAATGAGTGAATCTAATGAAGAAATTCGATAAATTTTATTACAAAAAAAGGTAAAAATGCAACGTAAGCCGAGAAAAAAAATGTGACGTTTATGGACTTTCTGTGCAGATTCTGTGAGACTACTACTTTGGTAGCCTTTTCAGTCCGGAAAATTTGATGTCAAAGATGCACGTCGCTCCGGTTGCCCTTTTACGGATAAAATGAATGCCATTTTTAAAAAAAGTGGAGCAAATCAGCATGTCAGTAGATACGATGTAGCTGAAGACAGTTCAATCATCAGTATGCTTGACCACAAAACAGTTTTGGCCCATTTGAAAAAGCTGGGTAAGTACAAAAAAAGTTGGATATTTGCGTACCTCAGGGGCTCACTGAAAGAAACCGTGCACTCATTTGTGATTTTTCTTTGAAGAAGCTGATCATTTGTGATTCTTTTTGAAGAAGCTGATAACTAGTGATGAAAAGTGGATCACGTACGATAAGAATGTGCGAAAAAGGTCGGTCTGGCTTCAGATTGCGGCGAAATCCGTGTTAACTCGCAACAAGGTGATGTTGTGTGTATGGTGGGATTGGAAGGACATTATTCATTATTTGCTGTTACCGCCAGGCAGCATTCTAACAACTAATGAGGTTAAAACAAGAAGTTAAGATAAATTAATCAATGGAATAGCCTAGGATTAATCAATAAACGGGGTGTGACTTTTCATAATGATAACGCTAGACCTCGCACATATTTTGCCACTCAGCAAAAATTAAGAGAGTTTGACTGGGAGGTGTTAATGCATCCGCCGTATAGAATTCCATCTGTTTCAGTCTCTTCAATTCTTTAGGCAGTGTCAGGTTAACATCAGGCGAGAATCGCCAAAACCACTTGTCGCGGTGTTTTCATCAGAAGTCCCAAAATTTCTATAGCAATAGGATCATGTCCCTACCTATAAGATGGCAAAAAGTTATCGAACAAAATGATACCTACATACTTTAGTCAAATGTAAATAAACTTTATTGAAAATGTTTTGATTTTTTATATAAAATGCGATAAAACTTTTATCCCAACCTATTATTTTTTTTAATGTTATTTTCCTTGTTACTAATTGACATTGTTTACCGATAGAGACAATTTTGTAAGTTGTTGTAATAATGTAATAATATGACACTATCATTTTAACCGGTTAAATTCAGTTCATCGATGCCCTGTTTGTGTAATTAATAAACATTTATTGCTTTAAGATAGTAAATGAAACATTGTTTTGATTCTATATTCACAATAATTCCCAGTAGTAGGTAATTATTGTGGATGTTTGTACTTATTACCAATCTTTACGTAGGTTGCTAGGTGGGTAGATGATAAAATAACGAGTAGAAAACACGTTTTCTTGGGAAATAATTGGCAAATTTAATTATAGGCTCACGAATAAACTATAGGCCCCCACTTCAATAGCATTTTCTTGAATAAGTCGTTTTTTTATTATTATTTTTAGTATTATTTTTCACTTTTTTAAGTTTGAAGTCAGTTCAATTTTTTTGAAATTTTTATGTAATGTTTTTAAGTGATATTAATGCTTTTATATAATCGGTAACACTATAAATACTTTTCTAATAATTGCGTCAAAATCGGTTCAGCCAAACGCAAGATAAACGTAAACAACAATATATACAACACGTGTTAAAGTGCGAACCTTCATATAGTCAGTTAATATACCTAAAACCTTCTCCTAAGTCTTCTGAAAACAGTATCAAAATCGGTTCAGCCAAACGCGAGATAATCGCGCACAAACATACATACATATAGGTCATATTGAGAACCTCCTTTTTTCGAAGTCGGCTAATTAGTAAAAAAGAATATCCAATGATTTTGCTACGGTCCTCCAACGATATAGTTACGCCACAGCGATCTCCACTGAATTCCAATTTCATACTTGATTTTGTATCGAAAAACTGTTATTTCGTTTTCTGTAAACCATAAAAGTGAACTTTAATGAGTGATTACATCTAAATTAAAAAAAATATATAGTAATTGGCTAGGGATTTCTGATAACGGCTTGCCTACATAGCTCTGTTAACAATTTATTGCGGTTGTCCTCGGAAATTGCCAGAGTTACAGAATAAGGAGATTGATAATGCCTTTGATGCATAGAAAATCTTCATTGATGTGATTTTAACGATATAATATAAGAACGATTCGAGATTTTCTGAAATTTCGTTCGTGGACAAACAGAGTAGGCCGTCTGAACGGTACAGTAAAGATGGAAAATGTAATTTCGAGAAACTTATGTCAGTTTGGGTATTTAGCACTCCAGCAGATGCAAATAGTAGTATTATTATTGCTTAGGAACATAAATATTTATCGGATGGATAAAAAATAATAAAATTCTCTGGGTATGGTGGATATGCCATCTACGTTTTGACAAGTACATTAGGTATTCTCATTACGACAAAAAAAGGTATCGCAGAAACATTATATTTAAAAATCGAATATTTAATAGATTTCCTGTAATATATAGGTACAGTGCTATTTTCTATAAGTAAGTACATATTTTGATAAGGTCTTTATTGTTTAAAGAAAGTAGATACTTGATTATTCTGAAAGTCGCCCCTGCCGATTCAAACCTATCAATTATAGTATTTAGTATAGCCAAACATATTGATTCAAAGAAACGATCTCTTAAGGCGAGCGTTCACCAATTCTGGCTTTACAGAATAAGTTTGTTAATATCTGCGTAAAAAAACTATTTTATCAAAATTGAACATCATCATCCCTAGATCGTTTGATTTAATGAAAACAAAAACAACAATTTTAAAAATTGGCGACATATAAATCACAACGACTCTCAGCGCTTCTCTCGTTAGAGTTTCCAAAACATTTTTACGACAAAAGTAAACTACTGTCGACTACCTAACCCAGCCTTTTTTTATCTCTGGAGTTCTAAAAAATTTACTGAGATAAGGTTAACAGGGTAAAGGTAACGCTCTCCCGCTCTAAAATTAAGCGATGCGAGATTGTAATTGACATGTATTCAGGTTGGCTTTTTAGCAATTCAGCATTCAAATTAGTACGGAGTGGCTACGTAGTAAAGCCTACTCTTAAGATATTGTCCTTATTGTATAGTATTGTTGATGTTACTGTAAGGCACACGTTATTGTTAGTCGTATAACAGTAGCGTTACCATGAGTTTACAATGACCGTACTCGCTAGCGACTGCGTAAATGATTTGTATGGAGAACTGTACAGCGCTCCTAGCGGTCACTTGTGAAACTAAAGATTGCTAGTATGAGTCCTATAGTAAATTTACCTATCGAAAGCCAATCACTAGCGACTAACGTTTTTTACGTTTCGTAGCTTATCCCATAGAACATCGGTACCATGAGTTACAAATTTGATAAACGTCATCGAGAAATACCGTAGCGACTGTAGTTAACTCTCTCACTTGCAAAACGTAGCGTGCAAACTTATTACTCTTGTTAGAGTATTGTTTAATAGATTATTTTCAGTTATTATTGACCCATATAATGTCAACTAGGCATTATATGTATCATAAGCTGTATATGAAGACAAACGACGAGAAGAGAAAATTTGAAGCGGATATGAGAAATATTAGTGAGAATAATTTTATCAAATAATATAGGCTTAATAAGGAGTTTTTTGGTTTACTAAGGTCACCATTTCTGTTAAAACATTAAAAAGGGATACGTGATACGGATAACAACAAAAATAAATAAATGAATGTTTAAATAAATGAACAGGGTTAGATCGATAGCATTGGATTAGGTTGTATATTCTTACTATATTTCAAAAATTTCATAAACTGCGTCTATTTTAAAATTTTTATGTTTGATAAATTACAAAAAACCATGTATTATATTATTAAAGTCCCGCTAAAATTTACCTTAACCAAATAAAGAGCACTCAGCATTCCTTAACTTTATCTGAACACTCAAACAAATATTTCGTCTAAAAAAACTGGAGGACTACATTTTACTGTACAAAGTATATTCTAGGTATTAAATAATATAATAGAATTGTATTGAAGTACATTCCTTTCAACCAATAAGTGTATTTGTGATACACCACTCCGCATTTAATGTTTAGATATTATGCACAATTTACCAAAACAACCGCCAGTCAAGAAACAGAAATACTCAATGATTTGTCACAACACGGAAATAACCGAATCAATTCAATAATCAGTTACACTTCGCGTTATGAGAATGATCAATGACGCTTAAAATTAGTAGGGTTTCATCTACTTTTTAAATTTGAAGATCTAAATAGTCGGTTTTTAGCCCAAAGTCATCCTTTCTCACTCTATTCAGCATAATTAGAACGAGACAGTTTCATTTGGAGTGAAGTTAGGCGCAAACACGGTCACGTAACAAAAACTATTCGAATGTTCGAGTTAACGTTAGCGAGTATAGTAAACGTAAATGTGACTCATGGTACAACTTCTATCGAATACTATTCGAAGTGCGTTTATTCGCTAGCGACTGCGGTAACGTAATGAGAATTTTCGATAGCAACTCATGGTAGCGCTACAGTAGATCTGCTTTACAATAAAGTTAATCATCGTCGTGAAAAGAACCATTCATTATATTGCTACAGGAGTTATGCGGAAATATATATACGTCGTTCTTATAGTATTATTAACGTTTTTAGAGGTATCAACCCCTTACAATTTAACATTTACACTTCCACTGTGGTGTACATTAAAATTATCTACCTGTACTTTTAGATTTAATGTGAACTTTAATATTTTGTGATTATTTCTGAAACACTGTTATTAACGTTATAAACACAGGTAAGTTGGTAATAATCATAAGTATCATAATGTTTATTCTTAGTGTATTTACTATCCGTCTTTGCCTAATACGATAGAAATGTATAACTTGTATTTGAGTATTTTATTTTATTTTTATTTCACGGTTGCAAACCCTTCTTGTTGCCAACTTCGGTCGGCTGTTGTATGTCAAATATAATTTTCTTTAAGATCACCTTCCTTTGTTGGAATGCTGGTTTACGAAGTTGTGGATCACATTTTAATATTATAGTACGTAATCCGTTTACCACACTTTATTATACGGCCATTGCTATATGAAGTCTCTATTCATTAAGCGTCCATTGCTGTATACAACCTAAAGGTGATTTTTTATTAATTAATTAATAAATGAGACCTAAAGTCATGCCTTTACGCTGAATTTATTCGAACAGTTCTAGATGTAAAGATACATTTAATGATTGAAATCACACATTTTTCAGAATGTACATGGACACATAAATTTGTTAAAAAGGGAAGGGCTTACAAATCGGCCACTTAACCTCCAGCGTGATGCTCCTAACATTTTCGATGATATTACTGGTCATCAAGAGTACCAGGACATTTACAGAAACATAATGAAGATAAAAACAGAATCTCCTGACGTGAACAATGCTGATGACATGGGACTAAGGAGGATAGTTGGTGAGTTTAATTAGAAATTCAAGTACGTTTATTTTAAATTGATTTCGAACAAATAACTTCGAATAAACCTATAAACTTTCCTATAGACGGAATCGAATCGGACTGGGAGGGATCGCGGAACAGGCTTTGACACGCGGCCTCAATAGAAGTAGTAGGTGTTAATGATTGTTGATGCGTCGGGTACTCACGGTTCAACGTGCCCATCGAAGCATGGAAGAGCTCGATATAATAAATTTTTGTTACCAATCCTATGGCCGGCATTTGCGAAAGTTGCTTAACGCTCGCATTGTTGAGAAAGTGCCATTTAGCGAGAATTGTGCCATTCAGCTCATTCAATGGAATAAAACCTTTTTTTTAGTAGATTGTATTTGATCGAATGACACCAATGCATTTTTCCAACACCTGATACGTACAGTTACCAATGAGTTTAATGATGGTTAGCCTCCTTGAAACCTATTTTAAATGTGGCAAACGAGTTCTAAATTTTTTATTAAAAATTGTTGTTGGACAGGTAATGAGAGCCGGCGGCGCAGAGGGTCCCTTGCACGTTCAGCTGTGGGTAGACGACGAGCTCGATCCCAGGCCCAGCGTCTGGAGAAGTTGAACAGCCAGAGTCTTCGCAGTCATCTCCAGCACACGAGAAAAGCGCGTGACTACACACACTCACCATTCGCAACATATTAAGCTTACCGAGGATCTCAGAAAATTCGGTGTCTGAGCGACTTTCTATTGATTTAACTTCTTCTAATGTTCAAAAGATTCTTTTTCCAGTAAATTAATAGACAGGTAATTTACTGATACATACAAAACAAAAAATGTCATTAATATAATTTTGTTTGGTTTTGTTAATCATAGAATATAAATAAAACAGCGAGTGAACTTAAATCGCTTTTGCTTTATTGTTCTGTTAATTTACTGCCATTTTTCCCATAGAGATCTTTCTAAAAAAGAAAGGATTAATTAAATTAGCAAATAGTCTTAATTTTTTTTATGTTGAACCGTGCTGTCTTATTAAGTTACGTTTACTCTCTGTTTTATTAAATATACATAAAATAGAGAGTAAATAAACAACATCATATTATATTGGTCAGATCTCAAGTTGTGGTTAAACTACGTAAATCTGAAACACGTACACGTTATCTACGTAAATCTGAAACACGTACACGTTATGTTCTATGTTGGCCTGATCGGAAATTGATCTCGAGACCAATAGGGATGATGACTGGGTAAAAAAAATGCAATTCTATTTAGTCCGTCAGTCAGATAATAGAAAAATACTAAATACGTTTTTTTTTACTTCAATTTAACAAGAAATAGCTTAGATAACAGGCATTAAAGTTGAGGAGTGGGGGTTCGCTACGTCACAGTTGAGTAGAAAACGTACCATAACGTGACGTCATGCAAAATTTCAATTCCATGTATCGCCGTTATTTTATGATTACGAAAAAAATACGTGTTTAATATTTTTTAACACTCTACCTAACGGACAAACAAACAAAAATTTGTCGTCATCCCTATTGTTGATAATTTTTTTTCCAGCAGCCTCAGGTACCCCCGAGATAGGAAATAAAAGATAATCTAGTTCAAATCAACGCTTTGTATTCTATTTATTACTCAGTTATATATAACATACATAATGCGTACCTAGAATAAAAAAACATCAAATATAGTTTTGTACTTTTTATTTCCTGTATAATATATTTATGTATGGCATAAAGAGGAATCTTAATGTAAATCCTTACTATAACCTAATTACGACTCATCAGCATAGCTGAAGATTAGATTTTCTGATAATATACTGTTTATTACATCTTCTTCGGAGGCCTCGTCCTTTAACTGTACATCTCTTAAATAAGCTCTACCCCAAAGAGCAAACGAAATCAATTCATCCTGGGGTCTAGCTAAACTATAAACGAGTAAATCGAAGTCGCTATATTCCCACTTTCTGTACTCGAAATCTTGCGGTTCTAAAGGAAACTTATTATATTTTAAAGAGGTGGGATAGTAAACTACATTATCACACTGTAATGAGACATTATATTGAGTGGGATACGAGGTCATTTTAATTTCTAACACTTCGAATTCTGTGAGCTTTTCTTCTTCTTTATATCTGTGGACAAAACAAATAAGTTTGGTGTAAAAATTATGTGGAAAATATATTTCGTATGACATGAAACTACTCTAATGTCGTGAAACTAATGTATGAATTGTGAAACTGCTAGTAATATTAATGACGTGCAACTAGTTTCGTAGTGTAATTATAGAACTGAATGAAGTTGACAAATATTCCATATTTCATTTGAAGCCTTTTTTACTTATACATTATGAGTGAGCCTTACCTGAGTAGCTCGGTGGTGCGATCGTTGTGGTTAAGTAACTTTGTGTCCAAAAAAATATAATCTTGAGCTACTCCATGCTTCGGAAGGCATGTTAAACCGTTGGTCCCGGCTTCATTATTTGCAGTCGTTAATACCCTCCAATCCACATTGGATCAGCGTGAAGGTTATGGCCCATCCTCCCTAATCATCCATAAGGAAGGCCTAAGCCTCGACGTAAAAGGGATAATAATGATGAACTTTACCTGTATGGACAGCTGGAAACTTCTTCGTTTTCGCATGCGACCACTCCGCAATACACTACACCCACTTGCCGGTGTGCATATACGTTCGTTCCATCTTTAACAAACGCACGGAAATGTGGGACCTGAAATGTATAAAATTAAATAGATATTTTTACTCTAAAAATAACAATAAAAAAGATGCTTGATCGAAAAGTAACTATATAGTAGATATCCTTTTATTAAAGGATCGACAGAAAGTAGTTAGATAGATCAGAATCAACATCACTGTCTGAGTCCGAATATCGCTATTTAGTTTTCTTAAGTGAAATTTCTATAATTTGAAATTTATTAAAAAGATTTGTTAAACGCAACGATGGTTGTATCTGACGCCCAAATAATATGTTTAAAAATGTCTGTGTTAATAAAGAAACACTTTGACTTGACTGGCAGGGGCTAGAATTAAATTGCACTCACTATAATAAATATAGGTATACCTTTTTCGTAGTATCAGATGTTCTGTTCATCTTGATTCTGAACACGCATCTAACATCTTTGTCAACGAGTGTGAATTCCTGTGAGCCCGGCCGTAGAAGTCTAGAGGTAGATGTCTGTAGGTGCACGTCTTTATTGAGGAGCAGCTCATCAGGTGCCGTCGGGTCGTCGTAGATCGGGCCTGGCCATTTAAATGTTGGCTGTTGATGAGACAACATAGTTAGTAGTACAACATTAACCTGCGGCCCTACTCTGTTTGTCCACGATAGAAATTTTGAAAATTTTTGAATTTTTTTATAATTATGTCAGAGATCTTAGCTCCGTTGCATCCTAAATTATAGAAAATTGTGTTTCTTTGTAGCCTTATTAGCGTTTCGAAAATATATTAAATTTCATTTTCTGAAATAGAGTAGGCCTTCTTAACTGAATAAAACTGGCATTATACTGCTAGGTGAATCATCTTACATGTCCCGGAAGTTTGGGCACTCGAGATACAAGTAGTCGTGTTTTTGATTCTGCCGGCATAATGCTGATGAGTGCTCCGGTCTTTCCAGAGTATATTCCGGAGCCTGTAAAACATTAGGACTTATAAGTCTATAGATAGACAAAGATGTTTGCATACCCTAGGTATGTCGCACCTTTACTATATGGAATTTAGAAAGATTTTATTTTGTGTTTAATAAGGCATGACTTTTGATATTTAATAACAAAGTGAGCTAGGGTGTTGGTGCTGCGTTTTCTTATACGGGTGTTGTTTATAGGCGCCGCTAATTCAACCGCATATAACAAGGATTATTCCACGAAAACAATACAGAGTTCTAGGGACAGCGATACGTATCGCTTCAACGCTGCTACATTAAACACTCAAATACAATCACTATGGGTCGTAGTCCATTTTTTTCGTTTGCCCTAGGGCATTCTATGGCGTTTAAAGAATTAACTTAAAAGTTGTCTAATATACTTTAACAGCGCTGATTGATCCTGCAAAATGTTTTTAATGCGGCTACAACACTAAAACTAGAAAATTAATTTTGTCGTATGATTACTGCAAAATAAATTTATTATCAATGTTTGGTGGTTAAACGCTTAGGTATAAAAGCTGTATATGGATACTTACATCGCCTCTGGGGACTCCCCAGAGGCGATGTAAGTATCCGCATGATGTATACCGATCAAATTTATCATTCAATGAAAATGAGACTTAGTTAATCAGTCGTTATTTGAATCCAGCTTGGAGAATGAGTCGATTATTCAAGCATTTTAATGCTTATTAAAAAAACACTTATTTTAATAGGTAAAAATTAATATTACAATCTAATATTAAAAAACATTAGAAAGACATACCAGCACTTCCCACCTTGACATTATTAGCACCAGCTGCTATGAAGTTAACTCCCATGGTGTATGCATATGACTCTTGAAACTCGACAGCTGAAATAAATTCCGGCTTTTATAAATTGGCGATAATAAAGAAAATTAATCGGATTTTCTGCTTTTTCCATAATCACTTGTAGTGCTTCAGCTACTTCATTTAGTATCATCATGTTTACTCTCGAGCGCATTTGCGTTCGATCGATATTGCAATTGTGCCATTTCGTGCTTTTGATTGGCTAGCTAGCGCCAAAGTATGCTAGTGAACCAATCAAGAGTACGAAACGGCACAATTGCAACGTCGATAGATTGCGATTGAGAGTAAGCATGCCAAGCAGTTTGTGATGATGTGTAATATTTGTCACATTCATTAATCATCAAACTAAAGTAATAGTATAATGTTCCTTCTGCTTCTCTTCCTTTTTATATCGTCATCCTGGCCGGGTGCGTAAAGTATTTTATATGGATTATTTAATGCAATGTATACTCGTGTTATTTATATTTTGATAAATAAATGTTGGTATAAATAAACTTAGTGTTTGTTATATGTGGCTGTATAAGCTCATTTCTTCAAATATCAAAAATATTTACTTAAATGTAAAGACTTCTCAAACTCTCAAATAAATATAATTAAAATAAGCTAACAAATATACTATGCATAGAAATATCAGGTTCAATTTTACAAATATACTAACTATTAGTAAACAAATATGCTATCCACAGAAATATCAGGTTCTATGGTTAGTATATTGTATGCCTAACAAATCCAGCAGTTTCTGAGTAAATCGACACCGACAGAAGGACGGAAATACAGGCGGACACACGAGTGATATGAAAAGGGTTCCGAGTTTTCCTTTTAAGATATAAAACCTAAAAAAATGAATTCAATTTAATAGTAAATAGAAACTGACCAGTCAGAAAAGGCATTTCAGAGAACCACATAGTACTGAAGATTATGTCTCTGAGATGGTAGCTCTGTACAACTTGGGTAGCGGGTACTTGAAACATCAAATCGAAGCATATAAAGTGGCCGAACCGAACGCCAAAGTCTGTGGAAAACAATCCCAGCTCTGGACGTAACGCTGGGGAGCGATTGTATTCATTAAAAAGATTTGTTTTGCGATATCTGCAACAGAAAAAAAAGGATAATTAATGGAAAAACATAAAGTATGACTTTTGTTCGGTTTCGAAATGCGTTACAAGCAAAATTTTGAACATTATAACACAATCCCTAACTTGGACGAATACAAATAAATCGATGCTAGACAGACATCCCCCGATACACGGACGCCACGCCATAGCGACTGGTCGATCCCCCAAGATCCCATTCCAACTAATTCTATCTTGAAGCGCAAAAGTGTATATAGCAAATACTTGAAAAATTAACGCTGTGTAAAGACGTATCCTTAGTTATCCTTTTTTTTTGACGCTGAGAAAGGTCCACTTCTTGGAAGGCTGGTCCCACAACGGGCTAGGGGAAGGCTCAGGAACATTTGAGTCATGCGATAGCCCCGGATACCATCGATGTCCAGCCCGACAAAAGACAGGCCGGACATCGGTTCACCGTCCTTTAGTCACACTCCGCTTGCGACGCCATCCGGGCTCGGTCACCTCACACACCGAACGGTGTGTGAGGGCAGCCGGACGACGACCGCGCGGCTGAAATGCGAATCTTTAATTATCCTAATTTAATCCAAAACAACGCGGGAGACCACTATTACGACCATCGGACATCTACCCTGGGACAATTACACTAGAAACTAAATGTAAGTCTAAACCTTTCCTTTTTGTCCCGCACAAACTAACTAAGGCTCGATATAGGTAAAAGGTCTTTATTGACTAACGATCATACGAACGATCGTTGTGATTTCGTGCGATGAAACTAATCGTGCGACGATTTAGAGTTTTATATGTTTATAGGTATTGATCACATAATGCTACAAAGCCGAGCATGAGCGAGTGCCACGAGCCGGCACTGATCGCCGCCAAGAAGAAATTATTTATGACAAATTACCTGTCTATAACTGCGCCCGCCCTATCGAACACAATGTTTGTATTAAAGATATAGGTCTTCTGTTCAGGACAGAATTCTTCAGGAGAGTTGTTGCAGTCCATTTCTTCTTGTATGTTCACTACTAAGTAAATGTTGTGTTGCCGAGCAGCAGATGAGAGTGACACTAGAACCTGAAAAAATAGAGTAAAAAAGTTTTTTAAAACAAGCTTTTATTTGTGCGCACTATAACGTAAATCATAATTTTGTGCAAGACAAGTTCATAACGTTAATGTTAAAGTACTTCTAAATTTTCTCTAGCAGTAATTGACTTAAAAAACTTATAGCGTTAATGAAATCGGAAACTTTAATTATTAAGAATATGAACTTGTTTTTGCATAAAATTATTATTTACGTTTTATTGCGCACAAATAAAAGCGTGTTTATAAAAAACCCTTTTTTTATATATTTTTAATTATAACTTTTTAGTTTTGTCAATATGTTTTTGTTTTCGTAAAGACGGATCTAAAGAACGCAAACACGATGAAGTTGCTTTTTTCATCAGTAAGTTCCTATGACCACCTTCTGACCTCATCATCATTACAGCTTACTGATACCATAATATTGTATTGTCATCTGATTTACACGTCTATGCAAAATTTCAAATCTCTCGGACATTGGGAAGTGGGTCAAATTTGAGTTCCAAGATTTGTGCACTGACTAAATAAATAACATACATATTAACAAAGCGAGTTAAATAAAAGCTTGTAAAAACAAGACGAACTGAACATAAGATAGCTATTTTAAATTAAAAACTATTTTAAAAATAATAACTCGCAAATATAATTTTAATCATTGTTAAATAACCTCGTTAAGCTCTCGGCTGTTATATTAAATAAACGCTTTGCTGTTTTTATAAGTTTTTTGTATTAGTTTTAAGATAGCACATTTGAACTGCTATTCTATTATAATAATATCCTCAAACTCGTCGACGACCGCAGCGCTGTCAGAGCGTTCAATCAAATAAAACCTACCTGAAATTTTTTTTTCTCTAAGCTGTGACAGCGCTGCGTTGTTCGTCAATTTCGAGGCTGTTTTTTAACATAATAGGATAGCTGAACTTCTGACTGGCATTTTACCTCATCGAATAGATCTGGGTACAGTGCTGGTATGTGGTCCTTCAGCAGGCCGTGTATTGGCACCCTCACATTAGTACCTCGAGTAAGTGTCATTTCAGGGAACACCATGATATCGACATCCTAAAAAAGAACATAATTTAAAGACAAACATAATTTAAAGTTTCTACGTAGGCTGTATTCTAATATATGACCTGTAGGGACCTGTAGGGCCTTAAACTCTAGTCCCATGTGCCTAGAGTTTGGGGCCCTCGCCGTAACTCCTAAAAAACCAGATCTTGAAAGTACTGATGAACATTCATAAAAAGGAACACACAGACGAACTAGAAGTTTTCTATATAAGTCTAGAATAATTTACCATTATTAATGGTGTGCTAATATTTGGAAGTTATTAGGAACATATTAAATTTGTTATTATGTAAGATTACAATCATCGCTGAAAATACGCCGGCATACGCTGTTAAAATACTTTGGTTAAAAAGCAGTAAAATGTAATAAATTTACTAGTATAAATCATCAATATTATTAAATTACTGTCGCCTGGAAACATTACGCTAGATGTTGTTTATATTTTCAAAGGAAGTTTATGTATTAGAAAAAGTAAAGGTCCTATTACGCTACCATAAGAAATATCATGAGTTGTGTTTTTCTATCTATAAAACCTTTTTCTTACTGGTTATGCAGTCATAATCCCTCTGAAGCTAGATCTTTAATTTTAGTATACCTATTGTATAATCATGTACTATTGTGTGCTGATCAACCTAATCAAAAGCTTTCACCATATCCTTATAGAAGGCTATAACTTCAGTTAGTAGTTTGCTTTAGGTAGCTTAGTTTTAATAACTTTTAATAGGATGTGTTATTAATGCCTTTTGCTAGAAATAATGAGAACCAATAACAAGTAAAACGAGCGTGTCTGATATTGGGCGCATGTCTGTGAGACATAGGTATATTTAGTAAATGTTATTAAAATTAATGTTAAATATCACTTAGGTAAACTTTGTATAGTTTCTTGTTATCATCCTTCTCTCCAATTGGAAAAACTAAGTTGTCATAGTGTGTTCGTCTTTCAGTCTGTATCAAATATTTGTTCTTAGACAACTGGATCAAGTGAGTTAAAATTAGGATAACTACTCATATTTCATAGCATATAATCAATGACGATCATCTATTCTATGATAGTAGAATGTGCCCGGTGGCGTAGCTAGGTAACCTAGGGCCCTGGGGCAAATATAGAAACGGGGCCCACTACTATCAAAACTGGTAAGGTTTTTTGAAGTAAAATCATTAAATATACAAATACTTTAAAAATGCTAAGCAACTTTATCATCAGCTCTTTTTCGTGCATGGGCAGGTAATAAAACTATTAAACAATAACAACATAAATTACAATTATTTTTATACTTGGTGTAGGTATTGGGCAATAAAACGAAATATAAAAGATTCAAGGGTTTATTATATATTTATTTATTCATAGATACGTTGCACCAACTTACTGTTATTTAACCTATCGCCATGCAAGCTATTTACAAAAATTATCAATAAAAATATTTTGTCCAGAAGTACTTGCAGAAGGCTGACTAAAAAAACTTGTCAATTTTGGGCAATTTTTGTGTTCTTTCTTATCTTTCTTGGCGTTGTTTGCGTTTAAATGCACCACTGGATTTATTTTTTACTTTGTCCATAATATTAGTTTTCTAATTTATTTATGCAATATTTATGTAAGATTGTACTCAAGTAGGTACTCACTGTTCATGACAACGTTACAAGTAAAAGGAAAGCGAAACGTAATGATACGATACAAAACGTCGTTGGGGAATCCCCGGTAAACATTTTATCGCCGCCAGTGTTACCACATTTGTCAGTTTGATAAATGTCAAAAAACATCACGTAATTAAGGGACGGCCCCGTACCCCATGTGACGTGTATTTTTCACGGTATTTTGAGTTATATAGTGAGTAGCCGAAATCTATAGATTTCTTTACGTAACTATGTATACATACTATTGATAATCAAATAAAATTGGACTTTTGTATGGATCAGTACAAAAAATGTATTGACATACGCTTACTTACTCCTGATACATTAACTTTTTAACCATTCTCGAAAAAAATCTTGACTCGAAGTTCACAATGGCGAATCACAAAAACGCATATCGATAAATAATAATATGCAGATATTGATAACCATCACCAAATTGATGAAAACATTAATAACACTGTCAACCCACACAAATAATTTAGGGGAATTCCCTTTTTATAACTTTGGAATTTCTCACAACTGAGTTGCCATGATTAAATTTGAGTTGTCACCTATCATATTTATTTTGAAAATGGAAGAAATTTTCAAAAGTTGAGATCGATTGAGATTTTCTGGTAAAGATTCGAGGGCCCCCTGAGCTTTAGGGCCCCGGGACATTGCCCCGCCTAGCCCCTTGGTAGCTACGCCACTGAATGTGCCGTAAATCGCACTCTACAAAGAGTATTTATTTTCACTTTTGAGGAAAGAATATTGTTCTTATTTACAAGACTCTATTAACCACTTTTACTTTCAGACTCTTTTGTAACATCGGATTAGTCAGATACCTGTGCCGCCGCTTGCTGTATATAATACAGGTAGTTCTGTAAATTTGTCGAGGTGTTTCTTGTGAACTGGTATTCAAGTACCGCTGCCACATAACTGTCCGATTCTGGTGTCGATTTCTGCAAAAAACAAGGTAGGTAGGCATGAAGCATTATAACGAACCATTTGTGAACGATGTCTTTCTAAATGTATAAACTTTTTGTAAACTATAACGTTGATTTGTTTTGCTTCTATCTCCCAACTAAACGAATCTGTACCTAACCAAAGTATTTAGTTATTCATTAATATATTCGAATATTTGACCAATATTGTTTAACATTACTTTTACTTACGGTCAGTTGCACAAACGTCCATTAGGGTCTAATGACATTTTTAAGCTCTAATGAATGTTAAATTTGTATGGGTAATGTCGCTTTAAACACATGTTAATTTTAATGGACGTTTGTGCAACTGGCCGTATATGTCTGAAAATAAGTTAAGATACACAGATTTATGGGAATAATGTGAAAATATGGGCAAAGAATAGAATTCTTTGCCGGCCAGCAGAATATTATAGAAGTGAAAAAAACAATTTTAGTTTACTTGAAACAAATTGGGAAAGCGAAAAACTCCAGAAATGAGAAGAGCATGAAATCGGTTCTATAAATGGCTGAAAAATATGCAGCGACAATGAAAGCAGCTTAAAATTATTATATTTATTATATCAATCAAATATACAATTATATATATTTTGCAATGACAATGCCATACTGGAAAATATTCTTAAAGAAAAATGCTTAAATAATCCACTTTGCCCATTTGTTGACGTTCATTTGTTGACGTTGTGGATTTTTTCATACCAATAACGAGAAAGTTTTGAATCGTATCGTTTTTTGTTATGAATGGATCCTCAATGAAAATCGCAAATAGCTTTTACTGTAGTCGAAGGAGTACCAGAAATACCGATCATGCCGTTTAGGTATTGTTGAAAGCGGCTTAATCTTGATTACCTGGTCCTGATTAATGAATAACTCAAAAGTCAACACCCAAAGGCATCTAATTTAATTGTTATAATGAACTCTAATGTCTTATAATTAATGTTCAAAATATAGGAACTAATTAGGTATTTATATCGTCATTCATAATATCTACCTTATCTTTTAACATTATAATATCTTATTGTTTATTACGCTAAGTTAAAATACAAAGTAAAGAAAACTGAATCCACCCGTAAATAGGTATTAGTAACATTAAAATAAACAACCTCTTTACAGTTTCAAAGTCAAATTCAGATTTTTTTAACAATTCATTAATAAGCTCTGACATATTCCTGTTAAAGGTTCGAAGTTCGTCATTTTTTGCTGCTTTGTTATTTCGACTACGACATTTGTTGCTTTGTATGCAATACTTATTACTGAGAAGACCGGCGTTGTTTTTCCTTTCCTAACGGCCGGTTTTGTCGTGTCCAGAAAAATATCAATCCATTTTATCTAGCTATTTATTATATTGTCTGTGTCTAAGTGTTGTAGATTCTCAATACTTATATGGGACTTTAGCTTTATCTTGAATTCTGATTAATGAGATGGTATAATTATGTTGTATAATAATAATATGTATTTGATTTCAAAGAAGGTAAATAAAGAGCACAGATTTATAAAAATGGTATCATTTATTATTTGATAAAGGTATTTCGTGGTATTCTTTGGTTACGATAATAGATAATATATCATATATGCATGACTGGTATTATTATTATAAATATAATACTAAGTATTTTAGCGTCTTCTATTAATGTAAAGTATTATAGAGCACGCCTCATGATATACAGTAAGTATAACACTGTGTTTTAGTGTAGGTACGCTTGGAAACCCTAGGTGACACCACGGTGACTATTTCCGCCTTGTTTATTATCACCCATGCTAGCTAACCACTAAATACCTAACGAGTCTTTAAAATTATAAACTCCGTCAAAATTAACTTGTTGTGCATTATTGACCTTATTCGTGTTTATTTTTGGATCAAGTCCGGACTTAGTCCAAAACTCACCTGTTGCGAGATACATATCAAACAAAGAACAATTAACACTATTACACGGCACTTCATTCTATATTTAACATTTGTTTACACGAACTGTAAAAAACTTAAAGATAGTCGACGAGACTGTATTCACCAGAGTCTTGGGACGTACTGAGGGAGGGAATATCAATATTTGTGTCTGTGTTTATTGATCATCCAAAACGAGACTTCTATTTTTTTGTATTTCATCTTCTTGTATGTACTATACTACTATTCGACTATTCTATGGTAAATTAACAATGTATAACTAACAATATTGTTTTTCACATTGTCTGCGAGGGTAAAGTACCGTTGGTTTTCGTGTAGATATATAAAATGTAAATACAATGACAGGATAACATTGTATGCTGATGAGATAATGTCAGTATTTCTCACAAAATATATATAGACATGACAAATTGCATAAACTAAAATATAAATAAAATATGAAAAGCTACCTACTCAATATCGTGTGTGTAAGATGTAATGATAAAAACAATAACCATAGGAAAGCAAAATACTCAATCTTGTAGTTGCTCAGACGATATAAATATGTCATCTATTTATTTTTGATTATCAGCAGAATGCTTCTATTTGTTAAAAAACAAAACTGATAACATTATTTTAAATAAGAATATAGGATCAAATCAGCCCTGCGATTCTGTTAAAAACTTCACTTATGCCATGAAACGTTATTACCAGAGGTCGGAATTAGGTAGAGTTATTTATGTACTTGCATCGAAATGTTGATATTAATATGGACCTTCGTGGCAATATCGCGCGTATTGGTATTTTGCAACTTTGGACATCCGATGTCATTGATGTAAGTTTGGCAACGTCGTGCGTGCAGTAGTTTAAATTGTGTAAAAGTAAATAACTTTTTATTTAAAAAATCACGGGATTTTTTCTGCTCTTTAAAATTAATCTCGGGATTTGAGGCATATCCACTTTATTCTTTCGCTGTATGAAATCAGTGTAAGTACATGAATAACTCTTCCTAATTCCGACCACTGGTTATTACCAATTCAAGGTTGAGCGGATGCCGCTTTTTAAAGTGAATTCTGATGTGAGTGGATTCGAATTCGGGTTTGGATTTTTACAGTATCGCAGGACTGGCCTTTGAGCTATCGGAAAAAAATGAGTATATAATCGGAGGACAAATTTGAACATGCATAAAAAACAATACTCGTCGAACTTACAATACAACCTTCTCCTTTTATATTTTTAAAGTTTTTTTTATAGAATACATATTTATTGTGTAGATAAAATATAAGAACCTATAGCCTTTTTTTTGTTAATGATTTTTAATTTTTATTATCATTGGTTTATCAGCCAATGGAGTGAGTATACCTAAATCATCTGCAATTCGCATGCAAAGTTGGTTTATGACTCATGACGAATGTAAATGTGTTATAAACCAACTTGTGCTGCAAAGTAACCAAATATGGATTAGTATATTTAAAATGGAATACTGAAATTACTTTCTAAATATTCTTTATACTAATTTTGACATACTTGAAATCAGCCAAGCGATTCCGAATTTTTACAATTTTTCTCCTATTAACATGAAATTTATACAAGTTTCTTGGCTATTAGGAATAATTTGGAAAGGAATTTCAATATTATATTATATTCCAAAATTTTTGTTTTATTATAAAGAAAAAACGAATTTCTTCATGAGATTTATACATAACGAACACAAGACAAAAGGAAAACAAATGAAAAATATTTTAATGTCGTAAAAACCAGGTAAATTTAAAAGACAACTCTTATGCGATTCGTAACTCGGAGTTTACTTAATTATTCAAACTATTATGGAAAAATTACTCAATTTGATTATTTCTTATTTAAGTACAATACTTTACTTTCTCACTTATTATTTCGCAGCGCTGTTTCGTTGAGTCCTAGATATTTTTTTATTGTTATTATTGATCATAGCTTAATATCTAATTTGAGTAGCCAATCTTTCGGCTCCACGGTAAACATCAGCAACTATATTTCATTCGTACGGGAAACCGCCTCTGAGACACTTTTGTACTCAATGTAAGATGCTCTGGCTTTTAAACGGCCAAAGATTTTTAATTCACCCTACTGGTGAGCGCGCCAGTACCACACCAGGAACCAGTAGTGCACCATTTCATTTCTCAAACCTTTTCTGTACGTTGTACGTTTCTATATGCTAACGTTTTCTGTTGAATTTCCCACCATTCCTTTTACGTTTGGTAACATTAGCGTACCTCTGTCAACGTTATCTACAATTGCTCATCTTGGGCACTTTACAGCTTGCCGCATTTTTTTAAATAAAAATAAACTTACAAACTATAGCAACATTCAAATAAGCTACATGATTATATGGAAAGTAAGTAGTACAATAATTTTGTTTTCGCAACATTGGTTTTTGCAATAATCGAATCAAATCATCAAAATTCGTTTCATAATGTTATTTAATCGATTTACTACTACGGTGCACCCGCTCTACATAAAATTTATTGATTTGTTCACAATGTAAAAAATCATTTAACAAAATAATCCATGATGTAAAAATAACACTGTAGGTATATCAAGAGATTTGTTTAAGATACTTATACTCAGCTTCTTTAGAATGTTTGAAAGAGACCTTATAAACGTAGTAAAAAATACAAACAGTAATGATACAGAAACAGAGTAAGAACAATACGCTTTCTTTCAGTGATCCATTCTTTAGATGGACATCTCTTAGATAAGCTCTACCCCAAAGAGCAAAGGAAATCAACTCATTCTGCGGTCTTCTTATACGGTAAAAAATTTCTACATGACCTTTGTTTTCATGGGTGCCTGTAACATTGTCTAAGACATATTTAATTGAATTTTCGTAAATGAAGTCTTGCGGACGTAAAGGGAACTTATTACATTTCAATGAGGTGGGATAGTAGACTGTATTGTCACATTTCAACGATTTATTATATTGATTTGGATACGTGATCATCTTGATTTCTAATTCTTCGAATTCTGTGAACTTTTCACCTTTTTCATATCTGTGGATAAAAAATTATACAGTAAAAGTTATGTTTTTTAAGCACGGTCGATTTTCAATAGATGGCGTTAGTTTCTAATTTTTATGCATGAAAATATGCATTGTATTCAGAAAAGGTTTGAATTTAGATATATTTAATTAAATTAAGGTTCGAATTTTAGGAAAACTAAGACAAATAAACGCTATAGAGAAAATTTTTGTAACTATTTTCACTGCCCTAAAGGGCAGGGATGAGTATGTATGTAAGTATTTGAGTATGTCATTGATCACGGAATTTAGTTTTAACCTTTTAAGGCAGGGATGAGTATGTATGTATTTGAGTATGTCATTGATCACAAAATTCGCTATTCACAATGAAACAAAGTTGTAATAGTGAAATAGGTATTAAATGATGTAGATCTTATGATCTTGCAATCGTATGTAATGTGATGTTACCAAAGACTTAATGTATAGTCATAGACAAGAAATCGACTAAACGAACTACTAAAAACTGGTGTCAAAGTTTAGCTAGCAATTTTTTAGTATTGTTCAGCTTGTTTAGTATACACATAGAAGTGTTTGGATGTTACCAGATGATGATATAATTACACGTGGAAGCCGTATCTTCTGCATTCTAGTCATAAAACTGAGGGCATGCGAAAGGATAGAGAGACCTTGTTTATGTCTATTTTTTAGTTTACATTTGTAGCCTACTGAAGTATGGCTCTATTGACTTGATGAAATTTGAATAGGTTTTCAAGTTGCTCTTCTCGAATTGCACAAACGTCCAATCATAATTGTCATTAGTGTAAAGCGACATTACCAATAGATGATTGAGATGATTGAACTTATATTTATTACTATTACACTAATGTTATATGGAGGAAAGATTTTATTGTTTGTTTGCATTGAATAGGCTCTGAAAGAACTCGCCCAATTTAAAAAATTCCTTCACCTAAGGGAAGCTACATCTTATGCGGGTGACATAGGCTATAATTTACGCAGGTCTTACAAAAACACATATACGATACATCGTATAAGAAATCCAACCTATAAGGACAGCTGAAGACATCCTCGTTTTCACATGCCACTACTGCACAATATACTACGCCTCCTTGCCGGTGTGCATATACGGAAGTTCCATCCTTAATAAACGCTCGGAAATGCGGAACCTGGAATGAACTTAAATTGAATAAAAAGAGGGGAGAAAACGAAAACCATAGGCATAGGATAGGATGAACATTTGAGGGGGTACATTTGTCTTATTACGTAGGTATTTGATGTGTTGCTAACTAACTAGTTCCCGAAAATGTACGACTGTGCACTCAACATTTTTGTACAAGTTACGTGCCGTGCATTATAACTAGTCAAAGCTTAGGAACAAGTACGAAAAGTGCGTTAGCCTCAACTGTAATTAAAATTGAATGGTAGTATATAAATATACTTCAAAATTAGATACACCCATTTCTGAACCCATTAGTATTTTTTTGTCACCTTTTTCGTAATATCAGATGTTATGTTTATCTTGATTCTGAACACGCATCTAACATCTTTGTCGACGAGCGTGAATTCCTGTGAGCCCGGCCGTAGAAGTCTAGAGGTAGATGTCTGAAGGTGCACGTCTTTATTGAGGAGCAGTTCATCAGGCGCTTTCGGGTCGTCGTAGATCGGGCCTGGCCATTTAAATGTTGGCTGTTGATGAGACAACATCTTAAACACTACAACATATTAAAATAATAACTGATAAACCTACCTACCTCTGAAATATTTTTAATTAACTATGTCTTACATGAAAAGAACTAACATCTAAGAGACAGTAGGACATCTAGCATAATCCCAAGGATTTTATCGATTTTAACCAACTGTTTCATTATTTACATTTCAAAAGCATTTCCTTTTATTTAAAATTAAGTTTCAAATTATTATTGTCAAATCAATGTAGAACATTGGAGAGAGATCTCATTCTCTTTTATTATCGTCGCTGGATTCGATCAAGGTATTTTGGGGATGATTGAACCAATGTTAATCCAACATTAAATCAAACTGCTTTATCTTACATGTCCAGGACGTTTGGGCACTCTAGATACAAGTAGTTGTGTTTTTGATACTCCCGGCATAATGCTGATGAGCGCACCGGTCTTTCCAGAGTATATTCCGGAGCCTGTAATAATATTGATCATTATCATCATTCTATTCATAATGTCCCCATTGGTCTTCTGATAGTCACAATGAATCTTTAATTTTCTATTGAAACATTTTACATAGCCAATGTGAAAAGGTTTAGATAGTTAATTTATAAAAAAGTTAGTAGGAGTTTAGCACCAAAATCATACGTTTAAAATTTAAAAAGTCTTAGATTTACATACCAGAAGTGCCCATTAAAATATTGTTAGTACCAGCTGCTATTAAGTTTACTCCCATGGTGTATGCATATGACTCCTGAACTTGGATAGCTGAAATAGTTTACAACTATAATAGGTACAGAAATTATAATTTAAATACCACAATTTCCAAATTTTATTATAAAGATATAGTTTAAATGGCGTAAGTCATTTTATAATCACATTCTTATAAATATTTTTTTTGAGAGTGGGAGAAGGATTCGACAAGGAATACTCCGGACCTGCCCCCCCTCCCCTCGCCTACTCAAATCCTGCCTGCGTGGAAATCGCATATTAGTGAGCTAATAGTGACTGTAAACGGAAACTGACCAGTCAGAAAAGGTATCTCGGAGTACCACATAGTACTGAAGATAATGTCACTGATGTTATACTTCTGCACAACTTGCGTAGCTGGAACTTGAAACATCAAATCGAAGCATATGAAGTGGCCGAACCGAACACCGAAGTCTGTGGAAAATAATCCCAGCTCTGGACGTAACGCTGGAGTGTAGGGTTCGTAATAAAGGTTGATCTTTCGATATCTGCAATGTAGAATGGAGATTGGTGTGAAGTAAGCTTGTTAGGTGTAGTTAATTATTGGTCACGGCCGTGAGAAATGGTTAATTTATCTCAAAAAAAAAGAGATTAAAAGAAGTATTAAGAGCACTCTTAAAATGTGACGTTGTGTTAAATTTCAAAAGAATCTAAAAAGATTTTTAACGATTGTTTATGTCAAAATTCGAAGATCACTTATTGATTTTTTTAAGTGCAAAAATAGCGGTAAATATTTTAGTTGTTTCAAAGTCAATTATTTTATATGCTCTCACAGTATGTAAGAATGTTTGTGAAATACCAATTTCGCCAAATAAAATAGCTATACGCACCTCGATTGGGATCCTAAATGTGCTACTGTACAGTTGCCATTATGGAATTACTTATATGCAGTGTAGTATAATATTATAAACAACGTGGGGTGTAGGGGAGAAAAATCTAACAAATAATGTAAGAACTTTTTAATGTTCTTACATTATTGTAATTTATTAAAAATTACCTACCGATCTATAACAGCACCCGACCTATCGAACACAATATTCGTATTAAAGATGTAGGTCTTATGTTCAGGACAGAATTCTTCAGGAGCGTTGGTGCAGTCCATTTCTTCTTGTATGTTCACCACTAGATAAATGTTGTGTTGTCTAGCAGCAGTCGAGAGTGACACTAGAATCTGAAAAAATAATATGTAAATCCAAATTAAGGGTTTTGAATGAGATAAGTGTAATACCACAGCCTTTAGGGTTTCTTTGAAAGAGGGATAACGACGTTCACAGGATAATGAAACTCAATAATCAATAAAGTATGCAAAACCCAAAACACGGTTCACAATTTCACTAAATATTTATCAAAGATTTAAATTGGACACGTTTGTTGTGTAAATTTGTTTAAAATTCACGGCTTCAAGATAATTAGAACTAAAACAAGCTAATCATTTGGGATAACGAATTGTTTGTTATATAATGTTCATTACCTCATCGAATAGATCTGGGTACAGTGCTGGTATGTGTTCCTTCAGCAGGCCGTGTATTGGCACCCTCACATTAGTACCCCGAGTAAGTGTCATTTCAGGGAACACCATGATATCGACATCCTAGAAAAATAACTTATTTTAAAGGCAACTTCTATATTTGCTTCCTGCTTATGAGCTATCGAAACTATTTGATACGGTGACAAAGTATTTACCTTTTACAAGGCATTGGCAGCAGTATTTTGTGATTTTTTAATTATATTTTGCAGTCTCAGTTCGCCGAGACGGGCCTCAAATCAATACGTTTATGAGCAGTAGTTCGTAACCGATGGTATTAAATTTTCTGTCGCCATTTCTTTTATCGGATAGCTAGAACCGTATTTATTAGCAAGCAGAGAATTTATGCAACTATAACGTTTAATTCAATATTCTATACAAAGAGATCCTATAAACTACACAACAGATAGAGTCATTCAAGAGGAAAGTTCATAACGCGGGCGAAATCGCTGGCGGAAAGTAGTTATAAAAACAAGTAGTGAAAATATTTTCTCTCCAATTTTATTGTTACAATTCCCATTAGGAAGATACCTGTGAGGCCGCTTGTTGTATGTAAAATAAGTAGTTCTCTAAATTAGTAAAGGTGTTTTCTGTAAATTGGTATTCAAGCACAGCTGCTACATAACTGTCGGATTCTGGCGTTGATTTCTGCAAAAAAAGGTGCACAGGTTGGCATGAAAAACAAGGAACTATTAGGAACTGTTTTTTTTTTAATTTGAAAAAAATTAAAAGTCAATATCATCAGTTAGTAAAATAATAGCGATCAAAGTCTTAAAAATAGATACTTTGATATAAAACCTTCATGGTGTGTGATTTTCGAGTGAAATTTTTTTACATGTTAACTGGATTTTTTAGAACTGTTTAAAAAAAATTGTAACGTTCGTTTTTCGCCTTTCGATTGTTTATGAGGCATTCTCGTCTTCTACGATGACACATCGATTTATCAGAGTAATCTTAAAGCGGTAGTTTCTTACTTACTCTATGGTAATCTTTGAATACGGTTTCTGTTTTTTATTTAGCTTGTTCTGTTTGTGCTTGTTCTGTTTTTATTATGCTAGCGATAGTAAAATTGCCTCACATACAGAAATTATCAAATGAGGTCCAATTGTTTCATTACATTTGCCATGTCGTATTTGTCTGAGTTGATATTATCATTCATGGCTAATCTAAGATTGGAGAAATTTGTCTATCAAAAATAAGCTCAACCTATACATTAGCGATGGTTTTTATTTTATTTGTATAACATATTCGTACTTAATATTATAAATGCGCAAGTAACTCTGTCTGTCTGTTACTTAATCACGCCTAAACCACTGAAACAATTTGTATGAAATTTGGTATGGAGATATGTTAATACCCAAGAAAGGACATAGGCTACTTTTTACAGCGGGAAAATGACGCATTCCCACGGGAAAATAATCTAAATATATTTAACTCAAAGGTGACTGACTGACATAGTGATCTATCAACGCACAGCCCAAACCACTGGACGGATCGGGCTGAAATTTGGCATACAGGTAAATGTTATGATGTTGGCATCCGCCAAGAAAGGATTTTGATCAATTCTATCCCCAAGGGGATAAAATAGGGGATCAAATTTTGTATGAAACTTTGTATGAAATTTTAAGGGCTGAGACTGTGCATGCATAAAGCTACTATGACGTAAGCTTCCCCTAAAAAAGGATTTTGATAAATTCCACCCCTAAGGGCATAAGCTAAGAGTATAAGACTTTTTTTTAGGTATTTTAACGATATAATGAATAAATATTCGTTAGAAATGCTGCTCAAAGCAACTTAACCACGCAGACGAAGTCGCGGGCAAAAGCTAATAAAATTATAAACTAGAGATTTTTTTACAGCAGGCGATCCCCCGAGTGGTCGTGACCTACACGTTGAAAACAATGGTTTACACTAAACGTCACTTTTCTGGACAGAGTTATCGAATAGGCGCTTTTGAGAAAACTGACATTTGGAGATTTTTGTTTCTATCGAGAAGTCGAAACTACCCAACAATTAGAAGCATAATTTACCTTACATACAATATTGACTCATTTTCATCAAATCAATAAGAGAAAATATAAAAAAATGGATGCCTCATGATTTGAGCGATCTACTATAAGAAACGCATGTTGAAAGTTGCGTTCCTTTATTGAAACGGTATAGAAATGAAAAAGGTGGTACAAGTATTGCAAAATTTCAAAATAAAAGCAACTTTTCAATTTTAGAATTTTAAATCCATCACAAATCTCTTCGCATCTGGCGCTTCTAGCATCTAATATCAATGGATGTATTATCAATTCTTGTAAAATTTCATTTTAACAATTTTAAGTATAAGAAAAAAAGAATAAGAAAATTATAATTTTAACCATTTAGTCACACAATTAATGTGTATGAAGTCCAGTTAGGATTAAAAACTCACCTGTTGCGAGATATATATCAAGTTAAGAATAATTAACAATATTACATGGCACTTCAGTCTATAGTAAAACATATCAGCTGCTTATCGATTTACTTATCACATTTATTTGCACAAGTTATATAAAAATACGAGAGACGATCGTAAAGACTGTCTACTCTAGTATTCTGTTGCATACTGATGTAACAACTAATAATATTTGTGTGTGTTCAATACCTATTTGAAAACGAAACATCCATAGTTTCGTTTTTCATATTTTATTACTATACCTACTATCATTTGACTATGTAAGAGCAATTATTGTGTGTTATATTATAATAAAATACAACATGAGACTACTTTAATATAATCTGAGTAACTACATAATAACCAAGAATTTAACCCACAAAATAAAATACTCATAAAAATAGGAAAATTGTTCGATAACATTTGTATATACTGCTGGATTAGGTACAGATGGCGTTACGTTACCTCAATGCGTCAAATTCTCAATTTAATTTTAATTTAGTCAAAGTATTAAGATTCTAAACTCGATGTGCTGTTGACTGTATTGAAGGAAAATTTGAATACTGTTTAGAAATAAGTTCATTTTGTATTTAATAATACATTGATATTGACACAGTTACCCTATATTAGAAAGAAAAGTTTTTAATAAAATACATAATTTATTCCTCAGATAACTTCACTGTTGTAAATCAAAGATTTAAAATAGGTTCATTTTTATAAAGTAACAAGAAAAAATTACTTCGGTCTTTGCAAATTTTTTATCTATTTATGCATAGGTAGTAGTTATCTTATCATGAATATTGAGTCATCACTGTACCAAATTTATTAAACAAACTTCAAAAAGTGAGAAATAATGCTTATCATAAAAGCAGCTCTATTATTATTAAAAATATAATATTGAAGTCGGGCGGAAGTTTTCTAGGTTATTTAATATTCAAGAAACTTCTATTATGAAAATCAAGTAGTTTATCAAAATCTCCGGATTAAGTATTTTTTTTATTTAGGTATTTTATAACTTAATTACATATTTAAATATTTTTTTATCGTTAAAATTGATAAATAATGAGTCAGCCACAAAGCTGACGCCTAATGTGCCTGCTTAATGATTTTGCAATAACCATAACAGTGTAGGTATGATTGATAAAAAGATTATAACCAACCATACGTCACCATCATCTGTCTCGTTGACTACAATTTTATCAATAATAATATAATAATAATAAAAAAGTTTATTCACTTAAGCAGTACACTGACAAAAAAAAACAATTTTTTATTCCGCCAAACTGCTTAACAGTTTCTGGGAGACCGAGCTCCCTTTATTACATATAACACTGTACTTCTCAGATAAACTATCTGTCACAATTGTGTATCAAATAATAGAAATCAGAACATCTTAAATGGCATGCACAATTGATCAACCACTAAATATCATAGTTTTCTAATTAACATCTGTTGGATTCAACCACACACCTATATAGGAAAGTAAATTATTTAAACATTGCTTTAATTAAACACAAATTTAGTGTAATGTGATCAATTTTATATATTCTCATTGAATGTGATCAAATAAGTAGGTAATCTTCACACATCTCCTCTTTACTTATATTATAATCTATTAAATTGTGCAAAATTACACTTCTTGTTATTGTAAAATATTTCAAAATTTTATACTAGCTTTCCGCTCACGGTTTCACTCGCGTGGAATTCGGTATTTATAACACTTCGTATTTACATCCCATACCTATTCTTCGCAATAAAACTATCCTGTGTCCTTTCCCAGCGTCCACTCTATTTGTGTATCAAATTTCATTAGAATTGATAAAAACATAATACACTCATGGACATAGTTACTTTCGCATTTATGTGAGTATGGATTTATTATTTTTTTGGCATTTAATACACAAACATGCGTACAATTACGTTTTTTAAAAAAAACATCTTTTTATGGATTCCTAGAATAATTGACGCAATATATAGGCTTGGCAAAAATATTAAAAGCAAAATTTCAAAATAAGCTCTAGCACGCTTGCGAGACAAAGCATGGTGCTGTAGAATGAGTAGAATTTTTTAGGAATGAAACCGACGATTACCTACTCTATGAATATAAGTGATATCGCAAATGCTATCAGTACAATTTGCAGGTATTAGTGTTACGATATCACATAGTGTCTATCTCGTTCATTGTGATATTTGCTGATAAAACATATATTTTTATAATTATATGCAATTATTATTATTATTTTACATATAGTCTGTCTCAAGGATAAAATATACTTATCTACTTATAAACGGTTTTATCGCGTGAATCTTTGAAAAATTATTATGTTTTTTAGAAATTCCAGACCCTTTAGCAGTGTTGTTTTATACGATTACCTATCTTTTCGTAAGCGTGGTCATGTATTATATATAAAACCCTTCTTTTTGAATCACTCTATCTATTAAAAAAAAATCTTCAAAATCTATTGTATAGTTTTAAAGATCCGAGCATATTATAGAGATAGACAGACGGAAAGCGTTAAAGCATTAGAATTTAAATTCAATACAACCGACTGTATTGAATTTAAATTCTTTATGCTTTAACGACTGAGTAGCTCAGTGGCGTAGCGGATAAGCGCCGCGGCCCGCGATCTTTGTCGTTAAGCAACTTTCGCAAGGGTCGGTCAAGGGATGGGTGACCAAAAAATTATTATCTTGAGCTACTCCGTGCTTCGGAAGGCACGTTAAGCCGTTGGTCCCGGTTGCATTTACCCTCGTTAATACCCTCCAATCCGCATTGGGCCAGCGTGGAGGGTCATGGCCCATCCTCCTTAACCATTCATAAGGAAGGCCTGAGCCCCTGCAGTGGGGACGTAAAAGGGCTGATGATGATGACAACCAACTTGAAATAGAATTGTAATAAAGCTTTCTTTTCCTCTTTGAAGTCGTTTAAAAACTACGTCGATGCTATGTTTGGAGATTTGTCATCGGATGCTCTGACGCTAGGTGAGAGAGTGAGCAAGAGTGAGTGAGCATTCAGCGACCAGCAAGCGACATGACGCTTATCTTGTTCTGTTTCATTCAGCATTTTCATAGATACAAATGATAGACATAATGCTATCGTTAGTGCTTGATATAACTTCTGAAAAGTTGAACTTACGTTGCAAGGAAGCGAAAGCCAGTTACAAAAATACAATAGCGTCGTTAAGCGACATAAGCGAAATATATAACATTTCTGTTTACCTAACCAACTCACGTTCGAGCGGCGTTTATGATAGATTCTTATATAGAACTTATATTAGACATATGATCAGTTGCACAAATATCCATTAAAATTGTCATTAGGTTAAAGTGGCATTACCTATACAAATATGATATTCATTAGAGCCTAAAGGCGTCATTATACCTTAATGGACGTTTGTGCAGCTGGACGATAGACGAATAAAAAACGCATCGTTAAAAAATAACATATTCATTGTTAAAATTTATTAAAGTTTTTGATTTTAACAATTCGCATGTCGCTGCTCAGGAATCAAACTTCTTATAATAGGTTACGCACCTACACTGATAATACATTATTGTATTGGTTTTGTTGTAGATAAATCCATTCATATCTAAACGTTTATATGAGATATTATAAAAGTTCGACGTTCTATCTATATATGTGTCATTAAGACGAGGTGTTGTGTGTAGAGAGGTATTTTGTAAAATATGTGAGTGAATAAGTTGAAGTGAAAAATGTTTTGCACGAAGTTTCTATTATTATTGACATATTTAATTAAAATAACGGTTCAGGTAAGAATATTCTATTTTATTCTTGATTATTCTTTTAAAATATATTGTAATATGTATATGTAAATTACCTGGTGGTATATATATATTATTACATTTATTTTCTTTATAAATACTCGTAATAAATAAATATGAGACAATATCACTAGATGAGACGCCTAATTTTCTTTCTATAGATCTTTGATTATCGTAATCGGTATAAGCTGCAGGTTTATTACAGTGGAGTGATCCACTGTATGTCTACTGTATGTCTGTGGATCGCTCCACACATTAGCACAACTTTCCAAAGAACTTGAACTTATTTTTTTTATTATTCTTAGAATTTTATTAGATAAATATCAGTATTTATGTCCTATTAGAGATTTTAGAGTTGGAAAAAGTTTTTGGCACAGTATTCTTGGGTTAGATCGTGGCACTTGGCGATCAACGACGAGAAACTTATCGATTTATAACGATAGTTACGACGAATTATGTACTTAATTTTATATTTGTAAAGAGGAAAAATAGTGCCACGAATGAATGAACCAAGAATACTTTTCCCAGAAATCATCCAGAATAATTTAATATTTTAACTGGAGTTAACGTAACCTACAGTTTCAGTAGTACATATTATTATAAAAAAAATATTGCAAGATATTAAAATTGGATCATTGCAGTGAAATTAATGGGATTTCTACTTTCAGACATCGTCACCATCATCAACCAGCTATGTAGCAGCGGTTCTGGAGTATAATTTTGAAAATGACACTGCTGCCAATTTACGTAACTACCTTATCTACATACAAGAGGCTTCTAGCAAGGTGTGTGATTAATTTATTCAGAACATTCTTACAGAAATGTTAACAAGTTAGAATAGTAAAATTTTAATAAAATTTCTGGGATATAAGAATAAGCAGAGCGACCACCTAATTCACTCGCTACAACTTTAACCGTAGCTGTATAAACGTTTATATTGATATATTTTTTATTACCTTTATAATTTTCTAAACATTTTGGTTTATTTCAATTTTAGAAATAGCTTTGATTGCCTAAATTCGCTTTTTGAGCATATATTAATTTAGTGAAACATAATATAATTGAGAAAACTACAACAACCAAACCATTGATTAAATATGTAAATAATAAAAAAAGAACATTATCAAAGAACATATTAATTAATATATTCACTAAATTTTGTTTTCAAATATGAAAAGAAAGGTAACGTTTAAATTCTAAATTAGATATAATGTTAACTTTCCAGAATGCGGACATCATTGTGTTTCCAGAGTTAACACTAAACAGAGGCCAAGACTCAATAGAAGTGCCAATAAATGGTGCTTTAAAAGATCATCCGATACCAGCGCTAGCAGCAGACTTATATCATAAGGTGATTTAAAAAAGTTTAGAACTTAATGTTTTTAAGTTACAACAATACAATTTATCATCACTTTTTTCATCATGTACTTTATTATTATTTCCATTGAGAATAAACAATCCCATCAAAAACATTAAACCTACACACTGCACTGTCAAAAAGTTATCAGATCTCAAAAAGCGAAGATTTTAACTCTACACGCCCTAACTTCACAAAAATACCTTATTCAAAACATGTGGCTTGGCCTTTTCGGTGCTGTAAAATGGACATAATGTATTCAGCGTTCATTACTTTTCTGTTTCATACCATAGTTTCTTCTTGTAGAAACGAAACGTGTAAAGGTAATAAGTTACAAGGTATAAAATAGAGTCCTGTGGAACACCAAAACTTTTTTTTGGAATAATTATGAGTAGAAACATATACTCTGCTCTTCCGAGCTATAAGACTTCTTATTACATTAAATTACACAGGTTCTCGTTGATATATCTAATGCAGCGCGCCAGAACAAGATCTACGTAGTGATCAACATAGAAGAAATCATGGATTGCAATACAGCCGTTGGCGAGTACTGTCCTGCACAACAGACTTATCTCTTTAATACCAACGTGGTGTTCGACAGGGATGGAACCATTATTGACAGGTGCATGTTGTAACGTGGTTTTGTTTATTTATTATGTAAAAGTAAATCACTTGAAAGTAAATTTCCTCGAAATTGCACTAGCGGTAGGTACTATTCACTTTATAAGATATACACGTGCACATCACAGTAGGTAATAGGGATGACGACTGGGTAAAAAAAAGAAATTCTATTTAGTTTAAAGTTGAGGAAGGCATTAAAGTTGAGGAGTGGGGGCTTGCTATGTCACAGTTAGGACGAAAATGTACAAAAGCGTGACGTCATGTGACATTTTAACTTAATCTATCACCGTAATTTCATGATTCCGAAAAAAATAAAAAATACGTATCTATCTGACCTGAAATTAGTCGTCATCCTCCTCCTTCTGTTGGTTTGTGAAGTCGTTTAAAAAAAGATATTTAGTCATAGAATTAGTAGCACATTAGGCTTAAAAAAAAGGTCAAATTCTACCAATCTATTTTAAACCTTATTCTACATAGATTTTCTAAAGCAAAATTTTGGCACCTTTTGGTTTCAAGTGGCGTCTGAGTCCGAGGTGAAATCAATCAAATCATGGCCCATTATTGGTATTTATTATTCCATGTATAGAGAAAAAGAATTCCTGTGGCCTTAAAACTTTCTATTCCTTTTGTAGATACCGCAAGATCAATTTGTTCGGAGAGTTTACCCGGACGCCTGCTCTTCGGCCAGATCTGGGTGTTTTCACGACGGACTTCGGTGTGACTTTTGCACACTACATCTGTTTCGACCTGTTGTTCCAGGTGCCTGCTATGCAAGTAGTAGATAAGCTGAACGTTACTGACGTTATTTTCCCCACCATGTGGTTCTCGGAGATGCCATATTTGAGTGGTAAGGTTATACTATTTTATCGGTTGTAAAATAATATCTGAAATGCTTGAGTGGGTTGAGTGCATGTATTTTAAATAGATTTTTATACGTTCTTAGACGATTCGATTATAAGACCGACACCACGAAGCCTCTAACTATTAAATTTAGCCCACTTTTAGCATGCTTACATGACAAACTTAAGACACACTTTTGGTATGTTCCGATATACACTGCGAGCACTGCGCAGTGGTCGTACTGCTGAAAAATCCGTTCCTATGGACTGCCAGTACACTGCTACTGTACCCTAGGGAAATTTATGACGTCATAAATTGCCGCCATATTTGTTCTGTGAGCACTGGAGATTTCGAGGTAAGGTGCTCGCAGTGCTTTTGATCACGTGATCAGTCGAAACAGAATCAGAAAATGATAAGTTTCTAAATAAACAAAAAAAATACTTACGTTTATTTATAAGATGGATTTAGTTGATAAATTCTTTTTTTATACAATTTTCCAATTTTCTTTTGAAAAGAGGGAATCTTTATATTTATATTCACCTTGCATTAACAAATTTGAAAATGGCGCCAAAAAATAGGATTAACAGTATACTGGATTGCGTTCCGTTTTAAAAAGTCACCAGTATAACTAGCTATAAAGGAACGGGCTTCCAGTATACTAAATTGACGTCATACTGGTCAGTGGTCGCAGTGTATATCGGAACATACCCTTTGTCTACGTCAAACGTCATTTTTCTCGGGTCGAGAGAGAGAGAGAGAGAGATATCGTATACGCGTGCTGTTTTCATTGATATCTACTTATAACAAAAGCTCAGAGAGAACAAAAGTTATTTTTTCCATATTTTACGCGAAGTCAAATGTCAGTGTAATATTAAACATGTTGAATGAAAATATATTAGCCAATTTCAATGATCCTTTTTCAGCTGTACAGATTCAGGAAGGTTATGCTTTTGCCATGGACGTCAACTTCCTTGCAGCTGGCTCCAATAACGTCAGGGTCGGAAGTTCAGGTGAGTGTTATCCGGAATTAATAGGTTGGGAAAAAGTATTTTCGCATATAGTACCTATGCATAAATCTATATATATAAAAATGAATCGCAAAATGTGTTGGTAAGCGCATAACTCAACAACGCCTCGACCAATTTGGCCAAATCTTTTTTTAAAATGTTCGTTGAAGTTCAAGGATGGTTTTTACGGCGAGAAAAATTAGAATTATTGCTGGAAAAACCCTAAAAATAGCCCTTTTCTTTTTCCCATACAAATGATTTGTAACTAAAACGTAGTCAATTTGAGCTTTATTGCTATGGTATAAAGTTCATATTAAATTACAAGCACTCACTGTTGTCTAAGCAATGTAGGTGTGTTCCTAACGTCAAAGATCATATCTATCAAAACAATGTGCGTGTGTGCGTTGGAGCACAGAATACATAGTTGGAGGAGTTTAATGTCGCGTTCCGAAACTCGCGTTTCTTTTGTATTAGTTTCGGCACGCGAGATAAAATGCATCAGTTTCCACGTCATTACATCAGTCAAACAAAAATCGCGTTACCAACAGTGTTTTATTATTTTTAATATCCAAATTTTAAATCAATAAAACAATTCGTACGGCTTAAAAGGATTTGACTTCAAGTCATATCAAATTTAAAAAAAAAAAAGTTGTCTGTGACCTAATCTACTGAGTTTGCTTTTGTCAACTGATACACGAAACAAATTCGTATATCGTGTTTTGTGCAGAGTGTTTACTTAGTTAGTGTTTGTTTAGTTCGTGATTAGTGAAAAAATAATTAAATCTTTTTGACAGGACGAAGTCTGTCGGGTCAGCTAGTATATAATATAATCTTTCTAGCTATACCATTTGCATATATCGGATTTGTAAAAACTTGTTTATGATATCGGTATCATAAACAAGTTTTTTTAAAAAATAATAAAGAAGATAATTCAGAATTCAAATTAGGAAGATGTGTGATTTTCATTTGTTTTTCTTACTGACAAAATAAGTGAATCTTATTCAGAAATTCGATATATTTTAAAATTTTGTTATATTTATATCGTCGTGTAATAAATAATTCTGTAGATTAAACCTAATCTAGCCATAAGTTCTGTTACAAAGAAAATATCCGATGGTTTTAAAAAATATTTTTATTTTAAAATTTTATTTGTGATTATGAAGAGTGAAAAAGATATGTTAACGTACTAAACTAGTTATTCAAAATGTCTACCCTTAGCTTTGACGCACGCTCTTAAACGGTCGGGCCATTCGTCGATGGATTTACGAACGGTTTCCATTGGAAACTTGGTCTCTGCTGCCTCCAAAGATTTCTTGAGCGACTCAATATTTGGGTGACGCTTAGAGCAGGCCATGTCTTCTGGCACTGACCACAATTTATGGTACAAAGGGTTTAAATACGGACTAGCCGAAGGCCAATCATCAGCCTTTATGAAGTATGGAACATTTTGTTCAAGCCAAATTTGGGTAGTGCACGCCTTATGGCCCGGGGCTGGATCCTGTTGGAATGCCCACACTTCGTTTTTAAATAAGGTGTTATTGAGAGGTTTAACTACCTCTTCTAACACAGTATCTTGATACACTTTGGCTGAAGTTTTCGCTCCTGTTTCGCAACAATGGATTTTTGTAACCTCTTGGTAGGAGACACCCCACCAAACCATGACGTATACTGGATGATGGCCTCGCTGAACTTTGGCTACTACCTCGGACTAATTCTTTAGAGCTGTGTGGATACAATCGATTATTTTATTTGTTGTAGTGCTCCTCGATTGTAAAAATTTTTTCATCGGTAAAAATATTTTTTCTCAATTTTTCGTCCGCGTATCGGAGTAACAGCTGTTTTGATCTTTAGACTCTCTTTTATTTTAATGCCTGATTTAAGGTATGTCCTGTGTATCTCCGGTAAGCCCCTAGACTTAAGTCTTGTTTGATAATCCAAAAAAGTGTCTTCGGTGGGATTCTCATTTCTCTGGAAAGGATTTTCTGCTTCTTTATGGGATTTCGACGAATTCTGGCCTTGACTGCATTGAAAACAAATAATTTCTAAACAAAAAACATACAATAATGGCGAGTAAGAAGTCTATTTTTTATCGTAGAAGATAGTGTTCGAAATTCAAATTACCTTTTTTTTAATGTATGTAAACAGTCAGTAACAGAATTTATGGCTAGACTAGGTAGTATGATAAAAACAAAACGCAATTTCATTTTGTTGTAAAGTCTTCATTTAAAGGCCAGTTATGTTATAGGGTCGGGAATATTCTCTGGTAAGGCAGGTGCACTGATTAGCACAATGCCTGGATTGCCGACTACAAAGCTTCTTGTTGCAACTGTACCGAAAATCCCAGGACAGGTTCGAAAATAACAATTCAAATTATATACTTACTTTCAATCACATTGTTATAAAATAATCTAAACGAATAGATACCACAAACACATAATTTAAGTATAAAAAATGTCGACGTAATTTAGAATATTCGTTACGAAAAATTAATAGTTAATATGCATCTAAAATTACTAAGTTTACGCTAGTTATAAATGATGTCTCTATAGTTAGTGTTCGTTTTACTCTTTTTCTCAAACACAAGTTGGTTTAAAAAAGTACAATTGTGGGAGTGATAAAAATACTTTGAGGTCACCAAAAAGTGATCCAGAGATAACGACACTAAAAATCCACATTGTGTGCAGATGTTTCGTAAATAGTTGAGTTGATTTTTAATACTATACCACCTAGTAAAAATAAGCGGCATAATAAATGTATGTTTAGTCCACGGAATAGTACTAAAACTATGTACATATAAGTTGAAGAAACTATTTTCTTCGTTCTTCCCTTTTTGATTGACGAAATTATTATTTGCCATAAACAGGTGACAAGCTCCCCACCTGGTCCTATCTACGACAACCCAGTAGACCATGATAGTTTGACACTCATCACCGACCCATCTCTGGAGTCTCATTTCACCAGATTGTTAACACCAGGACTGTCCCAGTTCACAATGATTTCTGGGGAAGTTATTTGCGTATTTAAAGTCAATATGACTGAGAACGAGCCGGAGACTGAGATTTCTGTAAGTAACTATCTATAACTTCCCGCAATTTGGATCCTTCTGATTCCTCATTTAATTCTACAAAAAATCCATTTCACGAATTTGTATGTGACATAAAGTATACACTTAGTGTGGAATCATTAGGTTTCATGAGTCTTTTTTCCAGAGCTATAAGTACCGTGCTGCAGTATTTAACGGAGTCCGCAGTTACTCCGGTATGGCGACAGGCGGCATAAGAGTTTGCTCCGTCATAGCGTGCACTGGAGATTCTCTTGACACATGTGGGAAGCGGTAAGTCAATTACAGTAAGATATAATAACTTAGGTGCTTCATTGAAGTACCAGCTTTGAAGAATAAATATTGAAGAGCGAAAAATTTCGGTCAATCACATAACGTTATAATATTGCGTGCTCTTACTCAGAGATACACCGAGCATTTGACCGAGATATTTGGTTCAGATGAACAAATTTAAGATGCCGAAAGTAATTTCAAAACATTGCTGTATTTTAAATATATTTGTACAGTGACCAGCATATAAGGTCATCGAAAACTGTCAAATGCAAAGCAATGTATGTGTTGTAAAAATTACAAATACTGGGTATTTGAACCCCATTATTCGGTTATGCTGACTACATATAATGTCAAGTAATCAATTGTTATGTTAAGTATCAAATAACAAGGGCTTGAATTCGAATAGATGGAAAAGATTGCTTGAAAATTTGTTGAAACAGTATTTGTATTTTAGATCGATTTACACCTAAAAATATTATTTTATCATAAATCTATAAAGTTCCTACGTATATAGGTAAATATGTTAATATATGATTTGCAAAACGCTTGAGAAATTTAGGAAAAAATAGTAGCATATTCAACGTTACTCAATCAAATGATTGAAATATTTTGTATATTTTAGCAATGATCCGTTTTGTCCAGGTTCCCTCAATACAAACTGAAGTCAACAGCAGTATTTCATGAGCTTAACATCATCGCCACTATGCCTACTCCAGTCATTGAAGATGAAATTCAAGCCAGAGATACTATTTACTTTCCACTATCCCTGGACACATCTATCATGCCTTTAGAACCTGATGACTATACATATAGCGAAGATATAAACGGAAATGTGACTACATATAGTATGTTTTTGGATAGATATGACAAAGAATTATACAGTTTCGCTATATGGGGAAGAATATTTTCTAGAGATGGGCAAGAAGAGGATCCTAAACTACCACAAGAAACTACGCTATCACCAACAGAAGAAACGACTGAGAATCAAGATGTAACCACTGAGCATCAAGATAATACCACTGAGAATCAAGATGATACCACTGAGCATCAAGATAATACAACTGAGAATCAAGATGATACCACTGAGCATCAAGATAATACCACTGAGCATCAACCCGATTCATCTGTAACTCATTTGATAAGCAAAACTATATTGATAACAACATTCATGCTGTTGATTAAGTAGAATTGCGAGTGCCATTGTAAATATTGATTTTTGAATTAAAACGTATTGTATGATATTAATAATACGTTTAATTGATCTTTGTGTGTTTCATTCTTTAACATTACCATTACCTGCTTTACTTGTAACTATGAATAAAAAAATTAGCTCAGCGCGGGTATAGTGGGTGATTACCGTCCCTTCTGACATAAGAAGGAGCTAGAAAATATAAATGTATGATTAACTAGCTTTCCGCTAGCGGCTCTGCCCGCGTGATCCGCTGGTACCTTACTCATAGATCTAAACTAACCTCCCACACGCGCACCCCCGCCCCGCCTTGGTGACGCCCACTTTGCAACGGGCCGAGCAGCAGGAATCGTAATATTTTAATTGCGCCAAACATCCAATTTTAATCATTCAAAGACCAAATATTTTCTATATAAACTGTACTTAGTGATGAAATAATATAATTTGATAAGGATTAATAGCATGAGTAAAATAAACGCGTTTAAATGTGGTCCAAATAAGTTCAAAAATTTTATAAAAAATATAGTTGTTGTGCCTCACTCGACATAGATAGGTATAGTGTGTCGCGGACTTTTTTGTAGATATTTATAAGATCTACAATGAATTAGAATATTTTATGGTTCTATCTTTTATAGTTTAGCAGCGTACGCAAAATAAGTAACTTTTCTAGTTGATTTTTTACACCTTGTGTCCGAAAAACCCAAATATGTTACGGCACCTTATTTTTTTTACAAAATAAAATATAGCCTATGTTGCTCGTGGATAATGTAGCTTGCAAATGGTGAAAGAATTTTTAAAATCGGTCCAGTAGTTTTGAGCCTATTCATTACAAACAAAGTTTTTGTCTTTATAATATTAATATAGATTAATAAGGTTTTATTTTAAATAATGGACCTATTAAAATAGACACTACATGAAACTTCTTTACGAAACAACATAACTATTGATTTTGCTACTTCATGCGCTCGCTCATGAATAAATTTCAGAGTTGATAAGATTGACCGCAAAATAAATAATATGATAAGATCGACATTGTATCTAAGAGCATACTTTGCCGAAAATGATAAATATTATACCTACTAAATGGATAAATAATTTGGATAAGTTAAAACGGAGCAGTCTTCCTTGTTTTTCAAAAAAAAAAAACAAAAAGTATATTATAATATTTTATTAAAAGCATATTTGTGTTTGTTTTTTTGCATCGAATAGGCTCCGAAACTAATGGACAGATTTCGAAAATTCTTTCACCCACTTGTTTAACACAACTTATAATCACTTACGCGTACGAACTCGCGGGACAGTCAGTATTGAGAATCGAATTAAAAAACACAGTTTCCGAGTATATTAATGTAATTAAGGCAATGTAGAGACTGATAAAAATTATTATAAAAAAAGAGTAAACAAATCATTCTTACAAAATAATAAATAATAAAAAACAAAAATAAGTTCTAAAGAAGCAAGATAAACGAGGACTACCTTTAGAACCAGCAGGCTTATTTCCTAACTTACTCAACTGACAATCTAACATTGTAATCACCGAAAAAAGTAAGCAACTCCAATGCGTTAAAATCACTTATTCGTATTTTATAACAAAGGTTTGTGATTTTGCAATGTCAATATCAGGAACTTCATTTTGACACTTAATCTTGTAGCGATAAACTGTTATTTCGTATTCCGTAAGCATTAGTGACCATGAAAGTTAACTTCAATTAGTAATTTCAACTAAAATTAAAAATATTTGCTATATTAGTGATTTATTAAAAATTAGATAAAGAGCGCTTAGACAAATTCTTAACGCGCTCACTAGTGAAAGCGTCAGCGTAAAACTTACACTTACCACTCTGAATATCAAAACCTCACGATGGCCACGTGCCCACGCAGTCTGAGTAGTAAGTATAAGTTTTACGCTAACGCGTTCAATACCAAGTACTAACTTCAGTCATCGTTTTATAAAAAGAGGTGTCCCATTCTCCAATAACCTGAAGGATTTACTGACTAAATAAAACTATAAAATTTTCTGCATCTTAATATTTTCCCAAAGCGTTTAGGGTGCTTACACAGCCTTTGAAGTTTTAGTTTCTGCTTTATAAAGAAAATAAAAATAATTTAAAAAAAGATGCCAATTGTTAAAGAAATCGTAAAGAAACATGCTTAAAATTCACCAGACCCAGATGCGATTCCAACTGACAACCTTTCACAATCTGGGTGATCACCCAGCGGCAGCAGTGGCATATCTTAACGTTTTTTTGGTGATACATTCAATTGAATATACATGTATTTAAATGTAATGAAGAGCCTTTACATAGTGATATATTATTAAAATATGCACATACGACAATTTGTCATATGTGCATATTATATTGGATACTTTTGCATAAATAAATTCTACTAGTTTTATATAAAAAAAACATCGATTTCAGCGACAATGTTCTAGCGCCTATAATGTTCTGATAAAACTATCATTTTCTTTTATATTAATGAAAAATGCTTAAAACCTACTAGGGACAAAGTGTTTTTTTTGCATTGTTCATTAAAAATATTTTCCAGTATAATAACAACATAACCAGAAATATAATCTGTACAATTAAAAAAAAAGAAACGTTATTCTTCTAAGGGTTTTGTCAAAGTAATAAATATTATGTTACACACATTATCTCTATAATATTAATAAAGATGTTTGGTTGTCTTTCAGAGTGAAGTGTCACCTTTTTTGTCACACCACACCAATGATTTTGAGGATAAATTCTCGTAATAATATTATATATTACGTTTATAGTAGGCATAAATTTATATACGCTATAATGATAACAAGAGTATTCATTTGCTTTGCGCTCATCTCGCAATATCATTCAATCATATATGTATATATAAAGTGGGGCAATTTTATCTCACATTTAACAGTGGTCTTTTGTAAATTGAAGAACATATACGCGACGAGATAAAGGAGATCATAATTGGTGTGCTGAATATAAATAAATAAAAAATGGTTCAAACTAAAAGAGTGCTAGCTATTTACACTGGAGGTACCTTTGGAATGCTGAAAAATGAAAAAGGGGGTAAGCTTTTCCTTTATTTTTACTAATTTACGATTGATATAATAAGTATTCGTATGAGAAAAAATATATGAAAATCTTAAATATAAAATGTTGTATAAAAATTTTGACTTAATACTGTTATAAATAAAAAAATACTTAAAAATCCACCGGCCCAAGGTACTCTGAGATGTGATTCCGATTGATTGATTCGAACGACTGCGCAATCTGATTACGAAAGGTCGTGGGTTCAAGTCCCATCTCAGAGTACCTGCGGCTGGTGAATATTTTAAGTATTTTTCAATGGGAATATTTTCCAGTAAAGCATTGAGAATACAAAATTGACCAAATATAATAACATGAACTGTTTTTCAGATTTTAAAGCTATTGGGATGAAATTTTGGCAACTTAATGATTTAATAACTTTTTTTTACAAAAGTTATGAGAAAAATTTGGTTTAGTTTTTCACTAGATTGCTCTGACGTGACGATGTCACATGGAAGGGACAAAAAAAATTATTACAAACTTTAGCATAACATAGACATAGAAATGTTAAATTCATTTTGGTAAATATATTTATTTTAGAATTGATGAGAGTAATATAAGACAGCATTTTTCACTATTTTTATAAAAAAATGAGAATTAACAATATATTAGTTAGGTTTTTTTACTCCAGCTGTCAAATGCAATGGCCAATGGCCTTATTAGTCCACAATACCTATGTCGTTGACGAATGACATTGAGCTATTGATCTTAAGGTAAACAATACTGACAATTAATATGTAATAAGAGGTTAGATGAGTGAGAAAGAGATAACTGTAATCACTCTACTATGATGTATAGCCGCTTATGCAATACTACAATATTTTTTTCGGGTAATATAGGTTATCGTATATCAAAAGGAAAGATTTATTTTATTATCTCTTGTGATATATGAAAATTGGATGTTAACAAAAATCAAAAGAAGGGAATAACCGCGTTTTTATTTAAATCTGTATTTTTTAACATTTAAACTTTTGGCCAATGCCTAATGTTCCTACTGTTGAGCACATGCCCCAAATAAATAATTACATCATATTTTCTGGTTGATTTTTGATAAAACAATTAATTTTAAAACAATATCAATAGATTCATGTGAAACACCTATAAATCGTAGATTATAGCTACGACTACGGTTACGTCCATGAGTTAGGCGGTCGCACCCCATGTCTTTCTGAATATCTCAAAAGTTTTGATGAACTTTTTAATCTTTATTTTATATTTATGATAAAATGGTTCTAGGTTAACGACTGTATAAATACGAAATAAAAATCGAGCAATTATATTAGTATCCGCTCTAGAATATCCACCAAGGTCTACAAAAAAGTCAGTTAAAAATACTAGGTATATTTAATTTTTGTTTTGCAGTTCTGGTGCCACAGAAGGACATAGAGAAAGTTATTCGTAAATTGCCACAGCTACACGACGAAGAATATTGGAAGCAACACCTTGAAGGGACAGAAAAGAAAGACTATCTTGCCCTGCCAGGTAAATCAACTTAAGATTCTCTACTATACCTAAATATGTGCTAGAAAATCCACAAAATATTTATATAAATAAAAAATAAAAGGTGACTAATCGACAATCAGTTGTATAAACATCCACTAAGGTTTAATGACGCCTTTAAGAAGGGATTTTGAGAATTCGACTTCTTAGGGTTACTTAAGGGTTTGATAATCATGTTATTCACGCAAGCGAAGCCGCGATTATATAGTAAACATATAAGAAACTTAGTATATTTTATAACAATGCTTAATACTCTTTTCAGATGGCAAAGACACAGAACTTAAAGTTTTATATAAAATACATGAATATGATGAACTCAAAGACTCATCTGACTTCACCCTTGATGACTGGATAAAGATGGCTCGCGATGTTAAGGTTACTGTATAACATAAGCTTTACTAACCAAAGATTATCGTATAAATTTTCATATCCCAAAAATGTATCTACCTTAACTAGGTACCTTAACTTGAGGATTGAATGTATTTGTTGCAGAGGTTTTATTACGATTATGATGGGTTCGTGCTTCTCCACGGTACTGATACCACTGCTTACGGCGGCTCCATATTGTCTTTCATGTTAGAGACAGTGGGAAAGACTGTCGTCCTCACTGGAGCGCAGGTTAGTAGAATTTATATTTATTTAAGATTGTTAACACTATTGGAGTTAAACGGAAGAAAAAAGAGTAAGCTATGATTATTATCAGACCCATTCCCGCACTAGGATGAACCTAGTTTCTGAAATGAGAATTTAAAATCATTACATTTGATCAATTTTGCGTTCACAATGCTATACTGAAAAATATCATCATCATCATCATCAGCCGGAAGACGTCCACTGCTGAACATAGGCCTCCCCCTTTGAACTCCACGACGGACGACATTGCGCCAGCTGCATCCAGCGGCCTCCCGCGACTCGGACGATGTCGTCCGTCCATCTAGTCGGGGGTCGACTGAAAAATATACTTAATGAAAAATGCTTAAACATTCCACTTTGCCAAAGGTCATGGGTTCGTCCCATCTTCGAGTTCCAGGGATAAAATGCAATTTTAAGCATTTTACATTGAAAATTCAAAATTAGGCATATCTCAAACCGTACTTAAATGTCACTTGAACAGGTTTGCGTTTCTTATTTTGGTTTTTTAATAACCAGTTGATAGCATTTTGATAAAATTAGGAGTTTTTGCCTCGTGATCCGTAAAAAAACTTTAGTTATTGAGTTGAGATTTTGTACTTCTCTTAATTCAGAAACCGGTCGATAGTCATCCCCGTTTCACTTAGCGTAGGTAGGTAGTAACTGATAACTGTTACAATATAGAAAAAATGACTACAAAGACTATACATATAGGAATCTGGTTTTGTCGGGAACACTTGTTCCAGTATTTGTTATACTGGATATATTATTTTGATTGTATTTTTTTTTAAAGAATAATTTAGCTTACGGTAAATACTCTTTGTGTTGTTACGCTTTAAAAACCTTTAATGTTGGTTTATATTATAGGTACTGATTTTAAGACTGTTCTGTGATTCATATTACAGTTTCCTTATTTTTTTTTATTAAGAATGCAATGATATTAATATGTCTAGATACGCAATACATACCAAAAATCTGAAGCTACTAAAACTAAGACGTTTGTCTTAGTTTTTTCGTTTTTCACTTCATTACTCATTCAACTCCCGCCAAGAAAGTACAAAAAAATGCTCCGCAAAAACGAAGAAAAACAGTGGACAAAATAAGATTCTCTTTCACAAATACACATAATACGAAAGAATATTAAGTTTCACACTTAAGTCATTAACATTTTTGGCAATAAATACAAAATTAAAGCTAGGTTATAAAATAAAAATATTTAATTTTCACAAATAAAATTTCGACATTTTGTCGTCAGTGCTGCCACTGCTATTCACTTTCAATTTTCCCAAGTATATGGGAGCCTTTTCATATTATTTTACGTGGCTATATTTAGATAAATATATAAACGTGGCTATATATATTTATCTAAATATCTTTTTATAATTAATTTTATAGCTCAGCTTAGGTATAGGCAACTGCGCTAATTGTGTTGATATTTTTTTTATATACGCACACAGATGCTAATGTGGTTTATTTTTTCAATGCGTGGTATTCGTTAGTTGTCGAGATACAACTTTACTGAAAATACATAAAATTGAACCTTTGTTTGATGTTTTATGAACTTTGACAAATGTTTTTGTCTTAACCACTGACTTTATCGAAAAACAAAGGGATATATACATGCACAGACCCTACTTTCGTGATTGTTTTTTTTTTCAAAGTCTTTTCAAAGAAATTTTCATAGTTACAGTATTTTACTAATTGATTTTATACATATATCAACACTACTCATTAATTCATTCATTCATCACAATGGGTGAAATTTTCGACAGCTGGCAATACAATATCAATTACCCATTTTTCCGTTCATTCTGTCGTTCGCACATATTCTGTCTTTGTTTAATTTAAAGTTTAATCGTAGATATGAGGGAGACAAATATAATAAATCTATTTATAATATATAGTATCTATATTATTTGCAAAGCTACGTCCTGATTTCGAAAAAGTGCTACGCTTTTTGGCGAGTCTGTTGTATGGGATTGCTTCTCTAGTTATTAAACTCATTGTAAGAATGAAACTAAAATTATGATTTCTGATCATCAGGTTCCTATCTTCCAGCCGCGAAGCGATGGCAATAACAATTTTTTGTGTGCTATTTTAATAGCAGCCACTCAGCATATTCCAGAGGTGACAGTCTTTTTCGGAGCAAAGCTGTTCAGGGGAACTAGGTATGAAATAATGTTTTGAATAGTTTTTAGAATTGAAGACAATTGATGTAATACTATTCTAGCAAAGGAAGTGAGTCGCGATGTCAATAGAAATCGTTACATAGCGATTGCAAAGCTCACTTACTGAGCTCCCAAATCAGATCGCTAGAAAACAAAAGAATATAGATAAATTTACAATTGAATTCGGTTCGCGAGTAACAAAGCTATCATACATTACTTTTAGAGATTTGCAATAATTCTTACATACATTCGCTGTGAGTAAGCGATCGAATTATGTTAAATTACGATGGCAAACTCTGTCGTATCTGCGTGCCTTAATAGATTATTTATATCGACGCTGGAAAGCAAACACGTAGTAACCTGCAAAACCTAAATGGTTATTTAGAGTGGAAAATCTTTATATTTTTCCAAAAAAATATCTTATTTCTGTATAAATTGACTAAGGAACACCTTATTTGTTACCATGGACGTTTATAGGAATATTTTATCGAACAAAATGAAAAAAATCTGCTCAGAACAACAATTTTGATTTTGCGGGTTACTACGTGTTTGTTTTCCAGCGTCGATATACAAATGTCTCCCATCCTAACGAAAGTACATTTTTTGTTGAGCTATTTTAGTTATACCCTTGTTTCTTGACTGGAGGGCGGCAATTTAAGGCTATGGCTTGTACATTTAGTATTATATTAAATACTAATATCAGCCACTAGTTGAAAAAAAAAATGGCAAGCAGTAAAGCAAGCTTTTCAAATTTGCCTTTTTTTCCTTCACAGAGTAAAGAAGGTTTCCAACACTCGCATATACGCATTCGATTCTCCGAATTTCCCGCCACTACTTGAAGCCAAAACGACATTAGAAGTGGACCCCAAAATGTTGATACACCCACCGGGAACTGTACCCGATGAATGCAGGGTGCACGATAAGTTATCAAGGAAAGTCTATGTGCTGAAAGTAGCACCAACTATCACACCCGAGATCATTAGAGCAGCTTGCGAAGGAATGGAAGGTAGTTCATCAACATTATGAGCTAATTAACGTCCCTATCTCTTGGGCTCACGGCACGCCCCATGAAAGAAATACAGGGAGGGAGAGAAAGATGAAGGGTGATAACTCATAACGCGGATTCAGTGCGGATTGACGGGTACTAGCGAATGTACATATGACAAAAAAATCCCGTACATTATATTACGTTACAGCAACTAGTGTAAACACGCCATTTTCGTGCTTTCTGAAGCAAGGGGCAAGTCAATATAATAAAGCATAAGACCCGGTTTCCGAATTAATAAATTACTGTACTTAAACGTCACTTAAACAGGTTTTCGTTTCTGATTTTAGTTTTTCAGTGATAGCAGTTTGACAAAACTAGGACTTTTTGATTTGTGTAACAAAATCACTTAAGTTATTGATAATAAACAAATCAGATCAGATTTTGAAAGTTTCTCAATTCAGAAACCGGTTTTAAGTCATCTGTGTCATCTATTCAGTTTGAGAAGCTGCTTGCAATCTCAGCCCGAATGCGTTAATCGGTCCGTTTGGCACCTCAATTATTATAAACGCAGTAACGTATTTGAACCAAAATGCTGGCTTCACAGTAGCACATTATCTCAATGAGGAGTGGGAGCGAGACACGGCGTGTCCCCATAGCAACTCATTTATCGGGCGATTATCTATGACCGAAGATAAAAACATGCGCGGGAAATAGCCATTTTGGTTCAACTTTATAGCTGTCTTGTGTGGTAAAATTGTAGTGTTTCATAAATATACTTGCATAATGTGAGAGCATAATTATAAAATGATTGGCCTCTTCTCACTGACAAAGTACGAAGAAGGGGTTTTTGGAAATTCAGCCCCTAAACGGCTTAAATATTTACCGCTATTTTTGAACAACTGATTGTTAAATTGTGCTATAAATAGTCGGTAAAAATCCATTTTGGTTCAATTACGTGTCATGCATTTTTACCGCGCAAACTATAGTCAAAAGTGAAGAGAATTAGTTTCCTAATATATTAGAATCTGATCTGAGGTGTTTTACAAATTCAGATCTATGATGAGTGATATTGAACAATATTGGAATTACGATAGCTAATTTCATTAGATAGACCTAATTATGTGCCAACTCCATAGTCTAATATTTCATTAGTTATTGTAATGGGTATATAGCTTTATGTATATAGCAATACGCTTTGTGTGCAGGATTGGTTCTAGAAACTTATGGAAACGGGAATATTCCAATCAAGAGGAAAGAAATTTACAAAGAGATCGAGAGAGCAGTGAAGAATAAAGTTTTGGTGGTGAATGTCACACAGTGCATCAACGGGACAGTCTTAGGAAAACCACTATATGAAACTGGATTGGTAATTTTGCACTTTCAAATTAAATGAAAATGTTAGACAACATCACATATATTGCTCAAATTCCACACTTGGACCAGGGACCAAGTGGATTTTTTAAGCATTTTGTATTAAGAATAATTATCAGTATGGCACTGTGAATGCTAAATTAATCAAATATAATAATTGGATTATAGAAATCTGAATCAACGAAAGTTTAACAACACCCAGACCCGTGACTGTATAGAAAAGTCTGTTTGACACATTGACATGACTGGGAATCGAACCTGGGACCTCAAAGATGGCGACACCTTGAAATTGACGTTCGAGCTACTCGGCTACGGAAGTCGTCCAAATATACAGATGAATATGCAAACGCATATTCATCTGTATATTTAATTATGCCTGGTATTGTTTCAGTTGCTATTGGAATGTGGCGTGGTACCATCATTTGATATGACGACAGAGGCGACGTGGGCTAAGTTATCTTACGTCCTTAGCAAGACTGAACTTAGCTATGAACAGAAAGTCGAGGTAAGGGCATAACATATTAAGTTTATATAGGTATCGGCCAGTCTATGGTTGAGGTTCATATCATTATACAAGGTCGAGTTCTGCTTACAATTAATAGTATAATATTAACAGTGATTTATACTTAAATTTGAGGTAATAAACAATGACCAAAGAAGAATGGCGAAATCGGACCCCATAATTTACAAAACCGTTCATGGATGACAATATGACAAATAAATAATATATGATTAATAGATTTTATTTCTACAAAATGGTGAATTTTAATGTCGGGGAACCAAACTAAAATGTTAAATGCTGCTAATAATTATCAAGATAACAAAACGTCTGATGATAGTGCAAAAACAAAACGCGAAAATCTTCTTAAGAAACGTTCTGGTCTACGCAGAAGTACTTTAATAATAAAACTATATCTTGGAAATGTTTCATGAATTTTGCGCCGGGCAATAAAAGGGTCATCTATTTTAATGGATATTATCGTTTCCTGTACATTGCAATTAATTCTATTGCCTTTAAAGTACCATTAATACGCTTAATAATCGAATATAAAGTCAAAATAAGATTGTATAGAATAGATTCCGTTTTCTTTAATTGTAAACCACACAATATATCAAAGGGTTGTAGTTTGGATGGTTTTTGAAAAATCGATCACATACATCAACGATGTCAGAAGCGATTCTCAATTAATCGCGAGTTTTTCAAACATGTTCTATAGAATATTATCTGTTGCCATTTACTGCTAATAATAAGTGAGATATGTGATATAATGACGTGTACCGACTGAGCGAATGAACGTCAAATATATTATGTATATTCAATATAAAATCTATATAATATAATATATTATATTAAATACGGTCTTTGAATACTTTCATAAATATTAATTTTATTCGTTCAAATTACGTATTGAATACTTGAGAAATAAAAAAATTTAAAGCTAAGATACCACAACCGATTTCAGAAGATTAAGATTATTGCAGTTCTGTAGTTGATCCGATGAAGGTTAACATATCGATTATTTTGTTCTAAATAATCGATTGGTTGATTTTATTTTGACATGTGTGTTTTCATCTATGATTGTTCTATGATGATGATGGTGAAATGATAGCGGATGATTGGTTTGGTTTGTTTTTTGCGTGTTCGTTCGTGGAGTTTGATATTTATGTTAATATTCAACTTGACAATTAAGCATGTTTCTTCGACTAACGTTGATATTTGCATTACTTTTGGATTCCGAATGACAATTGATTCGGTTATAACAATGACAGTTCATGGTACATTGCTCTTGTTTGTCACTTTCAGTTGTAATGATTTAATTAAAAGCAAAGGGATCTACTCCACACAGTTTAGTCATATGTTATAAATGTTTCTTCTATTATAAGTGTCTGGATATTGTTAGATATGTAATTATTTTAATCTAGTTTATTAAACGGAGTAACCTGGTTACCATTTTTATTCATTTTAACGTCCATTCAACGAAAAAGCAAAGATGCAATACATAACCCCACAAAGTATTTTATGCCATATCTTTTTAATCCCAACTTTTAAAAGAAAAAGACGATTAGGATTTTGTTAGTTGAGCTTATACCTTCAAGTACACGTTTATTTCATTCATGAACGGGACTTTAAAAATTCAGGTCCAAAGCTATATGGGAGTTCGCCATTGTTCTTTGAGTCTTTAAGCTTCTTTCAACCAAAGTAAGGTCAATAATTAGATCAAAACTAGTAGACCACTTTCTTGGCTGACTGTACTCCAGATTACCACAGTATGTCAAATTTGTCCAGTTGATTTTAAAAACTGCTCTTAGATCATTAATGTTTAAAATTAAGTGGAGAAATTTGACTACCACTTTGGATACCCTGGGGGCCATCGATATAAAGACACGGGGTAATTGTCCTTTCTTGAGAAAGGTTAATTATTCTTACAAGTTGTTAGTAAAAACTATATCATCATCAGCCCTTTTACGTCTCCACTGCAGGGGCTCAGACCTTCCTTATGGATGGTTAAGCATCCTCCTTAACCATGACCCTCCACGCTGGCCCAATGTGGATTGGAATGTATTAACAACTGCAAATGCAGCCGGGACCAACGGCTTAACGTGCCTTTAGAAGCACGAAGTAGCTCGAGAGAATAATTTAATAACAACGATCGCGGGCCGCGGCGCTTATCAGAGGAGGCGTAGAAACGCCACCGAGCAAATTAACATATACCATAACATAAAAAAAAACTATATACCCTTTCTAAAAGTTACACATAGCGTTGTTCACTTCATTCCAATGTAATTTCGAGTGAAAAATATTGGTAAGGCCGTAAGTTTTAAACTTAATATTTTTACGCGCCTATTAAGTTTTTGTACGATAATTTATCATAACTATTTTATTAAACTACCCACATTTATTTTTAGCTTATGAAGACCAATATACGAGGAGAGCTGTATAATCCGAATCATGCAAATAACTAAATTCTTCATATTCTTTTAAATAAGATTAATATTAATTAATTTAAAACGAATCCAATAAATCAAATCATTTATTGCATATAATAAAAGTCTTTTTATTTCAAAAATAAACATTTATTACAAACACACACTCATATTAAGTGAAATCCAAAGTAATTAAAATTGTAATTAAAAAACATGTCAACATATTTAAATGAACATTCATGGTACATTGTGTACCATTTATTGTTTTTTTCCAAAACCTACAAAAAGGTAATAATAGCAAAGTCATACAAACCATTTATTATATACAACAATTATAATCGTAGCCGACAAGCCCAATAATATCATTATAAAAAAGATTCTTCTTATTATATTTGTGTCAGAGTTAAAAATTCTCTGTAAGCTACCAATTGGATTCTACGACATACATTAAAAAAATATGTTTACACTAATTTAAAGGCAGTGTCTTTTATATTAGAACACTTTGAAACCCCTACAGTATAGTAATCCTCTAAAGTCTGAACAACTTCATCTTTCTTAGTAGTACAAAATCTATGTATTAAAAAAAAAAAATTTTCTATTGTAAGTTCATAAAAAATATTTTGAAATCTACGAAGATAGATAATTTAGCATACAATCGTCGCACGTTTATATCCAGTTTCTATAAAGATTTATTAAACACTTATTACAAATTATTTAATAAAATATATATGTATGTTTAAAAATTAAAGCAAATGATTCTCCGAGTCATTATAATATGATACTTTTAGCATTGGTGATGATAATCTAATTATAATTGATATTAATCATGAGTTTTGTGTTGTCAGCTTTGCTGGTAACACTTGGTAACTTTTTAAAAGGTTGTCTATATTAAGGCAGTTTCACAACAGCAGTGGTAGGGCGATAAACATGTGTGCCAAAATTGATATTTTTTGAGGCGACGTAAATATTTGAGGCAATTGAAATTTGATTTGCGAAATTTCAATTAGTTGCGATTTTTTTGTAATATAAACGGTATCGATTTGTGAATAGAGTGTGTATTAATTTGCTTATTACTCTAACAGATATAGACAATCACAGATTTACACACTTAATAGACAACCACTTAGTGGATATACGACAAAGTGTGAGATGGTGATTAATTTAGATTTTAGAAGCTTCCAGATCGTGATATGAATTTGTGAAAACTTTGTCTGATTTAAATTTTAACGGATCGCATTCATTCCTTGTTGCTTGTCCGGTGTGAAACCACCATTAATAATCACGAATTGTAGTTTCATATTCGAGTATTACAAGTAAATCACCAAGCGCAAAAACTATACTATCAAACCATTTACATTTACTTTAAGCTATTGTTTCAAATAAATTAGTTATACTTAAACACATAATGGTACAACATTAAATAAATAGATATTCATAACGACAAATAATAATATTAAGTAAAATACATTGTAAATAAATTAAATCATCTAATTTGTACTATGATTGTACGCTATTACAATACATAATAATTATAAAAAGTAATTATTGATAAGAGTTAACGATTTGTTCTTAGATGTAGTAAGGAAAATGTATAAAGCAGTTGTATTAGTAAGCGAAGGATAGAAAATGATTATCACATTAGACCGACAAGCTGTGTTTTATATAAACTTAGGTAAGTATATTTTGGGTACAGTAAGTATATTTGAAAATATTCTATAAATTGACATGAAATTGTTCTATAAAACATTATTTGTTATTAACTACTTCTTAAAGTGGAGGTGGGATTGTAAGGCCCGTTACACACAACATAGAAGTGTCAATTAAAGCCAGTATGTTTTTGAAGATTCTTAATCGCAATTAAAATGCAGCCGGACACAATTTAAACTATTTTGCAATGACTATTAAAAGAAACAAATTAGCTAACTGTACAGCATGTTATTCTTATTTTATATTGATTTATAGTAATTAAATTAACATTTTGAATGTAATCAATATATGTCGTGTGTGATGGGTTGTAGGAATATTCTACTGTGGCATGGCACTGACCGGTACGGGATAGAAAATTGTGGCATTTAACAAACTGTCACTTCTTTTTTCTTGGTCGATGTAGCCAGCGAACTGACATTGGCAGTGTCATCTGGAAAAAAAATTGCTATAAAGCGACAGTAATATTCGAACATATTACATACTATACTAGCTTTCCGCCAGTGGCTTCATCCGCGTGTTCCAGTATCGTACGCACGCACGCACGCACGCACATGCGCACTAACACACACGCATACGCCCACGCACATGCACACGCATACACACACATACACATATACAAAGAGAGAGAGAGAGAGAGAATTTCTCATTTATAATATGGATCGTATGGGTTGGTCTGGAACGCTTAACGTTGTGACGCAAACACTATTACAGTCAGTGCACAATAGTCCTTTTAAATTTTCATTACTTTGAAATGACATTACCCATACAAATTTGATATTCATTAGATCTTAAAGGCGTCATTAAACCTTAATGGACATTTATGCAATTGACCGTGAGTGTACTAAATTTAGTTAAAATTTTAAGTATAGTAGTTTAAGCGTGAAAACGCACAAATAGACATGCACACACAGAAAGAGAGAAAATCACTTTATCATTAAATATACGGATAGTATGAATGCGTGGTCTGAAACACTCACCGTTGGGATGCAAACGCTTGAGCACGGCGGTGAGGTCGAGGCCGGTGAGCGTCTTGAGCGCGGGCGGTATGCCGGACGCGAGACGCGCCACCTCGCCGGTCGCGCCCGAGTCGCCCACCAGCACTATCTCGTCAGTGCGCGCCAACGGGGCGGACACCTCTGCCGCTATCTGTTGTTTACAAACAGTACGCACGCATTAGTCAAAGCACACTTGAGTAGCTCGATGGCGTAATGGATAAACGCCTCGGTCTGCGAGGTCGAAACCGAAAAATTCTATCTCGGCCACCTCCTTGCTTCGGAAGGGACGTTAAGCCATCTGTCGCGGCTGCATTTGCAGTCGTTAATACCCTCCAATCATGGCCCATCCTAATTAACCTTCTATAAGGAAAGCCTGAGCAGCAGTGGAGATGTAAAAGGGCTGATGATAAATCAAAGGTACTAGAAATATTATCATGGGTGTGCCGAAGGGAGATACTGGTTACGCTAAAAGTTGATAGCCCAGAACTCAGATCTGCAATATCCCTTAGAGAGTTTCTTGTTGAGGATGTTTTCGCTTGGCTTGGTTATATAATATAGAAAGTCAAAGGATGGAGAGTGAAACTGAGATTACGGAAATGATGGATAGCTGTGCAAGCAATAATATACATAAATAGGGAATAAGAGATAAGATGACAGCTGATCATTACAACAATCTTAAAGAATTTAGGAAGTAGAAGGAATTGAACGCATATATTATTTCTCTGTACGTTTTGTGAATTATTACATAATGTATCTTGTACATGTACCGTGTTCTTTATGGATCTCGTACATAATGTACCTTTTTTAAAATTAATGTTGCAAAAACATTTTTTTTTTATTTATCTTGACTTATGAGGAATTTAATGGAATATGATTATAAAACAATGGTTGACAAGACACATATTTTTAAAATAAATATAAATCATATATTTTTCCAGTTTATTCAAATTATTTCGTACAATACAAAAAACCCTGATATTTGTTACCTTAAAATAAAAACCATTATAACAATATTTACCTTAGGCAAAGCTTCGAGGACGAGTGCCATGAGAGCAGCGTCTCCATACTGCTTGTAGACTTTGGCCTTCGCCAACATACGTTCGGCGTCGGCCTTGCCTACGTCACCGATCGCAGTGGCCTCCGCTAGACCGAGCACTTTGATGCGTTCGGCGTCAGCTTTAGCACCTTCCACTGTTTGTGTACTGCAAAGGAGAAATGCTAAGAAACTGATTATCAATTATACAACATAAATACAAATAATTCCGATCAACACGGGAAGAAATCAATAACCCTTAAAGAAATTAAGGCTAAGTGAAAAGACAAAAGTCCCTTTCTCTCTTATTGCATTCGGCATTAAGAAAGATACGAACACAGGATGAAAAATTTTGGTGTTAGAATTTTTACACTTCAATAAAGACATAAAGTATTTGCCAAAGAGATAAGTCAAGTCGCCACTGTGCTTATTGAATTGTATATAAAAAAATTGTTGATGTAATTTGTTTCTACTTGTAACTAGTCTTCTGTTATTACCGTTTTCCTTCAGCTATAGCCTGCAGACGATAGGCCTCCGCTTCAGCAGGCAGACGAACGGTAGCCACCAGTTCTTCTTCGCGACGAAGAATTTCCTGTTGCTCCACCTAAGATAAAGAAAACAATTGACTTTGAAACTTGTGTTCGAATTCCTAGGATATGTGAATTGTCTTAGCCGACAATTCCCAAAAGTGCTCACCAAAAAAATGTCATATTCGTTTATTCAACGGAGTAATTTTTTTTATTCAAGCTTTTATTTAGTTCACACGTCATTATATGTATTTTTATAGAAATAATTAGATTTAAAACTAACTACAAAGTGTTTTAGTATATTTTAAAAGTCTAATATTTATAACATCTTTAATATTAACAAGACAAGTGGGGGTACCAGATCCTGGTACCAAAAGTATTATACGGTTAAAAAAAGAACAAGTTTCACAAAAAATATATTTAAAAATACATACATATTAGGCTACGATGGGAAATTTTCAAATAATGAAAAATAGACCAGGTGCTGAAGATTACAAAAGGTGTTCTTTAGGAAAATTCCTTGGAAGATAAAAAAGGCAGCTTTATAAGCTGTTGACTTTAGACAGAATTCTACATCTAATAGAATGACCGATGGTTCATCGATTTGATAAATTGAGTTAAAAAAAAATATAAACAGTGCGTAAATGATTGTTATAGCAAAATCGTATAATCGAACATAAGTCCGTAGAATGAATGCTCTAATTCCAAGTCGTAATGGCACGGAATAAATGTTTTCCTACAAGACTCTGTGTAACGTAGCGTTCCGTTCGCTTTATAAGTCTGAGGCTTTACATAGTTGAGAGTTAAAGTGACCCATTTTAAAGGCAAAGTAGCATTTCGCTTCGATTATTGCAAATGCTGCTCTTTGAGAGTGCACATATAGGCAAGCAGAAAACACGAGAAAGATGATAGCTTCTCAAGTGAAATAGCATAATCAAATTATTTGGAAAATTTTCTCAATTTTCACACCTTTAGTGACCCATGCTTTTTTAATTCTCACAATAAAAATAGGATAATTATTACGAACTGTAATGGATTTTAGAAATATAAAATAATTTGCCATAATGCAATTTTAAAAGCCGGTCACGGTAAAGTAACATATTATGCCTTTGCGTTGGTTAGAACGCCTTGAAGTTCCAAATGGCCAAAAAGGCCAAAACCGGGTCTTCTGCCGTATCCTTTTTTTTTATTTTATTGAAAACCATTTAGTCACGTTTTGCAGCGCTATTCTATTAAAAAATCATTACATGGTCCACCAAAATAAAATACAAAAGGTTATAAAGATTATATTTTGATTGAACCACTGTAATGTTGTGTGAAGTAGTTTTCAATGCTGCGTTTTAATAAAATGTCAAAGCTGTAAGTATCCTTTCAAAGTGAAACTACTATTTGCATGTAGAGCAACATCCCGTATCGCAACTTCAATTGCATATCGTTTAATAGCTCAATGGTAAAACCTCTCGGTGTAGAAACTCACTTCAATTTGTTTTCGGCGCTCGACTACTTCGATTTGGATTTCTTCGTTTCGAATTTTCTGCTTGATCTTCGCTGCTTGAAGTTCGTAAGCCAACGCTGCTTCGGCTTTCTGCAAAGGAATTGTGCAAATCGTCTATTTAATAACTATTCTAATTAGCGAAAGAGATATGCTGTGGGAATTTGTTTTATAATAAGCAATAATAATTTTACCGGGTCCACTCTTGATGGACTTACGTTCAGATTTGCACCGACAGTTAAAGGTTGTTTTCGTCCCAAAAATCCCCCAAACGCTTAGCAAACAAATAAAAAACGCAAATACAGTAGCGCGCTTGCCAAACGTTCCTATGGAATTGGAAATGTATATTTAAATAAAACGACTATTATACTTTACGGTTAAAGTCAAATGTGTAACATCTTCCAAGTCTGTTACTGTTAATAATTAAGTTGTTTATTTTTGAGTTCCAATTCCATTATAATACAGTGGAGTTTCAATGCTCGAAACAACTCTGTTCAAACCGGCCAATATCGTTTTTGAAACAGTCAAATAGGACCGTAACACGTAATAGTAGTCCCAGAAGGTTATAATTACACATACATACGTATTTTATCTTATGTTAAATTACTAACGACACTTCAAACCTCTGTTGAGGAGTGTGACAAATTATGCCCTGATGCCGTTTAACATTTGGGGCCGAGAAGAGGGAGCTATTAATGGTTCCTCCTTCGTCATGTTCACGACCATTAGTGGAATATTACCATTCAATTAATCTATGAAGATAACATATGCATAATTGCATAATGCATAAAAATATATTTTAAAAAATTATAGATATCTAATAAGTTGATGTTTGGATTTCATATTAGTTAATATGTGTCATATAATATTAAGTTTTAATTATTATTACAGGCAATTTATAGATCTAACTCGCACAGCCTAAGGAAATATTTTCTATTTGTTTTTGATTTGTATTGTTTCATTCTATGTTCAGTTGGCATTTTTATGTTTATAAAATAAATATACCTGTAAGTATGTTTGGTTTTGTTTCATTAAAGTGATACTCACAGCAGTGTTGACTTCCTGGTCGAACTGCGCTTTCTGCAGTTTGAATAGTCTCATGTTGTCTTCGATTCTTGTGTCCATTGAGTACTTGACGTCCATAGCACTTTTTTCGCATTCCGCTTCCTAAAAGACACAAAGAAGTAATAATTAATATAAATATCTATCGATACGAACCTTCTACTATCAGTAGTTGGTTTCACATCATTTCTAGATTACCGTCCTTTTATTTTATAAAACTATTTCGCTAGAGGTGCAGTGTTAAGTGTTATTTAAATACCGGTATTAAAACTTTGTTTATGAAGGTATGTACATATGCAAGTATTCCTAAAATGATTTATTACAAGAAGCTAGCGGGCGAAGTTTAATTAACTCATAATAGAACTAAGATTAGAACTAAGTATGTGTCTATTTTCTGCAGTATGAATGTCTGAAGAACATCTTCATCTTCAGTTAATTAATTGAACCTTGGGACAATCGGTCTCACTGTTGCTAATCCTATAGCGCAGTGGTGCACTATTATGCTACAATAGAATTATGACGATATCTTTTGGGTGTGTTTGTGTCATAAGAACGATGACGCACGCGAGATTGCTACGCATATATATATCTCATCTGATTTTTTATCTATCTATCAGTGTTTTAGTAGTCCCGTTTATGTATCTGAGAATAATACGCGGTATTGTCAGTGTCGGATGCTGGTCAATCTCGGATACGGGTGATATCCGAATAACACTAAAACCACCGAAGGGTTTTAAATTCTATTCATTGGTTTTGAAAAACTGTAAATTGCATCAACAACTACAGGTATTTTTTTTAAGCTGAAGATAAGTTTCTATTAAGGTCTAGGAATCCTAGGAATCGATAGTTGCATAATGCGTACCCTAATACCAGCGTCCCTATTGGCCTGCGCGACGCCGACGTCCGCGTCTCGCTTCACCACAGCCGTCTGGGCCTTGCCCAAACTGGCCAAGTACTGCACGTCATCGTAGACGTCCTTGATGGTGAACGACAATATCTCGATGCCCATCCGGCCGACGTCTGGTGCCGCCACCTCGCGGACTAGTCCGGCGAACTGGTCTCTGTCCTTGTACACCTCTTCGACTGTAAGCGTTCCTGTAGACAAAGAGAAGGGACTTGAATAAAAATCTTTATAGTAGAGGTTCTAAGTAAGCATTGACATCTAGGCGGATATGTTCTTTTAATTGACGGATCCCTTGTTATTTGAATATATTTAAATTCTATAATAATAAGTAATTTTACCTCATCAATGTCTATGTAGGGCATACGGGTATTCGAAGATTACAATGTAGCAATAATAATATTAAGTACCTACTTAGCCTATGAATAATTTTCTTTTTATATGTACTTATGTTTAGAAAATACTGAGTATCGTACCTATCAATAAAAATATAAAGGGCATCCAGAAGATGCGTTGCAAAAAATATACATCAGTATCGTCTTATTATAATTTAAAATTCAAAGTGATATCTATAACTGTAACTTATAACACTTTTCTACTTGTCTAAGTCGTTTTATAGCCCTTTAAATATTTTACAAGGTTGAAGTAAACTCGAGGATTTTCATTTCAGTTTTATTTCATATTTTCATGCTCCCCCCTTAATCCCAGCTTATAAATAAACTCGCTGTACATTCGTTGTACACATTTCTTAAATCCTCGTTCCATTTGATTTATTCCGGCAGCCTTGTAAAACGTATTTAAGCAATCAGAATGAAAGTCTGATTTAGCTAAATGGTGCGAAAAAAGTGCTTGAAAGTAATTTTCCATTAGATTATATTTTCCACTCTTTTGTCTTCTCTTGATCTTAATCCAGCCTAGAGTATGGATAAGAACTACGGTGGAAATGGCTTGCCCAGAAGGGTGTTCCCGTTCACTCTCCTCGGCCTAAATAGGCTGGTTTTTGGCTCTTGCCTCTCGGGGAAACGTCCCGGCAGTGAATTACACTACGGTGCGCAATTCCACCTTTTGGCAGTACAAGAGCAAAAGACAGTGAAAAGCGTTTTATGTGGAGGTTAGGGATATTCACCAAATAGGATGGTATCCTGCTGTACACCAAGGTCAAGGATTGGCCACCTTATGAGACGAAAGATCCAAAGACTACTTGTCAGTTTTTAGAGAGTCACTAAAAGATTTCGTTTTAATATTATTCATTTAGTACATATTGTACCCATAACTCATAAATTTTTTTGTTGTGGTAGGTTCATTATATAGTAAAAACCATTACATGTTTTGCTTTACGCTTTAAAGCAGCAATTAAAATATACCTATGTCTTCATGTATTAGTAATTTTTTTATTTATATAAAGACTTTTTAAACTTCCATGAAGCTCTTTAATATTATTGTCGGTGCCTCCTGAGCATTAGCGGATGCATTTAAGTGTCACGAAGTCGACATTCAGTGGGCACAATGAATTTTACTATATTCACTATTAATCGGCTCAATGTGTAGTCATGTCATGACCCCCATGAAGCCCTTTAGAACCTCCCTTGTGCTAGAATCTAGACTATAATTATAAATGAAAAAAGTATCTACCATTACAGTTTTGGACGTAGACTGGCTTTATCACTTACCTTTTCACATTAAACCACGTCAGCCCTATGGTGAGACCGATAGGCACAAAACACAACTTTACAAAATCCATATTCGGTTTATTTTTTCACTTTTCTATGAAGGATATGTTCACTTCACTACTACTACCACTACTACAACTATTATAACTACACTCGGAAGACGTATCTTAATGGAAAAATCGTAATATTGTCTTTTTAATTACTGATTTATTATATAATATTTATAAATTGCAATGATCTTGAAATATGAAAATAAAACAAGAGTGTCATCTACAATATCAGTCTAGTCAACGGATATCACGGATTCTATAAACATTCGAAACATATTAAAATGCAACTAAACGTGAATAAAACTTACACGCATTTAAAAGTTGTATAGTACATATCGACCATAATCTAGATATAGATTCATTACATAGTCACATGTACTGCATAAAATATGAGAGATTCCACACTGCGTAAATAATAAATATTACGCTATTGAACAAAGAACAAATATACTAAAAATAACAATTTGTCAAACACAATAATTGTAATATAAAAAAATTATATATAATTATAAAAAGTGATGAAAACGTAAGTGATACCTATTCTAAAAAAATAAAATTATTTAAATAAAGTCTATGTATTATATAGTAACATAAAAATAAGTTTTGAAACGTATATACAACTAATATTTACTTGAAAATGTTAATAAACTAGACTTTTTTTGCTTTTTACTCTTACTTGTTTTTATTTTATAGCATCGATACTAATGGATGTGAATAAATTAAAGTGAAAATGTTAATGAAAAAGGAACGTAAGAGACATTAGTGAAATAGGTTCCACTAGAAGCACTAATCAGGATAAATTTAAACTGAAAACTATAATTAATATTTGGACAGATGCGAGTTTAATAATCCGTCAAAATATCCTATTAATATTATAAAGGCGAAAGTTTGTAAGTATGGATGTATGGATGTTTGTTACTCTTTCACGAAAAAACTACTGGACGGATTTGGATAAAACTTTACAGCAATATAGGTTATACATCAGAATAACACATAGGGTACTTTTTACTGGGAAAACTTCTCACTCCCACGGGATACCGACTTCCACGCGGACGAAGTCGCGGGCGTCCACTAGTTGTAAATAAAAATGCTTTTTCTAAGAGATACTGGAAATTATCAAAACACAAAATTTTACACTTTTTTCTTTTTTCAGTTAGGTCTTTTTCGTTTTTTCCGTAGCTCTATAAGCGTTGTAATCAACGCAGATGCGACGAACTACTGCAAACGTAAACCGACATATAAAATTACGATTTCTTCACGTGTACGCTATATCCTTATTTGAATGACATACGGCACATAACTGTTTGTCAAAACAAGATTTTATTATCTATATTATTTACATAGCGAATGATATAAATATGATAGTGATAATAATGCGGCATGATCACTATCAAAATAACACTGTAGATATTTGCGTAAGTAACATTTATCGGTAACGCTGAAGTTCCTAGATCATTAACTTTTGTATTTTTACATTACTGAGTTTATTTTTTTTATATACAATATATTTATATGTATAACTAGCTGTAACATAATGCAAATATTGGAAATAGGAACGTGAAAACCAAAACATCTTCTATCTCGAAGGTCGGACAACTGATGAACAAACGAAGTGTACATCTGGGACGGCACATATCAGCTCCGAAAGATATAAAACCTCTGAAAGCCAGGAACATCAAAGACTGTTTAGAAGCTACCACACTAAAAGGGCTACGTAATTTTGGTGGCGAGTCACAATAGAACTTTTTTTAGGTTGCAGTTGCAAACAACAGTTCCACATGGAACTTCATAACCTATTTACAACGAATAATTATCTTCATCAGCCCTTTTACGTCGCCACTGTAGGAGCTCAAGCCTGCCTTATAGATGGTTAGGACGATGGGCCATGAATAACGTGCCTTCCGAAGCACGAAGTAGCTAGAGATGGTAATTTTTGGTCACCTATGCTGAGACTGATCCTTGCGAAATTTGCTTAACAACAATGATCGCGGGCCGCGTCGCATACCCACAACGCAACGAATAACGGATCTTTAAAGGAATTGTTATTTCCGGTAAAAAGTAGCCTGTGTCATTAACAAATCTCTCAACTAACACACAATGTCGTGAAAGAAGGACAAACAAATACACACTTTCTCGTTTGTAATATTGGTGTGTGGGAAATCAAGCTCATCACTAACTTTAAATTATAAAAATATCAGTTTTTGTAGAAGCTAAGCTGAGTCAGCGCCTCATCTGCGAATAAAATATAGCTTTACTACAAGGAGGATAGCTTTACTAGCTAAGCCCGGACACGCTCTGCTGTGGTTGTACCCATGGGAGCATTGGAATGACAAGCCAATATTAGTCAGTGATGATAAAATAGTTTTATACTTGTGAAGTAATTATGAAAATTGATCCCGTGATTTTAAATTCAATAAAAACAAAACCATGCTCCTTTTCTGTGAAACATTATTGTTAACCTCAACATTAAAACGCCGATAGTGAATTATACTAACGGCGTTTTAATGTTGAGGTTCAGGCCTAATTTTTGGATGGAATCGAATCAAATTGAATATGGAGGATCATTCATGTTACAGCATGCAGCCGTTGCTTAAAGTACCTTTGGAAGTAAGGAGATAGAGATAATAAATTTTGGTCACCCATCCTATGACCGGCCCTTGCGAAAGTAACGTCAGCATCGAAAATCAAAAATTATTATCACCAAAACGAAGAGGGTGGTTTTGCAGCTATGTTTAAGTCATTGTCAGATCATTTTCCTTTCATTGTCGTTTATTGTAAAAAGACAAAAGACGTATGTAATTACGTTCTTCTTTATGAGTGCCTGTAGCCGAAAATAGAATTATTTGGTCTTGACATTAGGTTAATTAACGTTAATGTATTTGGGTCACTTACAAATCAATAGTGTTCAGGGCACGTTGTTATGAAATATTAAAAAGCTAATGTTCTAACAATATCTATAAACGTAAATGGCTAAAATAAACATTAAAAATGGAAAAGGTAATATTGTTCAGAGTTTGATACAATAATTTGAATTAAAATATAGTTGCTTATGAATTTCTTCCACGTACTTAAAAAATAATGGAGGAACTCTTTTTTCTTTAAGTTTCTTTTAAGACTGAGCGTTAAGCCAAAACACTGTCCTATCTATTTAAGGCGAAGAGGGGTGGCAAATTGCGCAGTAAAACAGTTTCCATTAATTTACTCGGAAACTAATTCCAAATATTGTAAAACTGTTGCTTATTTCCCTAGACCTCAAAGTGACTTATACATTTATTAGTTTTGCTTATAAAAATACGGTATAATAATTTAACAAGAAACAGAAAAATGTAGAATATTGAGAAAATGTGAAAGAAAATATAAAAAATATGTTTTCTCATGACTACAACAAAAAACTTGATTACAACTTATTTGGACGTTATTTCATTGTAAAAAAACTAGTTGAAAGTTAACAAAAATCGAGTGTGTTAGTGTGGA